GTTATTATTTGATTTAGAATTAAGAATTTTATTAGTTGATGTGTAACTTTATGACAGAAACTAATAAAATAGCTTAAGAATGTTGGAAACTATTGTGTTCTTTACCAATTTTTGTTGCTGCTAAATAAAGACTCATTAATTTTGAAGATTTCTCATAAGATACATCTTATTAATTGATTTATTCTTTAAAAATCATTTAATATCTTCTTTAAGATTAGGAATATTGTAGATATTTTATAATAAGATAAGGTTTTAAGTAGTTATAACTTATATTGAATAATTTACAACATTAAAATAGTGTTATTAGAAAACTAGGATAACTTATAATTCTTAATATTTTTATTAAACATATATCAGCTTAATTTAGATCTCAATATAATAATATCTTTGAGATTCAAAAACATGTTAAATAGCCACTATCAGTATCCTTAGAGAATATAAATTAATTAATTGAAGGCAAGTGTTAAGAATAAGATAATAAGGCATGGTAAAGAGTATAAGAGACTGAGGAATTCTTAGAATTAGTTAAGTAAACATCAGATTTGGATATTAAATTAGATTATACAAATTTATTTATGTATTTGATTAATATACCTATCGATATTAATGAAGATAAATAACTTATCGAATATGTTCTTATACTAATTACTACATTAGTTGGATTCAATTTAGATAATTGCACATATTTATTTATTTAAGAGATAAACTCAATTAAATAAAGATACTAACAATTATTATTTGCCCCAAAATAATTACTTATTAGAAAATTCACTATTAATTCTTTATATCTAATATTTAGATGTTAAAAAACAAAATTAAATAATATAGTAATTCTAATGTTAAAGGATCTATTTCCATCAAATGAAAATAAAGATTCATAATGTTATTTTGATTTATTGGCTAAATTAATATTGGAATAAAAATATAGTGATTAAGAATTAGCTAATTATATTATTGAAAAATTGTAGAATTATCAATCAAATGAATCTAGAATAACTCTTTCAGCTGATAAAACTCTTATAGGTTTACTTTTAATACTAGAAAGTTTATGTATTGTAGACTCTAGTATTTTAACACCATAATTGATAAAGTATTTATATACAGTACATTTATTTTGCTTTAATTTAATTCAATTTCAAATGAATCCTAATTAATAAAGTACTCAAAATTATGTAAAAAGCAAATCTCCAGAAAGCAGAAAAATTGTATATCGTATAATTATACAATATTTAAAATAGAATTTCAATTTAGAAATTATTGATTTATAAACAGTATTAAAATAAATTAGGTTGTATGAAGGTTTTGAAATTAAACTAATACCCAAAAGTAATCATGGATTTGTGGGTATTAGAAATTTGGGATGCATTTGCTTTATGAATGCTATGATGTAATAATTTTTTATGACACCTGAATTTAGATACTGTATGTTGAGAGCTGAAGATGGATTGGAGGAAAAGATTATCTTCCATAAAGATAATCAAGGATTTGAATATTAAATAGATGATAATCCTTTTCATTAATTTTAAAAGATGTTAGCTTCATTAGATTTAAGTGATAGAGCTGATTTCAATCCTTATTAATTTTGCTTAACATATAAGGATTATGAAAATTAACCAGTTAATGTTTCAATGCAATAGGATGCTTAAGAATTTCTAAATCAATTTTTTGATCGTCTTGATAACTAATTAAAGGGTAAAGGTTGGTAGTAATTTATTGAAGCTATTTATGGTGGATATATATGTAGTTAAATGATTTGTAATGGGTGTTAGACTATGAGAGAAAAGTTTGATTTATTTTACACTTTGTCTTTAAAAGTGAAGGATGTTAAATCACTTTATGAATCTTTTGAAAGTATGATTTAAGGGGAAATAATTAAAGATTACAAATGTGAGTAATGTTAATAGAAGAATGATTTAATTAAAAGGTAATGTTTATCAAAATTACCTAATGTTTTGATTATACATTTATAAAGAATAGTATTCAATTTGGATTTATATATGAATGAAAAATTGAGTTCTCTTTTAGAATTCCCACATCTATTGAATCTTTCTAAATATACAAGGGAAGCTTTATCTGATTTTGAATTTAAATAAGATTCCTATTATTAGTATAAATTAAAAGGAGTAGTTGTTCATTAAGGTTCTGCTTAATGTGGTCACTATTATAGTTTAATCAATACAAATGATGATAGATGGTTAAAATTTAATGATTCAGTGATAGAAGAATTTGATTTAAATTTATTATCTAATGAATGTTTTGGAGGGAAATAGAGTGAATTAAATTAAGGATTTTAAGTAGTTGGCAGTACTAATGCCTATATTTTAGTTTATTAAAGAATTTAAAAGGAAACAGTAGAATTAAAATTTAGTAATGAAGAATAAAAATAAGAAATAATGTCAAAGTTTGATTGTGAATAAGAACAAAACTCTAATTTAATTGTTAAAATGGATTATTAAACAATGGCTAAATAATTTATATCAGATGTTTTGTATGGAGAAATTTAACATGATAATCATAGATTCATGATGGAGAGACATATTTATTCAGATGAATTCTTTAGATTTGTTAAGGAAATAGCTGAAGTATATCCATTTCCTCGTTAGTATAATTTAATAAAAAATGCAGATTAATTACCTTAATATTTTGGAATTTATAGTAATTATTAATAAGTTAAGAATGTTGAATAAATATAAATACTTTTATTTAATTTAACATATATTGGAATAGAATTGTTATCTAGATCATCCGATCATGGATCAATAAAGGATTATGTATTGGTTATAATTAATCTTATAAATATAATACCAACTCAATTATTTCCAATATTTTAATAGTTATTTATCTAGAATATGTAAAGAGTTTTTAATGTTTTATTATGTGCTCCAGATTAATAAGTTCGTTAAGCAATTTAATAAATAATGCTTCATTATTTAAATGTTATTATATACATTCATGCTTTTACGTTAAATACTTCATTACTTTTTTAATTAGAATAGGATAAAAGTGAAGATTAATTTGAACGACTTATTGTCTAATTCATTGTATGTCTTTTATAAAAGTTATAAAATGATGTTCCAAAAAATGCATCAAAATTTACTTAATATTTTGATTTTTGGAAATTATTTGTTAAATCATCTTAGATTAATATATTCTTTGCTAATTAAATAGAATTAGTATCTATATTAGCTGATTTTTTTATGGAAAAGTAATCTCCAAAAGGATTGGAAAATAATTAATGTTATGAATATTTATATGATTAGAAAATTGGAATTAATAATTTAAATGTTATTCCATTTTATAGTTCATTATTCTAATGCTTAGACTATTTATTATAAAATTAAAATTATGAATTAACAAAAAATGATAAAATATGTTTAGAATCAAAAATTTTCTATAAGAAAGCATTAAAAGAATGTTAAGACTTTGATACTATAGAATCCATAATTTTAAAAAGGGTTTTTAATAATTTAGCATTATCTAGAGAAATAATTGAAATAGTTTTAGAGGAAATTTAAATATCTAATTATGAAAATGTTGGTTAATTTTTAAAATTGACAGAAAGTTTATTAAATATATATGATAATATCTAATAAGAACGTATATAATGGATATTAGGATATCCATAACCAAATTATTTAGATAATTATTAAACTGGATGTTAAACAAATTTATCATAATAATGTATTTCTTATTTAACACATATTGGATGTCAAGATGAAACTATATCTATATTAAATTAATTATTTTTTAATCGTAGAAATTATCTAAATTTGGCAATTTTAATGATGAAAATGCTTTTAACTGTAATGAATTAAAATAAACCAGTTTTTTCATATATTATAAATTTACCACCTCCCAGTTATCTATATTCTAAATATATTGATTGGTTTGAAACATTTTTAAATGAATTTAAAGAGGATTGCATCAAATATCCAGCAATAACAGATTCAATATTATTTAATAAATAAGCAGAATTTAAATAAACTATCAAATTATGGGAGATTTTTTAAATTAATTTTAAATAAATAACTAAACTTAGATTATATGATCCTATTTAACCCAATTATATTATAGGTAAAATAATGGAAACTGGATCAGTCTCTGAAGAAACTCAAATTGATAATGTATTTTTAGAAACTCATGAGTCTCTTGTTTATTATATAGAATCTAATCCTAATCTCTAAAGTAACAAAACATTTCCATATACAATACTTAAAGACAATATTTATATTTAATCATCTAAGATTGAATCTTCTTCTAATATATTTTTAATAATAAATAATGATGAAAATGTTTAAAGATCAACAATTTAATATGAAATTGATGAAAATATATATTCAAATGAAACTGGATATAATGAATAATAATAAGTTAATGATGACTTTATTAATGAATTATAGAATAATTAATTTAAAAATTAGAATATCTTAAGATAAAGATAATAAATTAATTAATTTTAAGAAGATTACATATAATAATAATAAAATATAGAATGTAATTTATAAATATAAGTTGATCAATTATTAAAACGATTCATGATTAACAATTAGACAAATTAAACTATCCATATTTCATATTAATTTACTTAAGATCCTGATTCATAAATTAATTTCATGTAAATATATATATATATATGTATTTTAGATTACCTAAAAATGTATGTAAGGTTGTTCCTCCATATAGTGTAAAATATTTAACAACTATTATGAAAACTATTCCTTTGATAGAATGGGGAAATTTCTATTCTAATTTGAACATCAATATTAACAATACAAATAATAATGACTAATAACAATAAATAAAATAATAGTAATTTTTATTCATATATTTTAGAGTGTAAACAATAGTTGATATATAAACTACAGATATAAAAAATTAAACAAAAATAGAAGAAGAAATTTAATGTCCTTAATGTACTATCCTCCAATCTTCTTCTAATCACTTTTGTGAATTGTGCTAATTCAGTTTAAAGTGAATATTATAAAATTAATTTATTATTCATGGATAATAAACATAATGATGAAATAAAGACATTAGGATTTTCTCTTTGTTATAAGAGTTGTTTAAAGAATAGAGATGCAATAAAAACATCTCATATTCATCATACTCTCTATCCATGTATGGAAAATTGTGCAATCAAATATAAAAGAGTAGTAGAAATTGTGATGAATTGATATGTCAATTATATTTATGTGATCTTAATTTATGATTTTAAAAATACAAAACTAAAAACATTAGGTAATTTAAGAGAAATTAATCAAAATACTTAATTTTATCTTTTTGGCTGATTAATAATTATATTATGGAACCAACAGTATTTTATTTGTAATAACATATATTTATAATTATCATTCACATTAATCCAACATATTTATCATTATTTGAAATATTACAAAATATATATAAATATGATTAATTTATTAATTGATTACTTAAATTGAAATTAATATAAATTAAGATATTTTTTAACAAATAATTGTATATAGAGAATTCATTAGTTTATATTATTAATTATCTTGAAGAATATCAATATATTTATTTTATTTTATTTCATACATAAAATTATATTTATTTGAATAATTTCATTAATTAATTAAATAGATGAATTGGAGGAAAACAAAAGTATTCAAGAGTTTTACAATTCAAGGAGCCCTTATTGAATCACTTTATGATGGCACATCTAAATAGCTAATATTATATGATACACAAAATATCAAAATATATGGAGTAGGAGATTCTGAGATTAAATTTTATGACAAAATTTAACTTTTCACCCAAATAAAGAAAATTGTGTTTTTATCTTCATTCAACCACAAATATCTTGTTGTCTAAAATACTTAAGGTTAAATTTCAGCAATTTCTATTTAATATCCATATGATCATAAATTAGTCATATTACCTGAACACTTTACATCTGATGCATAATTATTAGCTTCTCAAAATAGATCATGTATTATTGTATAATTTTAAAATGAAATTATGATATTTGAATTAAACTAAAAATAAGAATTTGTTTCACATTCCATTAATATAAAGAATTAAGAAATTAAATAAATAGATGCCAGTTTAGATGATACTCTACATATTATGTGTTAACAATATGAATAAATTAGAGAAAATTAAATGATTGCAAATATTGAAAGTACTATTTTTTATTGTAAAATGCATTATAAAGAAAAAGGTTTGTAAAATTATAAGTTCAAATTTATTATACTTTAAATTATTGCTTTAGAGATGGAAGACATTTTGGCTTTGACTTAAAATGAGATATTATGTTTAAAAAATGGAAAAACTCATTTAGCCATACCTGCTTAAGTTAGTTGTTTTGCTACTTTCATGAAATTAAATTAAGTTAATAATCAATTATTTTTATGTAATCCAACTGTTATTGAAATTATTGAAATCAGATTTGATGACTTTAATTAAATAATGAATATGGTTAGATTGTAGGCAGTTTAGATATCATAAATAGATATTGTTATTGCTGATAATTTAGTTTGGATTTAGACTGAAACATCAGGAACCCTTAATTAAATGAATGCTGTTAGAATGCCTTCTATATCAGATCTTGATCCATCTGCTATGAAAAAAGTAAAATTAGAAGAGAATGATTAATTATTCAAAGCCTTAGGTGTATTTTAAACTTTTAATAGGATTTTCAATTTTACTGTTGTAGGTAATTCTCTTTATATATTATCTGGAAATGCAGCATCATCATAAATTTATAAATTATAACATGAACTCACTCCAAACATTACTACAGTTTCATTAAAAATAAAAACAGGTATAAATGAATAAAAGTTTCCTCTTTATTTTGAAAATCATATTGGATTTATTAGTGAATAGAAATAATTAACATTTTCAAAGATTTTAAAAGATGGTAATTTTTAATTGGTTGATAATATTCAAATACCTGAATTTTAGGATGTATTTTCAAATGGTACAATAAATGCAAATTGTTTTTATGTACAATTTGATACATATTTATGGTTCATCTAAACTAATCCACTTTGTTAATTCTCTAGATAATATGATATTCGTTAAGTTAAATAATTAATGAATTATTTTGTTGGATTTGATGAATAAAAAAGTCTTATTGTTACTTATTTAAATGAAAAATCATTAATTAGTCAAAAAGTAAATTCTAGTGAAATTGTTTCATTTGATTTGGCTTAATAAGAAAATGATATACTTATTCTCTTAATTGAAAAAGAGAAATTATCAATTTTGTCAGTTAAATTTCAGTCATCACAAATTCAAATCTAACTTATGTTTATTACTAATGAATTTATGGGTAATATATGTGCAATATCAACCATTCCTGAATTGAATCTAGGTTAAAATGCTGTATTTACATGTCCTTCTGTTCAAATAAAATGTTCACCAACTGAAAATGAAGATATTATCAATTCATATTTGGTGAATTTTTATAAAAATAAAGGAATGGCAATAATATTGATAACATCATCTGGAAAGATTTCAATTTATTCTCAAATCAAAAACAATTCTAATTAGATTAAAATATTTAAGTTAATCATTTCATATCAATCAAATAGTGTTTCATTAAAATCTTAAAAATTTCACTATGTTGGACCTTCCAATTTTTAATAAATTATACTTCCAGGATTAAATTTCACATTAACAGAAAGTTTAGGTGAAATACTAATCCACTTTATTAAATAAGAAGATCAATATGATTAGGTTCTATTAGTGTAATAAAGTAAAAAATATTCTTATATAATTTAGATGCTTTTTTAATGGGATATACTGGAAGTTGTTATTATTTTCCTTAATTACAGAGAAGTAATTTACCTTGTAATAATATCATAATAAATCCTGTATTAAAGGATAGATGTACAGCAATAATGATGCATAGTTTTAGTGTAATTATATTTAATATATTTATAGTTTCATTCAAATGAGTATCTTTTAGTGATTAATAAAGCTTAAAATAGAAGAACCAATTAAAATTAACTTAAGAATGAAGTTTTTGTATATAGGTCTGATAATTTGAATGATCCTTTTGCTTAATATGATTAATTAGATAATGAAGAAATTATCAAGGTTTAATTTCTCTAAGGAATGGATCTTATTTTAATAATGACACTTGTTAATTCATAGTTAACTAGGGATTACCCAAATACTAAATTACATATTTTAAAATTAGATTAATATTAGAAGATAACTGAATAGCAATAATCAAGATTATTTAAAGAAGCTGTTCCATGTGATTTTGTAGTAATGCCACCTAAATTAGCACTTGTTTTTATGTAAGATCAATTAAAATATATTGATTTACATGTTGGATAAAGTGCTATTGGTTTTTCATTAACACCTGATTCTTTAAGAGGGGAACTTGTATAAATTTAAATTGAGGCTGTTTCTGTTGTTGATAGATGGATAGCTGTATTAAATGGAGGATTTAAAGTTGTGATATGTAAATTTGAAGAAGATAACTCTCAACCTAAAGTAGATTGGTCAACTGAATTTGGAGTTTTAAGAGTAATGGATATTTAGCTTTTAAAGAATGAATATTAAAAGCCTCTTCTTGTTCTTTTAGATTGTGAAAATAGTCTTTAAATATATTCAATAACTTATAAAGTAATATTTAAAATAAATTAGACTAAAATTAAAAAAATAGCTGATTGTCAGATTATGAATCCTTGCAGAATGTTAAGCATAGCTAATAGTAAAAATTAATATATATTATATAAATAGAATTAATAATATCCTCTTTAGATGGAAGTATGACAATGTTTGATTAAATTGATGATGAGTCTTAGGCTAATAAATTCAAAACCATTGTATCAGAATTACCATACATAGGTGGATTTTAGCCTAGTAGTTTCTTGTGTATTAATTAATAATATATTTAGATGCCAAATAAATAAATGGAAAAGGGAGTGTATGGGATTTTGAAATTAATGATCTGTTTAATTAATTTTCATTTGGAATTTAAAAGATTGTTAAAAATAGATATATGTATAACCCATTTGAATGAGTTTGTTAATAAATTTATTTGATTAATATATAAACCATATCATCATACTTCAAAGTTGTATCATCATATATTATTGATTATCTTTTTCATATATTTTTAATTAGTGCAATTCCAACTCTATTCTTTTTTTATCATAACTGACAGAGTATTTATAATAATTTCAATAAAAATCAGTTGTATTAGTATTTGATACTAATAGTATTTACTTAAAAACGAAAATTAAATATCCTCATTATTTTTATTAATTGATAATTTGATATTTATACTTGATTATTTCAATTCTAAATAATTTTGTGAACTTTAGAAGGATTCAATTTTGCATAAAATTATTACCTCTTTTATATCAAAATTATTTAAAGATTAAGATTTATTAAATTTTATTTTATAAGGTTCTTTGTACAATGAATTTTTGTATATACAAACTTACCTATTATATAAATGATATTTTAGGTTGATTTATATATTAATTATTTTTCAAATTTCAAAATTTAATGAACAAAAAACAATAAGCACCAGTAGTATAAAAACCAGTTGGCAAATAATAATAAGTGAATAGAAAGCCTTAAGATAGGTAAAATGAATTTATTATAGATAGACCAGGATTAACAGAAGATGAGATAGAAGAAATAAAAGAAGCCTTTAACTTATTTGATACAGAGGGCACAGGAAGAGTTGATCCAAGAGAATTAAAGGCTGCCATGTAGAGTTTGGGATTCGATTAAAAGAATCCTACAATTTTCAATATGATTGCTGAATTAGAAAATGAAGGAACTGATATCGATTTTGATTAATTCTTGGATGCTATAACTTCAAAATTAGGAAATAGAGAATCTAGAGATGGTATCAATAAAATATTTGATTTATTTGATGATGATGGTAGCAACTCAATTAATTTGAATAACTTGAAAAGAGTATCATTTAAAATTAATCAAAATTAGGTAGCCAAAGAATTGGGAGAAACCATGACAGCTGAGGAATTGTCTGAAATGTTAGAGAGAGCTGCTTCAAATGGTAGAGATATCTCCAGAGAAGACTTTTATAACATTATGGTCAAAAGAACATTCTGATATATAATTCATTTTAGCAGTTAATTATTTTATTAAATCATGTAATTCCTTGCTAAATACAACTCTCTCTTACAATAATATCCTCTATTGACAAAATCAGTGACTGGAGGTATGACATTTTAATTAATCATATAGGGTTTATGTTCTTTGCAGGAGATGCTGTAGTTTAGACAATGGAATCACATATTGCTAAAAAGAATTAATAACGTCATGAATATGACTTTAGAAGATTAGGAATAGCTTGGCTTATGGGTAATGTATTTATGATGCCTTTGTTTCACTATAATTTCACATATGCTTTACCATGGTTAGTGAAAAGGTAACATAATTGTATATAATACCTTATAGATTACCTTTTGATACTACAACTCCTTTTAGAGCTGCATTAGGATCTGTATTAATTGATTAATCAGTTTGGGCATGCTACATTTTATGCCATTATTTGATGATAATTAATTTATTAGAAAGTGGTTCTGTGTAGAAAGGAATAGATGCAATCAAAAATAATTTTGTAAAAGCCATGATTACAAATTGGTAAATTTGGCCAGCCGCATAGATTATTAATTTCTGGTTAATTCCCAGACATTATCAAGTCTTATGGGTAAATTTTATAGGATTTTTTTGGAATATTTATTTAAGTTACATATCACATAATTGAAATTGATTATACAATATAAATGTTCATAGATTAATCATTATAAGTTTTCATCATTAAAGTTTTATTACAATTTTTGATTCTATTCATTATCTTATTCTCTTTGTTGATCCTCTCCTTATTCTTATTAGCATTTATTATTATTATCATCAGCTTTTTATTGTATTTTCTCTTCATCAACCTTATTATCTAATTTTGTCTAAGATTTTTATTATTATTTTATTGTAGGTTTTTCTACTTGAGATTTATTATTTGATGAGGATTTTTAAGAAAATAGAGAAGAACTTTAATTTAATTAATCATTAGTAGTGTTTGCTTTTTATTTTTTTGGTTTGTTCTGTTTTTTTTAATTATTATTACTAAAACTCATTTTAGCCTTTGGAATTTAAATTGATTTATTGTTATTTCCTTATTAAGTTGCAATATTTTATAAAATATTTCCATTACTTTAATCTTTTAATTGTTATGTAGTAAAAAATTAAGGAATGTATTAGGCTTTATAAGTTTCAAAGAATATTGGTTCAATTTATGAGAATTTAATGTATACTATTCCATTTTAAACTTATGTATTATTTGCAATGCATTTATTATTTAGTAATTCTTCAGGATCTTCAATCTCATCTTAAGATAGATGATTATCATCTACTAGAAAACTATCCTTTTATTCACTCTCCTCGCTTACATCTTCATCAGAGTCATTGACATCTGAGAGGTTCTCTGCTAACATTTCCTCAACTTCATCTAAAGAATCTTTATCATAATCAATTTAATCATCTAAATATTCATTATATAGATATACCTAACAAGAAAGGAGCTCTTGGTCTGATGACTTGACTTAATTATATAAATTAATGTCCATTAAATTCTTTATCTGAATCTGCAATATAAATATGTATTTTTCTAATTCTAACTTATTATTATTATGGTTTTGTTTCTTAAATTTCAATCTCATCACTATTATAATCATTTAATGACACTTATATTTTTTCTTCTTGCAATTGCATATTAGCCATTTTTTCAATCAAAATTTCAAATTATTCCATTCTATAAGGTGTTAATTATTTTCGTTAATATTCATCTTATTTATGAACAACCTATTATTTCTTTTCAAAAAAGAAATGCTTAAGATTTTTTCCTGTAATTTGAGGTTATTATTATTATGATTATTATTATTATGATTATTATTATTATTATTATTATTATTATTATTATTATTATTATTATTATTATTTTTATTATGGTTCATTTGAATCTTATTATTAAATATCTCTATCTTGTACTTATTAATTGTTATCTTTTGGAGAAGACACAGTTTCAAATTAATTATTCTATGTTTCTATTTTATTAAATTAAGTTGGAATTTCTTAAATTTCTAGTTTCTTAAATTTATATTTATCAAGTGCTCCTTTAGTAACTTTCTCTTATTTTTATTATTCCTTTTCTTTCTTTTTATTTTATTTATTTTCATTTATTTTTTATTCTGTTGCTTAATTTGATTCACTTTATACGTTTATTTATGAATTTATTTATTCATTTTCATTACTTTAATTATTTTCTATATTCTCAAGGTTTTATGGTTTTGATTTTTACTTAGGTTAAGTTGTAATAGACTTTAATTTAACTTCTGTTTTTTAATGAAATTTAATTGGTGTATTTTTAAATTCTAAAATTTTAGAATCCTATTGATTATGTTATTCTATAATATCATTTTCATCTTCTTATTTTTTTATTAAATTTATTTTCTCTTTAAGTTTTTTTAATTAATCTATTCTTTAATTTAAAGTAATCAAATAATCTCTTATTAATCTTACATTTTTTAATTCATTTAAATCACATACTTTTTTTAAATCATCAATTTGTTTTGATTTCAATGCAATTAATGTAATATTCAATTTAGATTCTTCTATATAATTAGGTAGATTATTTCCAATAAGAGCTTGCAAAGCTTAAAAATCAAAATGAGATGTAAACTAGATATCTTCATTTAATTCAGCTCTAATTTCTAAAAATGACTTAATCTATTCTTCCCACTTTTATAACGTCCAATTTATTATAATGTTCTTGTTTTAAATTAATTATTCAATTTTATTCTTTATCTATTGATTAATATCAGTTTTATCATTAGAACACATAGATTCTCCAACAATTTTAAGAATCATTTTCAAATAATATTCTTTACCAGCTTCATCTTTCTAATCGTAATCTTTTAATAAATCATTAATTTTTTCTTGATCTAAAACTATACTAGGATATCCTAATTTGTTTAAGCTTTTCTAAAACTACTCCCATTTCTCAATATTTGTACAAATTTCATTCATTCTTGAACTTATTTAGTATTTTTAAGGTTTTTTTTTTTCCACAATTTTTTATGGAGATGGATCACGATAAACAAATGCATTTTAAGGTGGTTTTCTTTATCTCTTCTCATTAATAATTAGATCTGGCTTTGTTTAAACATTATTTTATTTTCTTTTTCCTAAGAAAAGATATTTACATTTCTTACTCTAATTTTATTAATTGGAATGATTATCCTCAATATCCATTGCTTCATTTTAATTCTAAATGTCTTCTTCATTTGTTTAATTATCCATCTTAATAAGAGTGTCCTTTTAATTTTGATCTACATTTAAATAACATTTTACCTTCTGTGCAGGGAGCAACTTCAGTTTGCATTTTTTTTAATTTTATTTCTCAAAAAAGCGGGAAAAAAATTGTTTTTTAACATTGTAGTAATATAGGAATCTTATATTTTTAATACATAAATTCAATTTTTTAAGATAAATTTTACATTCTTATTTGATTGTAATATGAGTGTTGCAATTCTAAATTGGTTTGTTAACTCAATAAATTAGAAGAATACTCTCTATTAATCATAAAAGGATGTAGAATTTTAAAGATGATTTCTAAGAACATGATAAAATAAAAAATATGAATAAAAGAATTTGAAAATTAAAATATATTCACATCTTATCTCTTTATTACAATCCAATGATAATATTAATAATCAATAATTCATTAAAAATATCTGATAAAGCATTTATAATTTGATTAAAATTTGATTCATTAAGAGTTAATTTAGATTCTTGAAGACATGAAATTTAATAAACAATTATAATAACCTATTATCTAATCATAAATAAATTTATTAAACTATTTCAAGTTAAGATTTAATATTTAACATATTATTAACTCATTAAATATTCATCCATTGTTTCTATTTAATTTATTTAATTAATCAAAAGTCATCAAACATATGCTATTATTCATCATGTATTAATGGTATGTCTTCTCTTTCTTCTGGATATTTATCAAACCATTGTGAATCTGTTTCATTTCTCAAATATGGAATCCATGGTGGTTGAATCTTTTTTTCATAAACCTTTTACCAAGGAACTCCCCTAAAGAATTTATGATTCATTAATGCTGTCCCTTCCTATTTTAAATAGTTACATTACATCTTCCACTCCTAATCTTTTATTAATATCAGAATTTAACAATTTTCTTATTACATCCTTTGCTCTTACATGTAAAAACTTAGGGAACTCTATTACTCCATTCAATATTTTCTTGTATATATTTGTTGGTTCGATATCATAAAATGGAGGGTGACTTAAAATAATCTAATTTATAAATACCCTGCCAACATTTCAAATATAAGAACTCCAAAAGCCCACCAATCAATAGATTTTCCATATCCAGTTTTTGCTCCTTGAATTAATTCAGGTGCTAAATATTCTGGTGTACCACACAAAGTTTATGTATGATTATTTTTTATTATTTTAGCAAATCCAAAATCAGCTATTTTAATATGACCATCTTTATCTATTAATAAATTTTCTGGTTTTAAATCTCTATAGACTATATCTTTTCTATGTAAATGTTGTATTGCCAATAATATTTCAGACACATAAAACAATGTGATATCTTAACTAAATCTGCCATCCTTTCTTAGACGAGAAAATAATTCACCACCTGAAACAAATTCAAATAGCATATATATGCATTTTTGATCTTGAAATGAACCTTTCAATTATACTAAAAATGGATGTTAAATTTCATTTAAAATATTCTTTTCTGATTTGATGTGATCAACTTATTTTAGTTTTAAGATATCATGTTTCTTCATAATTTTTAGAGCATAAACTTAACGACTAACATCACGTTTAATTCGAACTTATTTTACACGTCCAAAAGTGCCAGTACCTAATGTTGTGTAAACTTCAAAACTATCAATCGAGAGATTTTAGAATAATTATTTATCATTAGGTTATCCTTAAACAGATTAAAATGTAGGTTCTTCTTCTGATGAATCCTCATTCATTCTTTCAAGTTTTAATTGTTATAGCTTTCTTCTAAGTTCTTCAATTTATAGTTGATTCATGACAGTTAATCAAATTTATAATTATTATACATTATATGTATAATCACAGTCAGTTGTTATAATTCATTATCAGTTATTCATATATTAGGAAAATTAAATTTAAAATGTTGTATTTATCCTATTTATTAATATGAAATTCATATGAAATTCAAAATTAATCATTTGAAAAATAGGATGAATAATTATATTATAGATTTTATGAAAACCATAATAAATAATATTTTTTTAATTGATAAACAATAAATTTAACATAAAATTGAATTAATATCACAAAACAACTGACTCTATTAAAAACTCTTCTATACATTATTCAAAAATCAAATCTCCAATTTCCATCATTAATTCAGCTTTATCATCTTAATCTTAATTCCATCTGTATTCTAAATCTTTAAACTTAAATTTTAAATAATATTTATACATCCTAAATAAGAGCTTTATAAAGTCTTTATTCTCTGATTTATGAGATTGGATCCTATTAATAATCTTGTTCCATTAATTCTGGATTATCCTAGTATTACATCTGTTAAAGCATTATTTATTAATTTTTCTCATCTAAAATAACTTATTTTTCTTTGGATATAGCAATCTCTTCCTCAACAGGCAAAAATCCACAAAGAGAATTAGCCCATTGAACAACTTTGAGTTCCATATTCTTAAAAATCTCACTTAAATCATTATCATTTATAACTTTATGACCAATTTTTCCTTCCCATGGATAAGGTGATCCACTATCTAAAATTTAATATATAAATATATATATACTGCAATAATAGGGTCTTTAAAAATTGAGGGCTTCATTGCAAGCATCAAAAATAGCTCTATTATGTATATGTTCTAATTCTTTTAAAGCTTATGTTACACTATCTTCATTTTCTGATTCATTTTATTATAATCTATATTATTCATATTCTAAAAAATATTCTTCTTTTAAGATAAAAGTCAAAAATTCATTATATTGAGATTCATCTGATTCCATATATCCATGAATAAATTATAAACGTTTTTATGGTGAGAATCCATAAGGAATATTTATGTTTCGAATGATCTCATAATAGTGTTGAGGTAAGATGTAATCAAATAAATTATGGATATAATAACGAATATCTATAATAGAGGTTGGTATTTATGGAATTATAGATTATCTTATCAAATTCTATATAATAATCTCAAATTTATTATCATTTGTAAATAATTCTAATGTTAATAATCATAATAATTACCTTCAGTCATTTCTTGTAATAGATCTATTACTAGATCACTAACAATTAAATTTACTTTAGCTGACTTCTCAATAGTTTCATATGATTCAATGAAGTTATCCTTTAGAAATTGTTTTTATTAAAATTAGTCTTCATAATTGAAATCTTCTGATTATGTTTCTACTAATTTTTCAAGTTCATTTTCATTTTATACACAGAAATTATTTATTAATTTTATGTCAGATATGCTTTACTTAGATTATTTTAGATTACTTAGTTATTCATCCACTCTTTTTCTAAGACTCTAAAGTTTTGAATTATTCTCATCAAAAGATTATGCAATTATCAAATCTCTTTGTATTTTTTTCATTGCACTTGCTTCCTTCTTTGTACTAATCTCAATTGCTTATTTTGTTTATTATAAATCTTCCAATTCTTTTTTTAACCAAAAATTCAACTCTAATTTTTTATTATCATCATTTTCATATTTCTTAATTTCTGCCTAATATCTTAATTATATTGCTTCTTCTCTCATACTCAATAATTCAATTTCTCTTCTCATTAATTAAGATTATAATGCTAATAGTGATGATCTATTTATATCAGTAGATTAATCCTTAGAAGATTAAAGTAATCTTTCTTCACTCTATTCTTAAACACTTTTAAATTTCTTTCTAATATCATTAAAATTCTTTTCAGTATTTGTTTCCTATGATAATCTCATTTTTAAATCTACTGATTATTCAGTTTCAATCTATTATTTACTTTATTATTCTTAAAACTTTTAAATTTAAGATTAAACAATAGATATAATTGCTTATTACATCTATTCTTTAAGAGTCTTAATTGCATATGATTTTCTATTTTCTGTTATTAAATTTTCTAAATTAAAGTTCCAATCATTTAATTGATGTTAAATTTCTTGTATAATGGTCTCTTATTTTGAAATTTTATGATCATGAATATTTTTAGAGCTTTCCATATCCTCATTCTCTTCAATCTCTTAATCATTATCTTCATTTTCAGATCCTCTAGGTACTTAATTAATAACTACTAAATCATCACTTTATTATTGACTAAATTATTATGAAGATTAATTTAATGGAGAACCTGACTATTATTTTTCTAATATTTTATTAATAGCTTATTGAACATCCAATTATTTATTATGTGAATCATCTTCTTCTTCTTCATCTTAAAATACTGAATTATTTTAACTTTATGGAGGATTAACAACTTTTGGGGAACTAGATTTATTGGATTCTTATAAAAATGAATTATTTTGATATTATTAATTCTCTTATTATAATTAATCTTCTTATTCGAGATATTTAAGATAACTATCGAGAATTAATTTTCTTTAATAAAACCCTCTCCAGACACTTTAAATTTTTGTTGCAGCAGCTTACATATAATAAAATTCTAATAATTTGAAATCATGTTATGCTAAATTTGCAGTAGCCAAAACTTCATTATTTTGTATTAGATTCTTTACTAACTCTTTTAAATAATTTGAAGGTGGAAATTAATTTAAAGTATCTTCAACTTCATTAGGTAAAATTTGATCAGTAGGTTCAATGTATGAAAATGAATGTTCTTCATCATATTAAGGTAGATCTATTTATTTTTAAATTTTATTTTATTTATTTTACAATTACTCTTATTTTAATTATTATTAATTTTATTCCATCTTAGTATGTTATTCTTATCTTTTTATTAATTTATCTATTAGTTTACCAGGTTTTTCTTAATTGGAACATAATATTTTTTCAATTTATTCTTTTTACTTATTTTTTTTTAATTTTTTTTTACCCTTTTTTGGTGATTTTATTCTTGTATCTATTGTTTTTTTTTTAGATAAAATCTTCTTTCTCAATTACTCCAATTTAAATAAATTCTCAATTCTAATTAATTAAGAATTAATACTTTTTCTTCTATTCTAAGAGCATTTAAATTTACTAATTTTTCAAATTAATTGTATCTTAAGCTCTTTTACAATTTATATAAAGTTAAATATCATCCTTCTAAACATTCTATCTTTTTTCAACTGTATTCTAATTTTTTTTCTCTGGTAATTATTTAACATCTTTTTATAAATTTTATTTATTTATTTGTTATTTAATTAGCATCTCTCCTATATTATTAATTTAAACTGGCTTTTTAGGATTCATTTACTTTTATGGACTTGTAGAATTACTTAAAAATAAAGTGTTTGATTTCTTTTTTGTTTGATGTTAAATTGATTTTTTTAATTTCTTCTCTTATGATGGAAAAAATCCTTTTTTTGCAGTATTTATTTATGATTTTGATTTCCCCTATTGTCCTTGAATTACTTTCTTCTTTTTTAGTGTTTATTACATATGTTGAGGTTTGAGTTCAATAAATTAATCAAGAGATTATTCTGGTGAACATAATCTTGGACTCTTTTTAGCTCTATTGCTAGTAATGGCAACATTTGGTTCTTAGATTTTTCTCCCTTAAATTTAAGAATCAAAAGATCTCCTATAAATATTTGAAAATACTTTAATGAGCTATATGTATTCATACTTGAAATTATATATTAATTAAATGCAACTTTGAATTATAAAATTAAAGGTATTTTTATAATAACTACCTTTCAGTTCAAATTGTAATGTAAATAATCATGAACTTAATGAGTTCAATAAATTTAGATAATTAAATTATACTTCTTCTTTATTTTTTTATTACTTTAAAAAATTCTTAATAGATTGAATCAATAAATTAATTTCTTGTTATATACTTATTCTCTTATAAAGAAATGAACTTATATAATAAATATAAAAATATTGAATTGAATTTTTGAAGTCTATCATAAATTACCTAAGATTGATTCATCAAAATCTTTTCAAGGTTTGACTATTAAAAAGGTGTGATTAATTAATTGATATTGTATATAAGAGTTTGTTGAATTGTTATATTTTGTAATATAATTATAAATGAGTAATATTAATCGAGAGCAGTGCGTGTCTAAACTTTAAGGACATTTAAAAGGGGCCACAGCCACTATCCAAGGTAAAATAGGTTTAGAAATAAACTAGAGATTGAAGAACTTTTGATGAGTTAAGAACATATTATCTGGTAATAAGCAAGAGAAATTGAAGAACTTCGAAGAAGATTAAAATAATTGGAAAGTTTAGACTTTCAAAATGAATAAGTAGTTCATCTATAGAACATTAACATTTAATTAAAGACTTAAATTGAGTTTTTGAGGGGTGAGATTCAAGAAAAAGATGCAATGATTGCTTAATTTACTTCTAAGACTGTATAATCAGCATCACCAGAAATACTTGCTGCATAACAACAATTAATTCAATAAAATCTATAGCTACAAAATATTATAGGGGATCTTCAAAATTAAATTTTGAATAAGGATACTGTAATCGGTTAACTAAAAACTTAGGAAAGCACTTTAGATTAATTGATAGGATAACTTTAATCCAATATACAATCAAAACGAAATAAAGTAGGAGTCACTTAATAAGGAAATGAAGCATAGAGTGTACTGAATGAATTATAATAATATCCAGAAGCATTACAAGATGTTATTGAAAGGATCATATAAGAATATAGAAGAATGCAATTTCTAATAGAAGAAAAAGATATTGAAATTTAAAATTTGAAATCTCGACTTTAACTCTAACAGCAAAAAGCAAATGATTCCATTTCTGAAATTAAAAAAAGGGATATATCTCCTATTCGATCAGATTAAGCATTAGACTTAGCAAAGTAAACAGCAACAATGGATGATATGATAAATGATTTGGAGAGAAAATTAATGTCATAAGATAATAGGAAAAAAGAATTATAGGCTAAATTATTGGATGTGGGAACTTAAAATGTGGAATTGGAGAAACAATTATTATAAAGTAAAGATCAACTTCCAAAGACTGTAGATGAATTAATTAAAGCAAATTTAGATGTCAATGATAAAATCAATGAACTTTAAAAAACATTACTTTAAAAACAAAATGAGTAAGATTTATTATAAATATAAATTAACAATAGTAATATTGATAATTAATAATAATAATCTAATTTAAATAAATAAGATTATGAAAAAGTTAATACAAGTTAAACTAAAAACAATGTTGATGATTTAGTATTAGAAAATTAACAATTAGAAGATTTGATTACTGAATTATAATAAAAATTAGTAGATAAATAAGCTTAAAAATAAGAAATAGAGGATGAAATTAAGAAATTGAATATACCAGCTTTATAGTAAGATTTAAAGGATATGTAAAAATAGCATGCCATATTAGAGACTGATAATCAAAATTAGAAATAATAGATTTAATAATTATAAGAAGAAGTTAATTAAAATAAAGAAATATAATAAAAATTATTCCAAGAAAATAAAGAATTATAAGATTCAAATAATCAAACTTAAGCATAAATTAAATAGTAATAAGATAAGCTAGCATAATTACAGGATCAAAAGAATAAAAATACTAATAAATTAGTTAATGAAGATTTCTAAAAACTTTAGGAGAAATTTAATTAGACAGAGGACAATAATAAAATATTAGAATAATTAGTTCAATAACTTAATGAAGAACTAAGATAATAATAGTAAGATAATCAACCACTATAAGAGGAACTATTCAATTTAAAAAATAAGTTATAAGATACACAACTAAACAATTCAGAATTAGCATAATAAGTTAAATAACTTGAAGATGAATTAATCAACTTAAAAAAGGAATAATTGTAGAATAAGGAATCAGCTAAACCTAGCTATAGTAAATCAGGAGAGTAATAAAGGACAACTTCTATTGAAAAATTTAGAGAGCCATTCTAAAGCATAGTAGATAAGGAAGAATTCTCATTTGATTTAGGAAGTGTTAATTAATAAGAATTTTCTTCTTAGGAAGTAACAAGTACACCTGAAAATCTTAAACAATCTTAATTTGCTAAACATAAAACTTAAGATGGGAAGTTTATCACTATTCCATTAGATATAATTAAAAATTATGAATATTTGATTCGAGAAAAAGAAAATGAGATTGATGAACTCAAAAATGAACTAGCAAATTAAGGTCTTTAGAGTATACCTCTTAATTTCTAAACTGGAAATATTGGATCTAATGAATAAGATAATAATAACTTTTAACTAGAAGCTTCAGCTCCAAATCAAGATTATTAATAAAATACAGAAGATTAAGGAGCCATAATTGAATAATTGAAGAAGACAATAAAGACAAAAGATGATTATATTTAGATTCTATTAGAATAGGTTGAAGAGCTGAAATAATTTGGTACATTACCTGAAGAAAAATAAATTGAAAAATTGGAAGCTAATCAAAGAAAGTCTGATGATCTTGTGAGGTAAAATATGGAAATTGCAGATATAATTATAGATTTAGAAAGTAAATTAGCCAATAAGAAGATAGAAAATGAAGAATTAAAGAAATAGTTGGAGGAAGCGAATAAAGAATATAATGATTAATAAAAGAGAGCTAAAATGTATCAACTATATATGTTGAATTAAGAATTAGATGAGGAAGTTTCTTTATCTCCAAAATTATCTTAAGAAGAACCTTAGTATGAAAATTTAACAGATGATTAATAAGGTACAGAGTAAGATAAATCTGAAGACCCTTAAAAAAAATCCAAAAAGTTAACCATTAAAGAAAAATATGAAAAAAAACTTAAGGATCTCAAAAGGTAAAATTAAAAATTAATGGCTTAAATAAAATAATTAAATGAAGGAAAATAAGATAATATTCCTTTATAAGAAGATTGTTTATAAATAAAATAAGAAAATAAAGAAATTTCAAAATAAAATCAATCTGAAGAACCTAAAAAATAATAATTACCTTAATCTATTGTTACCAATAAGAATCCTCAAGATCTTCAATAGTAGTATGAAAAAAGTTTAGAGAAATAAACTGACTTGATTTAAGAAGTTTAAGCACTTTAGGATATCATTGAAAGTCTTGAACAGAAGGTTTAGGCTAAGATAGAAGCAAAGAATTAATTGGAAGCTTAACTTGGAGCTTTAGAGAAAAAAACAGAAGTTTAACCATAAAATTCTTAACTTTAAGAATCAGCTACTATGGCTAGTACAACAAAATTGGATTAGGAAACTTTGTAAAAATAATATGATTAAGAAGTATAAATTTCGAGATTGAAAGACTAGTTAGTAGAAAAAGAAAGAGAACTTACATAAATGTCAAAATTGAAAGACTTATTAGCAGAAAAAGAAAATGAACTTAAATCTTATAAGGAATAAATACCATCTATATAGGAATATTAAAATTAATAGTTCCTTCATTAATAAGAAGAATTAGTTAACACAGAATTACGTAAGGATATGCAAAGATTAGAGGACCAATTAGAAGCTTAAATTAAACTAAATAAAGAATTATAGCAAAGAATGGATAATCAACATGAATAAGCATCTTAATTGTCATAAAAGATAAGAGAATCTATTCATGACTCTAACTCATCTAATTCCTAAATAAGGGATAATAGACAAAAACTTGTAGAAAAATAATAAAAGGCAGATGAATTAGTTAGAGAACATTTAAGTTTAGATGACCTAATTGAGGAGTTGGAAAAGAAACTTGTAGAAAAAAATGATTATAAAGACTAATTATTAAATTAATTATAAGAAGGAACTAAATAAGCTTAATAATCTAAATTAATTGATTAACCAAAAGAACAATAAGTTTAATCACATTAACCATTTATAAAATAGTAGAATTAAGCATAAATGGTTGAACCAATATAAGAAATTAGTGATGTTTAGTAAGTTGTTAGCAATAATGACGATTAAATTTCTATTCCTTTGTAAACAGGATAGATTCTACAGGAAATAGATCGAGATAGTTAAAAGTAAGACATTAAAGAACCAAATCCTTCTGAAAAAGAATCCAACTAACTTCATCCAGCACGATCATAACCTGTGTTTGCAAAAGTAGATGAGGAAATAGAGCCAAAACTTTAATAAGTAAAATCTACTTAAGGATTTGCTTCACCTCAAGAATAGTGGGGTAAGGAAGGTATTGATGGTAAAAAGTTATAAGAGGTTTGGGATTTATTAAAGAGTAATACTGATGCAGATAAAAGAATATAAGAATTAAGAGATGCATTAGCAAGAAAGAACAAGAGAAAAGAATAATTAGAGGGTATATTTAATAAAGATTAAGAATTGCTGAGTTAAAGAGTATCAGATAGTGTTAATGAGAAAAAATAATTATAAGATTAATTACATTAAAAAAATTTATAAATTGCTGCTTTAAATGATGAATTATCAAAATTATAACAAAAAGTATTTGAGAAAGAAAAGGTAATTGATGAAAAGGATAGGGAGGTTAGAAATAGTTTATTAGTTAAGACATATTAAGATAATTGTGATAAAGCTGATGAGTTAATTAGAAAGAATATCTAAATAGAAGAAACTGTGGCAAATTTAGAATTAAAATTAGCTGAAAAATAATAAAGAATGAAGGATCTTGAATTTTAAATAGGAGCTGACTCTAGTATTTCGAATATACAAGAATAAAGGGAAAGTGGTTTGATTATTAAATCTTATGATTAAGAACAAGATACATAATTGCAATAATAGGAATAAGTACTTTAGGGTTATAGTATGAATATCGATTAATTGAAAAATAAAATTGTTTAATTGAATAGTGAATTATCTGATAAAGATACGATTAATTAAGATCTTCGTAATTAAGTAGCAGATTTGAAGAAATAAATTCATGGTTATTAATTAGCTCAATAGGATGTCAAAGTAATCAAAAAGTAAAATAAGTAATTGCAGGATGAGATATAAGCATTAGTTTAAGAAAATTTAGCTTTTGAGGATTTAATTCGTGATTCGGAATATAAGTTATAAGAGAAAAAGTCAAGAGCCAAAGAATTAGATATGGAAATTAAGAATGCTGAAATTCAAATTTAAGTTGAGAAATAGACTAAAGAAAATTTAATACTTTAATAAAAGATATAACAAACAGATGAATTAATTAAAAAAAATTTAGAATTAGATGAAGCTTTAACAAATTTGGAATTGAGAATCCTAGATAAATAATAGTTATTATCATAAAAGGAGGCTCGATTATCTAATTAGAATTCAAGAATTTTGCAATAGCCAATGTATATTTATTAAGAAGATTCAGATGAAAAAGTTAGCAATATGAAAACAGAAACATCTCCAAAAGCTTAACATTAACATCCTTTGATTTAAGAACATAATAACAATTTGAGTGAATTGACTAGTTCTATTACTCAAATGTAAGAATAGGTGAGATAATTGAGTCTTGATGATAGTGAATTTGAATTCTATTAATAACAGAAAAAAGAAAAGTAATTGGAAATAGAAACATTAAAATAATAAATATTTTAATAAAATGAAGTTATGCAAGATCTAAAATAAGAATAGATTGAAAAGTAGTAATAAATTGAATAACTTTAGAAGGAGAACTCTAATTTTGATGAATTAGTTGAGGAATTATAATAAAATTAGAAAAAAATGATTGAATAAGAAATTTCAAAGAAAGATTAAAATTAACCATAAGAGATTGGAGGTCCAGAGCAAAGTGAAATAATTAAAACAAAATCAGAGAATTTAGAATTGAGTAAGAAAGTTCATAATTTGAAATAGACATAGAAATAGTTAAAGAATTAAATTGCTAATTATGATTCTTTAATTATAGATCTTGAAACAGTAGTTGCAGATAAGAAAAATGAGATTTAGAAATTAAATAAAGATAATTAATTTTACTAGTAATAAAATAGAAAGTAAAAAGGAAAAAGAGATTTATTACATAAAGAATAAAATAATTTATAATATCAACTTAAACTTTTAGAGCCTTAATTATAAGAACTTTAATAAACTGAAAAATAAATATAATAATAAATTGCATAGATTTAGCAAAATTTAAAAGATTTAAATGATAAATGTATGCAATTAGAAGAATAAATAAATTAGAAGCAGCAAATAAATTCAGCATTGGAATTATAATTATAAATATTAAATCAAGAAATAAATTAATAAAATGAAAAGAAACAATTATTAGAATCTGATTTGAATTAATTGAGAGATGAAAATTAAGGAATTGAATAAGAAGTGAAGATATATAGAAATCTAAGTTTGGAAGATATTACATTAAGTGAACAAATAGATACTCTTACAAAATAGATAAATGATGATAAACAAACTTATGAAACCTTATAAGATGAACATAAAGCTACATAAGAATAAATCAGTTTATTATTACCTTAAAATAAAGAGATTGATTAATTGAAAGAAACTGCTAAATTATAATATGCATAAAATGTAGAAGCTTTAAATAATTTATAATAAGAATTGTAATAAAAGATTGAATAGAAGAATAAAATATTCCAAGAAGTTTCAGAAACTGAGAAATATCTTGATGAGAATAATCATCTGCTTTAGGAATTGAATGAGAAAAAGGCTAATCTTGAAGATAAAATAAAAAAAGATGAAGTGTTGGTTAATGCAGTAGCTTCTAAATCAAAACGATTATCTGAAACTTTAGAATATGAAAAATAGAATTATAATGTACTTAATGCTGAATTAGAAGATCTTTTAAAGAAGAAATAGGTCTAAGAATAAGAGTTTTTAAAGGTTAAGGATGAAATTTAAAAAATGAAAACGGAATAAGAGTTGTTATTACAATAATAATAACAGTATCAAAATTTAAAGGAATAGATTGATAAATATGAATAAGACATTGAAATTAATCTTAGGATAGTTCCAGAAAGAGAAGAATAAATATCATAATTGTTAGCAATAATTGAAAAGAAAAATGAAGTCTTGGGTACAAAGTAAGAGGATGTAGATAAATTAAATAAATTACTTGAAGAATTATAATAAGAGAAGGAACAAAAGGAAAGAGAGTTGGAGGATTAAAATTAACTTATTAAAAACATTGAGGAATAAATTATTGAAAAATATTAGAGAGAAAAGGATTTAAAGGATTAATTAGAATCAATATAATTGAGAGATCTTGAAACTGAATTAATTGACAAAATGGAATAATCTATGGCATAATAGGAAATGTTAGACTCAATTGAATAGTTAAAAAATTAAGTTTAAAAATTAAGAGAGGAAGATGATTAACTTAAATAATAGATTTAAGAATAAGAAACTATAAATAATGATCAGAGATAGGAACTTGAATTTAAATTATTAGAAAAGAATGATATAGAGTAAGATCTTCATTCTGCATCAGCTTAATTAGATGAAATGAAATTTTAATTAGAAGAAAAGAATGATTAATTGACAAAATTAAATGATTAATTTAAAAAGGTTGATGAAGACTCTAAGATGATGGAAGCTGTTTTATAATTGAAGGAAAAGGAATTAAAATAATTATAAAAGAAGAAAGAAAATTTAATAGATGAATTAGAGAAAACAAATAATGATGTTGTAGAGGCTTAGAAACAATTGGCATCTAAAAGAAAGAAATAAAGATCTTTAGGTGCAGAACCTTAATAATAAGATGAAGATATGGAGGAAGATATATAAGATAAGATTACTTCTTTGAATTCACGTAATAATAATTTGAAGGATGATCTTTAAAAATTGGTAGAATAGAGTCCAGATACAACAGAAAAGAAAGCTGAAGAATAATAAGTTATCAAAAATATTCCTATTTCAGTTTCACAATTTGCTCCAGATAAAATTTAGTAAACATTATAAGATAGAGATAAAAAAATAGAAATATTAGAAATGACTATATAGACTTTATAATAATAATAGCATGAAAGAAATAGTATGATTCCTTCTATGTTTTAATCTAAGATGTCAGTATAGCCAAGTTTCTTTATGGATGATGATCCTTTATTATTAGAATTATAAGAAAAATTCACAAAGGAAAGTGAATTGTTGAAGGATTTGCAAAATAAAATTAAATAGACTGCTGAAAGTCATTATGCTTTATCTTTATAATTAAAGGATTGGGCTGAAAAGGAAAATAGATTAGCTAAAGAATTAGATACAAGAAGATAGAGTGTAGAATAAATAGAGTTTGAACTCTAAGCAATATTTACAAAATAATCAGATTTAGAATCTGAAAAAGTTAATGTTTTATAAAGAATATATTAGTTAGAAATAGAAACATAAGAACTTTATGAATAAGAAGGTAATACTAAAAATAAATTGAAGGAAAAGAAGGATTACTTATAAACACTTTACAAAAATTTGGTTGAGAGTGATTAAAAACTTTTACAATTAAGAAATAGAATGGCTTTATATTCTCAAGAAGGAAGATAATTAGCTGAATAAGTTGAGAATTTAGAGAATGAAAAAGAAAATAAATTATAATATTTACAAGATATTCAGGCAGATTTAGAACATGCAGAAATGGAAAATTAAGAAAAATAAGCCTTAGTTCAATCTATAGCTAAAGAAATTAGTGAAACTCAATAAGAAAAAGATAGATTAGAAATATAATATGCAACAGTACATAGCAAGAATTAATAATTAAAAAGTTAAATTGGGTTTGAAGAATCTCTATATTAAAAATTACTTTAAGAATTAGAAATTGCTAAAAAGAGAGACTAAACTAAATTTCAAAATCTGTTTTCAGATGGATCAACTTAAACTGAATATGACATAGAATAATTTGAAAGTTTATCCAATAGTACTTAGATGTTCAAGATAACAAAAGATGATGCATTTTAATTAAAGGAAAATTGTAGGTAAAGATTGATTTAAATATATACTAATGAAAATACTAGCATTTAATAAACTATAAATTAAAATCAACATTTAAAGAAATTGATTCATTTACAATAAATGTTAATTCAAATATAAGAAAATGAAAACTTAAATTTAATTGAATATTCATCTAGAAGGTCATCAAAATTAGGATTCAAAGTATTAGATGAATCAATTTATAATATGAAATTAGAATTAGAATAAGTATATATATTTTATTTATTTTCTAGATTGATTTTATGATGACTAAAACTAAATTAGTTGAAGTATAAGTAAGTGATCACTAAATCATAATTGGAGATACTAAAATAGCAAGATAATGGATAATAGATAGATAATTTGATTATGATAATGCATTGTATCCTTTGGGTGTGTTGAACATCATTTATAAAGTATAATAATAATAAATGTATTTAGGTATCCCTTTATCAAGTGATTAATATTTCATTAACAGGAACAAAAGTATTAAACTTATATTAATCTATATTATGAGATCAATATATATATATAAATTAATTGTAAACATTTTAAATTTTCTTGAATAATATTTAAATATGAGTAATAATATCAAGAATTCTCATAAACTAGAAGATGTATATGATGATTAAGGATATTTTTGTGGCTGCTTTAAAAAGATCAGTAATATGGAATAAAATAGAACTATATAAACTTCAAAAGTTCGAAATTCAATGAATAAATCTGGTTTAGATGGGAGTAAACATTATGCTTCATCTTAATTGAACATAATAAACTCAACTAATTCTTAGTCATAAAGATAAAATGTAAGTGTTGCATCTCCAATAGTTAGTAGTTTTGCAATCACAACTTTCGAAAACAATTATTCCCAAAATTAGTTATTCTTGTTAAGAAATACTTAAAGTGGAGAATCAATTTTTGCAAAGATCACATAAATAGATTTAAAAACAAAGAAAATATAAACTTCAGATTTGAAAAAATCAAGACTTTTTGAATAGAAAATTGATAATGAAATAATTCAAAAGAGTTAATTTCAAGATTTAACTGCTAAATATATTGCTTGTCGTATAAAGGATTAAATTACAACATTAGCAGAATATGGATGTGGAAATGGTGGAAATACTGTTTAAGTATAATTATAATTAATAAATAATAGTTTACAAAATACTTAGACTTTGTAATTGCTATTGATATTAATACTGATGCTTGTTTTTAAACTAAATAAAATTGTGATTAAAGTGCATTTAATTTAGAATTACCAAACCCAAAAGTAGAAATAATTAATGCTGATATTTTCAAATTAAAAAAGAATCTACCATTTGATAGCATTTTTATTAATCCAACTATGAATAATGAACAATAAATCTGTAAAGATATTATAAAAGATTGCAGTCCAAATCTTAAGGAATTATTGAATCTAATCTCTGATTAAATAGAAAATTTAATTATTTAATTTCCAGCTCAAATAGACTATTCTTAATTGCCTTTACTATTAAATATAAATTAACAATATCGAAATACTAATAAATAATAATCTCATTGTTCATTAGAGATTGAAAAAGTATATATTTAAGGCACTCATGTGTATAATATTGTATATTATGGGAAAGTAGCCAATGTTTCAAGAGAGGAGTTGAAATAATTACTAACTACTTAATTGACAAATTAGGAAACAAATAAAGATGGATTTTATTAAGTTATTGCATAATTGAATGAGAAAATTGGTAAAATTATTAGTAATAATAAATTTAGGTAATTTATAATTAACTTATGAATTATTATAAGCTCAAAGTTATAAATATAATTTTGATTAATTTCTAATAGCTGTTTGTGAAAAATATAAGTTAGATTATAATGATTATGCATTCTTATTATACTAGAAACTATCAAAGTATTATAAAGATTTAAATATAGAGATTATTCATAAAATTCTAAATTTAGAGATTCTAACAATGTAATTCATGAATCAGAGGAATTTGAATTTAGTTAAAAGTATTCTTATAGTTTAACTGGTTTATCTTAAAAGGAGGAGGTATGTATTTTAGAAAGTTAAGATTTATATAACTTCGATTTAGTTGGAATTAGTAATGAAAAATTAAATTTATGTAAATGATAATCATTTTATATATTTAGAAATCAATTATCTTAATTATTCAAATCTTACAGGTTTAATTAAGATATCTTTCATTCCACTCTCTAATGCACTAAGTATATTATTTTCAGAATCATAAGCAGAACACATTACTATATTCAACTTATTATCAATTTCTAATAATTATATTGATGTTTGATAACCATTCAACCCTGCCATCTCTATATCCATCAAAATTAATTTATATTGCATTTAATGCATTTTTTATCTATTTTTAACTCTATTAATTGCTTCAAATCCATTATAAACCATATCACTTTCAAATCCTATATTCTTAATTAATAAATTTAAAGACAATAAATTAAATGGTACATCATCGCAAATAAGAATTGATGGAATGGTATCATTTTAATTTTATCTTTAACTAAAGAATGTTTAATTCCATAAAGGCATTTAATGATCTTCAACAATAGCATTTTCATCATTTTAATTTTCTGTCTCTCCTATATAATCTAATTTTATTGTAGATCCTTAAAGAGATCTAGCAATTGAATTAATTTAATTATTCACTCTAAAACTAATTTTAGTATATTCTCCTTCTCTACTTCTAATTTTGAAATATGACTTTTTTGAATATGCTAATTCATGACTCATTTTCATTCCAATAGAAAAACCTAATCCTAAATATTTGGTAGTAAAATTTCTCAATTAATCAAATATACTATCATCAATATTTTAGCTAAGAATATTATTAATAGCATCCAAATTTACTTTTGAAATTCCTCTACCAGTATCATGTACAATAAATTTAATAAAATTTATCATTCCAGATGATTTCTATTTTTTTTTAACAGAAAGAGAAATTGTATCATCACGTTCTGTAAATTTTAATGAATTATTAATTAAATTGACAAGCAATTAAAGTATTCTTTCAGAGTCACTATTAATTTTAATGTTTTCTAATCCATCTTCAATTTGAAAAATTAATTTAATTCCTTTGCTTTAACAAATATCTAAATAATATTCTTCTAATTATTTATATATATCTTTAATAAAAAATTCTTGAATATTTAAATGAAATGTTCCTAAACCGAATTAAGCATAATCTAAAATATCATTAATTTAATGCATTAGTAATTTATTGGATACTATTGAAGGGTTAATGTATTATTAAATAAGATTTGATTAAATAGGTTAATTTTTTAAAGCTTACAATAAACTTAATGAACAATTCAAAGGAGTACGTAATTCATGAGAAAATGAATTGAAATGTAAGGTTTGGAATTTATATTTCTAAAGAAACAATTATTATTTCTCTTATTTAGTGATATCTTAAAACAATACTAAATAACAAATTTAGTTTTGTAAATTAATCATTTTACAGAAAGTAATTTCTATAGTTTTATCATGATTATTAATATTGAAATGAACTATTAATTTATTAGCTTTGACAAAACTCCTATGTTCTAAACTACAGTAACAGAAATACTTACAGAGAAGAAATTTATGATTCATTAAAAAGTGATAAAAGCAACTATTTAAAATCATGTTTTGATAAAAGATTGGTTTTTTGTTTTTTATATTTGAATTACTACTCTAATAACTTCTCACTAAGGGATGAATATCTCTTAAATTGTTATTCTGCTGATGCAATTATAGATTCTATCATTTTACTATCAGCCTTCTGTGGTAATTGTTTTTATGATGTAAGACATTGAATTTCTTTATGTTACTTAGTTAAAGATTCTTCTTATTCTAAACCTCTAAAATTTGTATATAGATTTACTGTAATATAAATTTTTAGAATTATAACATTGCTTAATCATCAGTTTAAGCTGTTAAAATCTTAGATGCTTTATGATTGATGTATAAAAGGTCTAAAGATTATGATAAATATATTATTCCTTATTTAATTTGATTTGTTATGCAAATTAATTCATCTTTTTACATTAAATCTATTTTTCTATTTGTCATAATCTATTCTGCAGGTACTGTAATATAAGAATGTAATACTTCATGTGAAGTAGCTTATTTGTGATTTATTTATTTTAAACTCAACAATTTAATCAGGATTATTAAAATTAAAATTAAGGTTGTTAAGATGTATTGATGTATAAAGTTATTATTGATTTGAATTTGTATCATACAATAAACTATTGAAGTATATTGCAAATATTTGTGTTATTAATTTGATTGTTCTTAATATAACAGTAGCAAATAGATATAAAATCGATAAGAATCTAAACTTGAAAAAGCTTACCTGATTTCTAAACTCATTTATATTTAATGTATTAGTTATTAGCAGAGGGTAAATACTGAAGGTTTAAATTTTTTATAGATTAGAAGATGACAAATTACACACAATAAAGCTATTGAGCATCTTATTCCTGCTAATATATAATTGGTGTTTGAATTTGTCAATGAGAGACTGATTATAGAATCTGATCCAATCAACAAATTAATGGAAATGCTCAAGTAAATATTCATGATTATTTTATACCAAAATTATATCACATTAATTAATTTAGAATGGGATTAATGTTATGCATTTAAATATTGTTCTCTTATTCCTTTTACTTATATTGAAAAAATTTGTGAATAAAAACTATAGTTAGTTATCTTTATTACATTTAGTAGAATAATATTTATTAATGATCACCATAATTACATAAATGAAACTATGGTTATCATATTAAATAATTATTAAAATTAATGACGAAATAAAATTATCATATTTATAGCAGTCTATTAGTTAAGGTTTTGTAATGATTATATTATTTATTTTAATAAATGAATATATATTAAATAAGAAAAATGTTATTGATTTGAATTTATTAAGAATATATATTTTATAATTATTTGTCAAAGTATGAAAATTTATCTAATTAATAAAGTATTTAAATTAGAACATTGATAACGACATTAAATAGCAATATAATTGCAAATATTTAAAAATAAATTATATATGGAATTTAATTTAGAAAAGGCTTGAAAAATTATTTTATAATATCAATAATGAGAGTGATTTATATACTTGTAGCTGTGTGTTTAGTACTTGTATCAATTCCTATGTTTTATGACAATACCGACACTGCTCTTTGGTTGGAAAGGACAGATGCTCACACTTTTTTTATAACATCATCAAATAGACGATCACTATTATAGGATAAGTATTATACAATTAAATGAGTTAGCCATTAAATGATGAAACAATAAATTGAAGCAGATGAATAAGAAAGAGTACTTAAATTACAATCTTTATTTGCTGAATCAAAAAATATATGTTTAAATGGAAAAGATCCTAAAAAATGGAGCTACGAATAGATTGTTAATGAATTCATAAAAGGTCCATGTGCTCCAGTCATTTTAGTTCCAGGCTTGGCAGGAACTTCTTTAGAAGTATTGAATCAATATAATTATAGATTGAAATTGATTGTGAAAAATTATAGAAAGAAAGTCCTGAAATTTTTGAGAGTTGTGGTTGGTAAACATGTAATTCATGGTATTTTTGGTATTCTAAACCTGATTCAGAATATAGACTTTGGATTTCTACAACAACAAGCACTGTAGGTGTTATATAAACTAGTTCCAAAGATCATTGTTTTGGTAATTTAATGGAATTGAAATATGATAGTGTAACTTAAAAACATAAAGAAACTCCTGGACTTAAAGTATAAATAATTATGTAATATTATAGGTAACTTATTATGGTAATACACCAAGCACATAAAAATATAATGAATGTGGTCTAGGTGGAATCAAAGAGATGACTGATGACTATATAATCAAATATATGATGTGTGATTATAAAGGATTTCTTAATATTGGAGATTTATTGAAGAACATGGGATATGTAAGTGGACTTCTATTCTAAGCTATTCCTTATGATTATAGAAAAGGTATTTAGTAATCTGAGGCCAAATAATTAATTAGTAAGAGCATTTCAAATCTAAACAAAATAACAGGAAAAAAAGTTACTATTTTAACCCATTCTTTGGGTTCTCTTCATACTCTTAATCTACTAGGAGAAATGACTAAATAAGAGAAATAGGATTCAATTGCCACCATTATGACAATGGGAGCACCTTATTTAGGATCATCTAAAGCTATTAGAGCACATTTGGGAGGTGATCCTTCCTTTTTAGACACATTTTTAGGAATGACTGTAGGAATCAATTATTTCAACTAAAATAAAGCTATTAATTCAGCTTCAAGTTAAGTTGATATTTATCCTAAACTTACTTTCTTCTAATATCAGAATGAACCATGGATGTAAGAAATTTTGAAAAGAATTCAATAAGAAAAAGATTTTATAGAAAAAAAAACAAATAACGTAACAGCTTTATCTTGGTTTCCAAATCCTAATGAATTATGTACTAACTTAACTGACTTTAAATCTGAATGTTTGATTCATTTGTAAGATTTAAAGGAACATTTTATTGAAATTGAAAATAAACAATTTACTGCTTAAGATATAAAGGAATTATTAGATAAGTATACTATTAATGGTACATTAATATCATAATATTATTAAAACTACTAATCAAATTCATTAAACACATTATAAAATCCTGAAGTTCCATTTATTGTTTTATATGGAGGTTTTGCTTAGACTGAATATTAATTCAAATATTTAAAGAATCCTTATCATGAAGTATTAGATAAATAAGATTTTTATTTCCCCAATTTTACAACTTATGCTGTTGGTGATTAAACTGTTTTGACTTCATCTGCTCTTACTCCTGCTATTAAATGGATTTATGAACATTAAAATGGCATAAGTGAAAATCCAATAAAAGTCATTCAATATTGTTCTAATTATAAAGGTTCATTATAGTTAGATCTTTTTGATGCTGTGATTGATGGATAGAAATAAATAACTCAAAGTGGATATATTGGATTAGAATGTGAATGTTTGAAAAAAGGAGCAGTATTTAATTTTAATATATAAATAGGCCTTAAGTGACTGCAAACATTCGTGCTTAATAAACGACAAATTTGTTGTTGATCTTGTTTCATAACTTGTACGTAACAATCAAAAAGCCTCAATTGATAAAACACCATTAGATAAAAATCAATTAGAAGATATTGTGAAACAATGTTCAAATCTTTAGATTTGATTATGTTTGATAAGCAAATGTTTTATTAATTTACATCAAATATAATACACAATTTTAATAAAAATTATATATAATATGAATATAAAATACAATTTCTTAATATGCCTTTGTTATATAAATTTATAACTTAGTGAATTTGAAACAAAAATTTGAATGGAGATGATAAAATCTATTATACCCAAGGACTAAAATCAAAATTTAAACTTTAAATTAAAATATAATTATTTAAATAGAATAATTTAATAAATTTATTATTTTTTTTGGTTTAATTTTGATTAATTTAAAAATCAAATAGCTAAAAACAAAGCTATGATACTAGTTACTAAAATTAATGAATAGGTTGGTAATGGTTAACAGAATCCTCCTACCAATTAATATGAATCTTCACATAAGGTACATACATCTTTAGCTGAACATGTATCACAATTTGCAGGACAACCTATACAATATTTAGTAAAATCATCTGCAAATGTATTTGTTGGACAAGTCTCAACACATTCAATACCATTTCTATAAGTATTACATGTTTTCTCACATGCTCTTCCTGCATAACCAGCTATACATGTGCACTAATATATTCAAATTTAATATATTTACTAATCCTCCTAAACAATATCCCTTCTTATTACATTAATTTGGACATTCACTAACTGATTAACATAGATCCTTAGGATTGTCTGGACATATAATACCTGACTTATATTTATTAGTGTCATAACTTGGAGATGAACCTCCAACACTACAATCATATTCCACTCCATCAACAATGATAGTTAACCTATAATTCTCATCACAAGAATATTTGTAGCAACTGTATCCAATATCATATACAGCTCTTGTTTTACTTACAAAACCACCTTATAGACACATACTATCATATCCAAAATGAAAGTTAGTTCCTGAAAATAAAGTTTCATCATAATTATCTGCATCTCTGCAATCTAAATCTGGTATCACATAATAATAAGGACATTCTACAAGTCCATCATTCAAGCAAACTCCTATTCCTGTGTGTGTATATGAACAAGATAGATGTTTTAAGGGGTCATCAGATTCGTCATTCTCATTGTATGGATCTGTACAAAACTCTTTATATTGTAAATTGGAATAACATTAGTTCTTATAAAAATCACATCCTTTATCCTTTCCCCATAATTATACATCAGCAACATGTTTAGTTACTCGATAAAATCTAAACTTAAATTAAATATATACCCTGAATCTTCTAATAGAGCAAATGTAAATTCAGTAAATAGTGAATTTCCAGTCATCATAGCACCTGTCATTAATTCATTATAAAAGATTGATCTTTCCAAATGTGATCCTGCAGTTCCTCCTCCTTTTTGATCTTCCATCTAATAATTAATTCAACTTAATACAGTTCCTCCCAATAATTTGGAGCATCCAAAATGATTTTCTGCTAATTGAGTCAATCTTGGAGTTGGTAAATCAATTTGTTAATTCACTCTTTAATAAACTGTGAAGTTGTATTTCTCATTAGTAGTACTATTATAATAGTTTGAATAAAGATTATCAGTGAACCCTAAACCATGAATAGATTCATGTAGTACAATTAGAACAGCTGCCTCAAATTTTGCATCTGTACCCTTTAAAATTTAACATTATTTATACTTAAAATTCTTTCATGTAATAATTATTCATCTGCATAATTCCAAATATTGGTCTTCCTGTGGTTTCATCAAAGATAACAGGTGCTGCTCTTGCAATATATTCTACCTATTCATTATTCTCTTAAGTAACAAAGAATACCTAATAATATTCTTAATATTTACTAAGTCAGCATCATAACTTTTTTGAAGTGAAACAGGTATAGTAAGTAATCCCCAATCAGTTTCATAACTAGATTTCCATAATAAATTTCCTGTTTGTCGTTTCACTAATAAATGTCTTCCAAAAAATGTCTTAACTATATCTAATACTGTATTAGTTTATTATAAGATATCTGAAGGTGGAGGCTCCAAGAATTCAAAATGTATTCTTATAGTTTCCCATGAGTTATTAACATCCTCCAGTTTTCTATCATTTCGATTTTCTCTTAATTTTTATAATAACTTAGTCTAGGATGGCAATCTAATATTCCAAATATCTGAAGCAGCAAAACAAACAGTAAATAAGAATAGGATAATCTAATTCATATAAAATAATATTGTAAATTAATTGATATTTTAATACTTAAATAAATAAAATCACTAAATCAATTATAATAATTAATTACAATGTTCCAAAATTCACATACTAATAATTAATTTTCATTCCACTCTACGATTAAATTCAAAAAATTACCTAAGTTGGAACCTCTGTTTAAATAAATCAATCAAGTTGTTCCTCAAAATACCTAAAGAGGAAGAAGCTTTAAATACTATTTATTTAACGTAACTGGAGGATAATGTAAGTTTAGAAGGAAAACATGTACATGTTCTGAGTGTGGAGGAACAAATACATTCGTTGAAAAATAGAATGCTTTGTAACCCATAACATACATAAGAGCACATCATGTAAAAAAAAGAAAGAGAAAGATGCATCGTAATAAAGGAGGTGGTAGACATCTGTCAGCTATGATTACTAGAGTCCCTCTTAAAATTGAGGATATTACCAATCTTATCCCAACAAGAAAAGAAAGAAAAGCAAAAACATTACTTCAAAACTAATTTATTGAATAAACACTATTAAAATGTAAAAGACTACTGACAAAAGATGACTCTACTATTGGCTATGAATATTTTTTTGCTAATGAATTAAAAATTGCTTATTAAACTTAAGAATTTATGACTAATAGTACATTTGAAAAAACTCCAACTTAAATCAAATAATAAAATGGTAATTTAACTGGAAGTCAAAGAACAATAGATGAATCTTAAGTGACAATTGCTTAAAATTTGAATATTAATCAAAGTTAAGTCTTAAATATTCAACTTCCTAAAATAAATTACAAAATTAAACAAAAACCTTCGTTATATAGTCCTAGAATCTATTAGGACATACTTGAATCCCATAATCTTAAACCAAATAAGACTGTTGATAAATATATATCTTAAAGTACTCATTGTTCGCCAGTCAATATCAAATTACCCTTAATTAGTTAAAAAAAAGTGATCTAAACCAAAAGAAAGAAATCAGAACATGTTTATTTGAAAGGATCTCCCTTGAAATTACTGCATGAATTAAAATCTTAGATTTTATTATAAAAAAAAATGAGCAAATAATGAGTTTTGTTTTTTAACGACTATTTAATACCATTAATTATTTAATGAATGCCAACTACCCTATTTACATACAAGAAATTAAAGAGAATTGTGATCCCTTAAAAGACATTTAATTAAGTCACAAAAAATCTCTTCCTCATATTATTGAATCCATTACATAAAAGATTCCTTAAGTCAAAAAATAAAGCATCCATAAAATATGTTCTTAACAAGTATGCTTATCTATTTAATTTTATAATTGTAGGAATAAAGAATTTATTCTAACATTCACAAACTCAAAAAATATAATCTACTCAAAGAAATTGGACATGTAAATCCCCAACTTCACTAAGAATTGCAAAACACTAGAAATTATTAACTTCCTGAAAAATTAGGTAATATTAAATTATTACTCTATTAGTTTAATATCAGAAAATCTAATAGTCATAAGGAGAACTCAATATTGAGAATTAAGATTCCACAAATAACTTAAATGATTGCTATCTATAAGATGATATTATGTGTTCAAATAGGAAGATATTACTGAAACCTTGCATGCGAAACATTATGGATGACTACGAAAATCGTTATAATGAATATAGTGACTCTTACATCAATAAATATTTGGATCTGAATTGATAACAAATAATAGTTATATTTCTTTATTTTATTATAAATTGTCTTAAAATATGCTATAACTACATAGAATTAGAGCATCATCAGTTTAAGAACAAGGAGAACAAAGATAAAAACTCCCAAATATACTTACACCTACTTTTGCTGATTGGAAAATTATAAGTGATACTAGAGCACACCCTAAAATTAGCAGAAGGAATCCACTTTTTAAATTTGGTTTGATCCCACCAAAAAAGGTTGCTACTCCTTCTTCATCTACTCATTAGAATCCTCAAGATTTTAGAGGACTTAAATCAGAAGAACAAAGTCAAAGAATAAAAGAAGTTATTGTTGAAGATAGGATAAGTACAACAGAAACAAATACTGTATAATAATTTGAGTTAGATAAAAAATATTTGTAATTGCGAAATAGATCTGTTAGTGGATCAAAATAAACAAATCAAATAGTATAAATTTCAATTATATTTTAAGCTACTTGAATGTAAATAGTTATTTGACAACCAAAAAAAAGCATTTGAAGATATATTGAAATCAAACAATTTATATAATAAATATTCTAGAGTAATAGATAAGGAATAATCAATAACAAATTAGAAAATTATGTAAATTTTTAACTTATATAAATGAAAATATATATTCATATCATATAAACCCATTCTCTATATAAGTTTTAACATATCTTATATATTTTCAAAGCAAAATTATATTTTATGAGATTTTTATTTTATTTTAAATTATAGAATACATTTTTAATTATATTATTAAGTTTAATATAATCTTTTTAAGGATTTCTAAATATTATGTAAATTATATTGGATAAATTATAAAACTCAAATAATTGTTTATTAAGATAGTAATAATCTTAGTTAATTTTAAGAATATGTTCTTAATACAAATTACTATAATTCTTATTATTGTCTTATAATATTTTAAATATAAATTTTATACTATATAGTATCAATATAGATACAGAAATTTAAAGTTGTAAATAAATTATTTAATGCAAGTAAAACAAAAATCATTTGCTTATATTAAATTTTAGATAAAAACTTTTTTTGTTAAAATCAAGTAGAATGTGTTTTTTATGATTAATTTTTATTGATAAATTACCACTTTCAAATATGTACTTAACATTATATATTCTAAGTTATAAATTGTATATATAAATCAGTATATGGTTTGGAAGAATGAATTTGGCTTTTGATACTCCAAATCAACGGCTTTTCTTGATTTGTTATATTTACCATAATATTCCATGCAAGTGAAAGTAAATCTAATATATTAAATTAGAAGAATACCTGATATAATTTCCAAATTTAGCTGTTCTTAAAAACTCTTTTGAAATGCCTGTTTTAATAAGATCATCAGCATATACAAATATATCTGAACCATCTGAGTCCATAACAATAAATCCATAGTTTTTGTTCTCATCAAAGAACTTTAAATAACCAGTGCTTCTATTTCTTTTTGGAAATTCAAGTGCAATTTCTTGAAGAAGCTAAGTGACAGAAACTTAATGGTCTTAAATAAATCGATTGCATTCCTAAATAATTTGATCACCTTCAATGTTGCTTTCTTCAATTAGTTGTTACTTATACTAAAAAAATAGTGTTAATTATAATACATAATTTCTTGGGTAAGAAGAACTTTTCTTTATTTATGGAGGTTTATGGACTTGCTCTAATTTAAATGTATCAAAGTCCAAATCACTTTCACTAATGTTAGTAGAGAAATCCTTGAATTCCGATCTAGATGGAGACCATTACAAATCGATCAATTTCACAGGGAACATTTATAGACAGATAATTAAATTATTTATGAATAATTTTATTTATTTCCCTTATATACACTTACTATTGATCAAGAGAAAATATGATTGATAATTTAAAAAGTTTGGTAAGTGTTTCCACTTAACTTTTAGATATAGAAAAATAGATATTCTAAGTGATTTTAATTATTTTGTAAATTTAAAAATTTACAATATAATTAGTTAAAATAATTGGTTATTATTTATTTTTAAATATATCTTATTAAATTCTCTAAGTTTTAGTAATGACTCATGGTTAGTTTATTTGTAATAAAAGAGAAATTAATAAAAAGTAATAAAACGGATGAATTACTTTAAATTTAAATTATTATTTATATGTAATTTTTAAAAGAAGCATCATACTCTTTGAAATAAAAATTTGGATATTCCCAAAATGAAAAAGCTATAAAATTGTTTGATTAAGCATATCATTATTAAAGCACAATACTTCCTATAAATATTCTAGATTAAATAGCTGAACTCAGTTTTCAAATGTATTATTATATTTAAAAATAAGTGAACATTATCCAAAAATAATAAATGAAATAATTAAGTAACTAAATACAACAAATAACACATCCAATAATATTTTAAAAGTATATATGTAATTTTAATAATAGACACTTATTATAATAGATTATTTATTGAAATATGGATGTTCAGGAATAATTGATGATTTGAAAGAATGCATAGGTTTAATTAGATATTATTCAGAATATAAGATAGAATTTCAAGAACCACTCTTCTAATCAAGTAGATTCATTATAATATTTAAAAGTTAGATAGAAAGCATAAAATATAACAATATAATTAACAAATAGAAATCTATTGTATAAAGAAAAGGAAATTGCAAAATAGATGAAATTAAAAATTTAGATGAATAAATTAAAATAATAAGCTTAATTTAGCAATATTAATGAAGAGACTTAATCTACTTTGGATGATATGTTGGAGAATTATATTTATAAATATATGGATAAATTTCATGATAAATTAGAAAATTGGGGAGATTAAGTCAATGAAAAACTTGATAGTCTAATTAATAATGTGGCTACAAATTCAGCTTATAAAAAAGATGATAATGGTTATTATTATCCTGAATCTTGTATGGATGATGTTATGATTGTTTAAAGAAATAAAACAACAAATTTGGAATTAAAGGAAAATAGTTAAAAGTCATAAATGACAAATTAAAGTATATATATTATTTAATATTTAGATTTATTTAATTAAGAAAATATATAACCTAATAAATAAGTAATGAAATAAAGGATAAATTTATTAGATTGAATATAACTTAAATACTAAAATAAAAAAATTAATCAAAATAATTTTCTTTTTTTTCTTGTTTAAATTTCTCTAACTTAAGCTGTCACTTATTATTGAAGTTAATCTCCATTTACTATTGAATGTAATATATTAGCTAATTTATCAGCTAATTCACAGACTTCAGATTTTGGTGGATTAAATATATAAGCATTTCTTCTAATCCTTTCAACATCATTAAGAATCTAATCTTTGCTTCTATAAAAATCATTCTCTAATCTTTAATATTTAATATATATAATTACCTTCTTTGAATAAGTGTAATATAACTCATTAATGGTACATAATCTAAATATTCAGGATATAATTGAACATCAACTTCATTGGAAAAGAAAAAGGCTATCTTAGTTTACTTTTTGATCATAGCATTAATGTCTCTATTAATTTATTAAGCCTCATTAGTAGTCAATGCAGATTATAAGGAAGCCCCTTAAATTTCGATTGATTTATTAGATTTATTCATCATAGATGCAATTTCCCAGAAATTTAAATGACAATAAGCAATCATATTTTTTTAATTTCTTAATTAATATGTTTCATCACTAATTCTTTTGCATTTCAATACTTACCAATCACTGGTATTTAAATAATTATCAGGGGTTTCTAAAGCAATGAATTAATATTAATGTCCAAATCCATTGTCTTTATCAGCATCAGTTTAGAAACTAATTTATTGTTGATTCAAATAAGGTTTAATTTATCTTACACTAGATGCATATGATTCTTCTAAAATTAGATATGGATCACAATCATAAGAGTAAAAGCATTTGAATATTAGATCCTTTGTTTAAAGTTCAAAAACTTATATGATATAAGAATTTTAATTAACTTGTCTTTTAAACACTGTATTGATTACAGGGAATATGTAATTTATATTGAGTACTTTACAATATACAAAATTGGCTGATTCTTAATCTGTAAGAATATCTCCAGGAAAGACAATAGTTTTTTTGGATGCAGAATCAATAGATAATTCTGATAAATCTAAATTATGTAGACATTTTTAAAGATATTATTCATATCCTTTTGTAAAGAATATAACATCATCTCCAATCTAAGGGGAATTAGTATCATCAGTTAAATACTTGTCTCTTAAGTGATCCCCTTATCTTGTTTAAGCTTATTTCTTTCTTGAAAATGATGTCATACAATTAATACAAATTCTTTTTTGAGTTCCAAAATCTAATTCACATAAAAATAGACGAGCTTCACTACATTCTTAATGATATGCTGATTTACATTCAGGACAACGAACTACATTATCCATTAAAATTCTACATCTAGTACATTATTCAGTTACTTATGATCTATTACGTCTTAATTCATTTTATTATCTATGATTATTAAGTATTATTAATCTAATTTATTGACTTCTTTGATTTCTTCTAGATCTTGTTTATAAAGGAGATTATTCAATTTAAACATCTTCCTTAACATTTTAATCACTTTATTTACTTACTTCTTCTTCACTTTCACTTTCAATTACTTTTTTTCTTCTTTAACTTTATTTTTTGGATTCATTAATATTAATAATTAATTATTAAGGAACTTATAAAGAAATTTATGGACTACTATCTTCATCATCTTTAATTAATACTCTCTTAATAAATTCAAATGACTTTTATTCAGTTTTTTTGATTAATTTTGCATTATGATTAGATGGTGATCTTTCTGGAATTGGTTTATTAGCTACTTCAACAATTTCACCTTCTAATTTTTAAATTTTAACTTAATCTGAAATTTTCATTAATTCTTTAATTTCATGAATAATTTTAATTTCCATTTATTTCATCTCTGCAAAATAACCTTAAAACATTTCTTCATTTTTCATGTTATCTATAGCAATTCCTTTTGACATTTATATATAAGTAAATAATTTAGGCTTTTATATATTGACACTCTTTTTTCCTTAATAATCTTGAGATATTAAATAAGGAAAAAGAGTCTTAAAATTATTCTAGAAATTATAATGATATGGCATTCTATAGAAATTACAAATACTACCTCTATCCACATAACAAAATTCCATATCAGAATCTAATGCCATAACTCTAAATCCATCTGATTCATCTATTATTGGATGTTCTGAATCTGAAACATAAAATTATTCAACTGGAGTTTAATCAAAGATTTCTTATACTCCAAAACCATAAATAGAAAATGATCCATAATCTGTTGATACTACAAAAGTCATTCCATTTGGACTGAAACATCCATCTTTTAAAGGAACTTCTAAATTTGGTAATTTCAAATGATATCCTCTTTCATGAAACACTTTTAAAGGTATACCTTTTTGTATATTCCATAAAATTATTAATCCATTTTCATCAGCTGACAATGCCACTTCTTCATAAATAGGATGTGCTTCTAAAAATACAACATGAGAATCTAATTTTAATTAAGGTAAACTCTCTTAATCCATACAATGAATAACTTAATTTTCATGTGTTGAATAAACTTAAATTTAAGTCTTTGATTTTTCCTCATCTCCTTTCTTCTTTAATTTCTTGCTAAATGAAGCTAAAGCATAAGTGCTTTTTGAAGACCAAGCTATTGCAAAACATTAGATTTCTCCTACTCTTCTCCCTTCAGTTGATTTATATTTTAATAACACTTATGATCTATTATGTTAATTAGCTGCAATTCCTCCTTCTTACCATTTCCATAATCTAGCACTTCCATCAAAAGATGCAGTTAACAATTGATCACCATCCTTTGACCAACGAGCCAAATGAACTGTGGCTGAATGTTCACGCCATTCTACTTTATTGATTACTTTAGATAGATTTTCTGGTTTATCAAAGATTATTATTTCTCCTTAATCTGTTCCCATTGCCAAATAACCCTATTTATTGAATTCCATACACAATATACCATTCACCTTACCTTTATTTGCTTTATTATAATTCACATTCAATCTAATGATATCTGCTTGATGTTTGATTGCAGATTACTTAATTTTTGCATTGAACTATGTACCCAAAATACTTCCATTACATTTAATCAAATCCTATACATCATAAATATAAACATATCCCTTTTCACTTGCAACTGTCAAATAGTTAACATTTTATGAACTACTTTGATAAAATACTAAAACTAGTATTGGATCATCTTATGCTTCCTATTAATCTAGAGTATTATTATACTTTTAATGCTGCCACAGGTTTACCAATCTATATATCCCATACAATAACCAAACCATCATTACTACAAGATGCCAAATATTTATTACAATAACTAATATCCATTGAATTTATTGCCATTGTATGACCTTTTAATGATTATAATAATAGTCCATTAGATGCTGACCATATCTTTATCAATCCTAAATCATCTCCTGTTAACAATAACTAACCAGTTCTAATATATTTATATATCATATTTTACCTGTCATATATTACATTATACACTGGTATGTATGGATCCTCCTAATCTTAATTGTCTGGATGAAGAGCATGTCCAAAACAAGTCTTTAATTTTCTCATATATTCAACTGATGATATAAAATCTTGGCGCACAACTCGACCACCATTTAATTATTAAAGTGATTATGATTTGTTCCTTATACTTTCATATCTTGATTATCGTTTAGGTTCAGGTGTTTCACGAGCTATATAATTTTGAAGCATCTTCTGGATAACACTTTCATAAGAAGGACTCAATTTTGTAGAGATTAAATTTTTAAGATTCAAATCTAGACAGATGCATCATAAATTTAAGTACCATTGACCTGTAGAATATGCCCACGCTTATGACCATTCTTTTAATTGAAGAAATTCTCCAATCCCTCTAGAAGATGTTTTTCACATTGAAGCTCGTGCAAGTGATTCAGGATCATTTAGGCACAGATTCTCTGCTGTTGACTCTCTAAAATGGTTGACTTTTGAAGCTTCTTTGTGTAGTATGATATCAATCGTGCTTCAATCAACTTTTTTCCTTAGTTCTCTTCAAAGCTGTTTTACATTCCTAAAATGCATAATTCTTACAAAAACTAATACCTTATTCTAGTATAAAAAATTAGAGGCTTTAAATATGATATTTTAATCAATTATTTAATCATCGATGTAGGGGGTTTAAATACAAATAAGAATGGTTCCTAACCAGATTGGAAATCATTAACATAATATCATCAAAAACAAAAAAAACACAAATTAGAAAAATAGAACATTTCCCTGCCGCCTTAATTACATAATTTTTTATTTTATATTAACTTTATAAATTATAATTAATTTGCCATAATTTCCTGATTTTCTATTCAAAACTCTTCCATTTCATTTAAACTACCTTAAATTCCTTTTATTCTCTAACAAATACTTATTTTATCCTAAATTTAAAATTGATCGTTACTTTTTTATTTCTATTCTTTTTAGGTTCCTAATCTATTAATATACTCATAAAATACTATAATATTGACTCATACATAAGATTTCTGATTAAATTTAATACATTTTCAATAGTTAATTGGATAAACATAATTTATAAGCTATACTCTTAAAAATATAAAATGAATAATGATAAGCAATATGTAATATGCAATATTTTCAAATCTCCTTGACATCCTTTAAATCAATTTCTTGATATTGCTCAAAGAAATCACGAGTAATCTAATCTTTGTTTCTAATTTCTTCTGGTAAAGATGTCAATAAATGATAGATAAAATGTTCTAAAGGTTTGTTTGGTCTTTTAGTAATGAGTTCTTTGTAACCATTTGAGATGATTTGATTAAACTTTTCTTATTCTTATTAGTTCATTTATAATTATAAATAATATAGTATGAAAAATATATGATTTCTCATATTAAAACCTCAAAGTTGAGTTTTATCAATAGTGGAATTATTTCTCCAATTTGAGTATTCTAGAGAAAGTTCTGCAATTAAAGTATAAGATTGATAGAACTTTGTACTGACTTCTTCTGTGAGAAGCTCTTCTCTTATTAATTCTTCAATCTAAAAAGCTAGTTTCTCCATTAGTTCCAATATTAAGCCTATTGTAACATCATTCATAAGGGGATTTGTACTTTAACCCATTAAAATTTGATTAATGGCTTTTTGTAATAAAATAATTGGAAGTGTTCTATCACAAGAGATCAATTTGGTTAGCATTTGGTCCATCCTATACCATGTACTTAAAATCTTTATTTAAAATTCAATTAAAGTGAAAGGTTTAGGGATAGTATTTTCATTTTCTATTTTTATTAGACGAATTAGATTTGATGGCTTATCTTTATTAGTTTTAGTGACACAAATGCCCATTATAAAAAGATGAATAAATATTATTGTAAAACATCCATTTATTAAGTTACTTTTATAATTCAAATATAATATCTTTTAGATGTGATATTTAATTTAATGAAAATATTCAGAATACAAAATTAAACATAGAATTCATTGAAATTGCTAAGGGTTAATTTTCGATGGTGAATTCTAGGGATTCTAGTTTCCAATCTTATCAATCAACATTTTGTAATCAAATTATTTTGAACCATCAAATTCTCTAAAAATAAAAAATCCTAAAAATTCTTTTTATCTTTCATCTAAAAGTATATTACTACCCTAAATTGCATTTTTAAATTCAATCTCATCACATAATTCATTATATTAAGAATTAGATCTCTTTGAAGTAATCATTTTTATTTATTCAACAATAGATTATCTAAATTTCCAAATTTATTAACTTATATTTTACATTATATGATTTTATTATTCATTATCAAATAATTAATATTTTCCTATAATATTCTTTAATACACTTTTTATGACACAATTATCATTAGTTTATAATGGTGTGAATTCAACATAAGGTTGTGTATTATCTTCAATTAAATATCTTGCTAAAAGTAAAGCCTATTTTTATTATTGCATACAAAAGGGAGCTCCTTATAGTATATCAACTAATTCAATAATACTTATTTCTGATTTCCATTCAAAAAATTAATTTATTTATTCAAAAGCTACATGTTAAGTCATTAATTAATATTTTAATTGTTTTCCAATTTCTTCTACATCAATATGATTTACTCTTGGTAATTTCTATTTAGTCACTTCGATATCAGGTATGATTTATAAACTTTATACTTTTGGAGATTTTTATTCATCTCTAACAGAATCAACACTTAATCTATTTTACATAGTATATGATCTATCTCTATGATCTTCTTCTAATATAATTTTAGTTTCTGATTATTGTTTATAAGAATTACTAAGATCATCATCACCCAAAACTAAGAAATTTTTATTTACTTTTTCATCTAATGCCTCTTAAAATGATGTATCTGCCTCTTTTTTATTAGTTAACCATGATTTTTTAGTTTGATATTAATCTTCTAATTCTTTAAATTGTCTTTATTTTTAAAAAACTAATAATTTTTATTTTTCTAATTCAATTTCAAAAGATTAGATATCACTCTACTATTTAGATAATTATTAATTTAAGTTATCAATTATTTCTTTATATCTAGTTTTCTTTTATATTTCTTATTCATGATTTTTCTTATATTTATCAAATTCAATTTAACATTATTCTAATTATTTTCTATATCTATCCTTCATTGCTTAACAAGTTAATAATTCTTATCTTAAACAAAGAATTTTTCTTTTCTATTTTTGATTACTATTTGACAGTATTCTAAGTTTCTCTTCCAATTCTACAGTTTGGATAGTCAATTTATGGAATTTATGAACATCATTTTCGGTTTTCAAGATTTCATTAATTTGTTTGTTCAAAATCTCAAACTTAGATTTTGTATTTCCTAACTCCATCTTACAATACTTATAAGCACAATACTTCCATTTCTTGCAGTTTCATATAACGGGTACTCTTCTTCAAACTTTCTATCTCTGTCTATCTCTCCTATAACAACATTCTTGCTTGCTTAAGTTTTTCAACCAATCTTGAACTTTGATTGTAATTGATTTAGTCATCAGATACCTCTTATGTTGTTCTTTTATCTTATTGTTCCTTCTAATCAAATTACATAATCTAGTTACCTCATCAAGTTTAATTTAGAACTATAGCTACTTATTCTAATCTTTAAGTCTAGAATTCTCTTTCTTCAATTAAATAATTTCTTCTTTTAATTATTCAATATCTTTTTGATATGGAATTTGTTATCTTCCTGATTAAATTTCATTAATAGGTGAATCATAAATTTTTTGAGTAGGTCTTCTCCCATAAAACTGTGATATACACAAATTCATATTATCAGGAGTCAATGCTGGTAATCCATTAGTCATTGACTAATTTAAGGAATAAGCAGCACGTTAATTTTATCTCACTATTCTGCTCATTATATAAATAGTATTAATAAATTTTAATCAATCTCTTTCTCAACAAATTAAAAAATATAAATTACTAAAGATCAAATTAATTATAAAAATATTCAATTATTCCTATACTCTTTGTATATTTATAATAATATTGTTATTTCTATTGTATACTTATAATTATATACTCAATTCAATTTTATATTAATATTCTAATAATATAAGAGAAGAATTGATCCAATTAATGAAATTACTTAATTAAAACTATTATTCAAGAATTATAATATTATATAATCATCTAAATTAAATTATTGTTAATATCTAAATTATGGTTTAAATAAATCAACGCTAAAATTGAATTCATATTACTTGTATTGATATTTTAATAATATAAATTTTATAGATTACAGTTTATACTATTGATATCAATATTGTGCAAATGGTTAGAAATAAATTGATAAATATCAATAATTTTTATTATGTTAAACAAAAACGGAACATACACAAAATCAAAATATAGTTCATCAATGAGTGTATCAAGTATGGATAATAGAGTCAGATACTCTTAAGCTCCTGAGTAATTAGGGAAAAGAGCAAAATTACCACTTGATATTACAATGTTTGTAATGGCTGTAGAGGTTGAGAGATTATAAAGAGAAAATGCTTAATTGAAATCAGAGCTACAATCAAATAGTGATTCTAATTTGGATAGAGTTTAATATGAAAGTTAGATAAGGGATTTGATGGAAAAGATAAGAGTGTAAAACAGGTAATCATTTGATGTGACTATTATACTTAGTTCTTAGAGTAGTTTATTGATTGATATAGAAAAATTACAAAAAACAGTATAGGATTTGGAGGATCAACTTAGAAGATAATAGTAATCATAAAAAGAATATGATCCAAATTGGAGAGCAAAATTGAGTCAAGCTGAACTTTAATTGGCAGCATTTTAGAAGTAATTTAACTAATAAGTAAATCTATTTGGTGGGTAAAGTGCAGATTAAGTGATGAGAGAGTTAGAAGAATTAAGGAGGAAAAAATAGTAATTTGAAGATTTTTCAAGATAAATGAATGGAAGGAATGTCAGTAATAAAAGTAAATTAAAATAGATGAATTGTTGAGAGAATTAGATGATTTAAGGAGAAAATAGACATCCTTTGAAGATACCAGTGCATTAAGATAATAATTATAGTAATCTTAAAATCGTGTTAGATAATTAGAATAAAAACTATCAGAAATGGATTAATATATTAATACAATAGAATCTGATTTGAATAGATTTGAATCTGAAAATAAGAGATTAACAATAAGTATGTCTTCAAAAATTTAAAGTGAGAATAATGAAACAACTTTATTAAGGAATGAAATAACTAAACTAAATAATGAAATAAGTAAATTATGGTCAGACAATGAGACTCTTGTTCTAGAAATAGATTAATTATAGATGAAACTAAGAACATTAAGTGAAGATGAATTGAGAAGATTAAGAAATGAAATTACTAGATTATAAGAGTAAAATAATCAATTAGAATCTTAAATTATACGTTTATAATCTTAAAACTAATCTTTGATGTCAGAAATATCTCAACTTAATATGACAATAGAGTAAAATCAATATGCTATTAGTGATGCAAATAAATAGAAATATATCTTTGAAGAATATAAAGAAAAGATAAGATAATTTGAATTGAAATTTTAAGAACTTTAATTATAAAATGAAAGATTAAGATAATAAGATCATAAAGTAGCTGTTCTAACAACTGAAATAGAAAGATTGAATAATTTAATTAAATAATTAAATACTGATACAGATGAATGGAAATAAAAGTATTAAAGAATAGAATTAGCATTGATGGATTATAGATAAATAGAAAAAACAAATAGAGATGCAGTTACTAAAAATGAATTACTTTTAGATGAAATTGAAAGATTAAAAAAAATATTAGAATAAAAGTAATATGATATGGATCAATTAATGAAATAGTATGATGTCATTTAATCTCAAATCAGTACTTATCAAATTAATGCAAATGCTAGTGTTAGTAGAATCTAAGAATATGAATCAACATAAAGAGAAACATCTACAATTTTATAGGATAATGAAAGATTAAAGAGATAACTTTAATAATTTCAATAATAGATTTCTACTCTTTAAATATAAGTTTAAGAATAAACTACAAAGAATCAATAATTAATAACTTAACAATAGTAATCATATATGATTAATAATAATAATACAGAAATAGATAAATTAAAAAGATAGATACATGAATATGAGAATAAAATTGCAATGTTATCTCTTGAACTTACTAGAGTTAGAAATACTAAGTAGAATTCAAATTCATTTGATAAATCTGATAAAGTTATGGAACTCTTAACAACAATTGTTATTATGTCTGCTGAACTTGACAATCTTAGAGGAATTACATATGAAAAAAGTACTGTGTAATCATAGAAATTACAAGACAATACTTCACAATCAGTTCGTTCTCAATCTATAAATAATTAACAGGCTAATTATTCATACAGTAGTTGGAGATAGAAATGAATTATAAATATATATATATAATAATAATAATTTTATTTTAATCAGCGCTGTGGAGAGAAGAATCTTAAATCATTTCTCTAACTCCTTTTCATCATATATTAGGTGAAGGTAAGGATCACCTACTGATGATTAAAATTATCATTAATAATAAACCACTATATAAATTGATATTAAAATCCTGATTTTATGGGTTTAATAAAAAACATTATAATAATTTAATAATTATATTATGGAATATATAAATGAAACTTTTAAAAACCTAGAAGTTTATCAGAATGGATAACTTATATCATATCAATATAATCAAACTAATGAAAAAGAAAATTACTAAATTGATGAACTAATTAAAAATTTAAATTTAAATTTGAGTGATACCAAAATTGATGATCAAATAATTAATCAATTTTCTTAGATGAATTGTAAAGATAATTGAAACATAGAAATAATTAATAAATTAATAAAAATCAATGCTTATTTTCAAGTTAATAAAATACTTCTGCAATAACTTCTAATTTAATTGGTTTTGGTATAAAAGCATCAAATCCTAGTTTTTCACATTTTTCTTATTCAACTTCATCATCAAAACCAGATAATGCAACTAATTTAACATTATCTATTTCTCTATCATTAATCTATTAATAATAAAATTAATTACCATTGTTCTTATCTTTTCAGCAGCCTACCATCCATTTAAAATTGGCATATATAGATCCATAAATACATATTTGATATTTAAATTTTTTTAATTTTACAAGAGCTTAAATACAATTATTAAAATACTTTATTTATAGCTTATTGTCCATTATAAGCTTCAATAATATCCAATCCAGAAATCATATCTTAAAGTAGAGTCTTAAATGCTATTAAGTTAAAAATTTGATCATCCACTAATAAAATACCAAATTTCTTATTTTATAACACTTATTTTAATTTTTATCTTGGATCCTATACCTCTTAAGAATCCCCTTTTTAATAAGTTTTTTAATTAAATATTTTTTAACCCAAAGATTAAAATTTCATAATATTTCTTATCTTTGTTTAATCTGGGTCTTCTGAAGATGGTTCATTAATATCATTTTCAGTCTTTTCTTAAAGTTTTGTGTAGATTCTCACAAGAGATGATCTCACTATTACTTAATGATTATCTTTCCCATTCAATGAATCATCATGTTATTAGATACTTAGATATTAAGAAGAGTGTTCCTATTTAAAACAACTTATATAATTAGCTGACTTAATAGAATTATCTTGTAATTTTGCATAAATTTAAAATGACATTTTTGTTCCAACATTTTATTCACTCCAAAGATCAATATTTTCAGATGGACCCAGTAAACCAACAAGATTCTTACAGACCATCAATCCAATTCCTGTACCACTTTTATTTTCAATCTTTTAATTTGAAAAAGTTGCGAATAAATTAAATAATTATGGTTTAATATTATCTGGTATCCCACAACCAGTATCTTCTATTGATATATTATATACTAATTTATTAATGGAACTTTCTTAAAATCTTCCTTATAAAGTTTTTCTTATTTGTTAGATAGTTTAATCTCCAACTTAATATTGTATATTTTTGGAAGTATTACTTCTTTTAATATGTTAAGATTTATCAGAATTGAGTGATGAAACAGTAATTGTGATATTACCTTATTCTGTAAATTTTAATGAATTAGACAAAAAATTCATTATAATTTACTTAATTCTATTAGGATCTGAATGAATTTGATAAGATGGAATATCATAATATGTTTTAATTTCAACTCCTTTTTATTCTGCTTAAATTGAACACATTTCAATAACTTCATCAATTATTTCATTAATATAAAAATCAGTTAAACATAATCTTAATTATTTCTTTTATATTCTTGCATAATCTTGAATGTCATAAATCATATAAAGCATTAAATAAACATTTTTCTTTATTATATTATGATAATATTTTTCTATTTAAGTTATTTCACTTTTACAATCTAAACTCTCCAAAATGGATACAATACCATTTATTGGAGTTTTAAAATCATGAAATACTGTAGCTAAAATTAAATCTTTATTTTCACTAATTTATTATTATTAATTTAATTGTTCTTATAAATTTTCCAACTATTTATCTATCTCTTTACTTTACAATATTATCATAAATGCTTATCTTCTATACCATAGACAATGATTTAAATTAATTTTCAATTTCTTTTTTCTTAATTAAACTAGACAAATAGTTTTTTAACTTTAACTTTTAATTATTAATTCCTCTAATATTTTAGATTTTTAATGTTTTGGAGTCTCTTCACTTAAAAGGATTGAAGGTTTTGAATATTATTTATTTTTTGGAGTTTCAATAATAATTTCATTATCATGTTTATGTTCTCGTTCTTCATTTAATTCATCTTCAGGAGACTCAAATTAACCAGAGAATCTTTTAAATAAGGGACTCTAAGATAGATATTAACAATTGTCCATAATTTCAGAAAATAAATTCTTGAAATTTTGACGAGCACTATAAATTTGAGGTATGAAACTATCAATGATACACTGTAATTTAATTTTGTTTTCAGAGTAGAAACTATTAAGACAATTTATAAATTCATCAGAATGAAGAATTTCATATTTAAATTCAGTTTCTAGATTTTTGGTATGATAGAGAGGCTTCTTTGTTTGTTTATCGATGACAAGAATTGAAGCAGGCAAAGTTTCCCTCAATAATTCTAAAAGATCATTAGCATCCTCTCGCTCATAAATCTAAAGCTATGCTTGGATTTTACAATAATTATGGGTGCAAAAGCAATTCCAATGTATGAGATAGCATACTAGAATTCATTGAATCTTACTATCAAATAAGTAAGTCCAATAAAGAATATTAGCGATTAAAGTATTTATATTTACAAAATCTAAATCAAGGCAAAGAGTTTGAGTATTATGTAAATAAAAGATCCCTTGGTATAATTTAAGAGTAAATACTTCATGTGCAATCTCTTTAAGCATTTCAATTTCAATTATGATCATTATTATTTGAGTAACTCCCAAATAATAATCACTTGTTTAACTTATGAACTTTTATTTCCATTCCAAAATCAAGAATATAATTGAGAATAGTAAATCTAATATTAAAAGCAATCCAGAATTTGAAATAGCAATTATTTGTGTTATACCAAGTATCAAAATCAGTAGTGAGGCAATAATATTGCAAATAATAAACTTTTATTATGCTCCAATTTTCATTGAATCAGAAATAGGTTTATAAAAATAAATAATGATGATAATAATTTTATATAATTTCAATAATTTTGGATAAAATAGATTTATACATTATAATCTTAATGAATATTATATATACCTTCAGATTTCCTCTTTTATTTAATCATCATCTATATGTTCACTTTCAAAATTTTTCTTATTTCTCAAATAATCTTATTCATCCACACAAAATTCTTCAATGTCATTCTCGTAAGAGACATTTCCAATTTTTGAATAAAAATTAGTTTTAGTCAAAGGTTTGCCATTATTAGAGGAAAATCCCTAAAATTTGTAGAAATTGTAATACTTTCACAGCTTTGTCAATAATACATTTCTGACGAGCAGTCAATATTCTAGCTGATTCTGGATAAGATGGAATAACAAATCTAATTATATATTTGAGAACCAAAAAAGACACTAATATTACTGGAAATATTAGTTCTTAATTTTTAGTAAAAAATCCTGATGTAAAAACTATCAAACCTGCATTAACAAATATTCCTAAAAATGTTATAATATCCAATATTATTAACCAATTTCCAATACTTGATGCTCCTTCAGGAAATGGTCTTCTAACAAATTTTAAAAATCTCAATTTGTCTACTTAAATTTTTAATATATTTTATCCAAAAGCCATAATAAAACAAGCTGGAAATGATACACCAAATAAAATTAAATATGAAAATTAAATAGAAATCTCTAAATAATCTAATACACTCCCATCTACCTCTTCTTTATCATCCTAATATGGATCTAATCCTAATTAATCTTCAATTTATGTATCAATATACTTGAAAGGGTGAGTATTTTATTTCTCTACAAATAGTTTATTTTTAATTTACTAATTTTAATAAGAATTATTATACTCTCATTGAAAATTCTTTAACAAATGGTGTTATTAGTTTAGGAATACTACCAGTTAAATTAGAAGAAAATATAGTACTAAGTTAATTAGATAATAATAGGAAACAATCATTTGTTATTTCTTCATTCACCTTACAAATATTTAAATTAGGAAAGAACCCTGACATAAATGATACAAGAAAGAAAGAATTAAAGCTAAAAATATATATATATATATTTAATATACTTGTTTACAAATCTAAAAATAAAGTTCTTTACAACTAATGAATTTTCAAAAGATTATAAGATTTTATGATTCTCTAAAAAATTGAAAATTTTAGCAACATTTGCATAAATAGTAGTAAATATATTGATTTGAGCAGACATTAAGATACCAGGTACTGTTTATGACAATAATGGACCTTAATCTTCTTCTATCATTTTATTCTTAAAAATAAAAATTGCTATAACACATCCTACTACCATTCCAATAATTAAAAGACTAATACCAAAGGCACATAATTTTGTCATCTACCTTTTAAAAGGAGAATAGAAACGTTCATTTAATGCATCTGAAGTAATAGATCTTATAAATTTGCCTTAAAATGCTGGTCTTTCAGCAGCTACCTATTCTATATTTGATTAACCAAATTATAAACTAAATATTACTTATTCTTATCTCCAATATTCAATTAAAAACGTACTCCAAATAATAACTAATGAAGAGAATATAACAGTTAATGTATCTTATAATCCTGGTGTCGATAATGATTATAAACCTTAAAAAATAACACCAACAACAGATAAATACCATAGTTATTTAGTGTAAAAAGTTAAAAATAAAAAATAAATTGCAATTTTTTCTCCAAAATAGTCTCGATAAGTTTAAATAGGTACATGCCAAGGAACTCTCAAATTAAAAGCACTATCTTCTTTTACAGATTTACAATCATAATCAGTTGATTCAGCATGAGCTTTCAATTATACTAATACTTCATCAAGTTTTTTATCTCCTTAAGTCTAATCATTCCTACGTTTATTAATGTATTCATTATCTTCTAAAGTTTAAAATAATTAATTTTTAGGTTCACCATTTAATTAATATGGATCATGTATTGGAATATAAAATAAAGCAATTTAACTCTACAACATTTTTTAAATATTAATATGTTTTAAAACAATTGCATGAGTTAATTTAATTTTTTCCATATTTAAAAATTCAGATCTTTACTTTTTCTCATTAAATTCATATTTTCTCCACATTTATTTAGCATAATCTCCTTATGGAATAAAAAACTCTGTGTAAGGAGCAGTAGGATAAATTTCTAATCTATCCCAAATATTAAATAAAATAGATCTATTATTACTAATATCTCTCCAAATAGTTTTATATTTTTTAAACCAAAGTTCATTAGCATCACTTATAGCTTTTCGAAATACTAATTTATAGAGAAAGGCTTCAAATTCTTTTAATCTCTCTTTGGCTTCAGAGGAACTTCTTTTAATTGATTATATCTATTTACCAAAACATAATATGCATTCGAGATATATAAAATATGATTACCACTCTTAAATTGAGATAGGTTCATCATTTAATATTTCAGCTTTCTCTTAACTTTAATCTATATTTAAATCTATAGCTAAAGGCTTTAATATCATATCAATTTCTAATTGTTTTAATATTAGATTAAGTCTAAGATCAAAAGGTTTCCATTAAACTACTTTATCATATAATTATTCACAATGAGTAGAGATATTAGTTAATGAAATTATTTTATCTTCTCTATTAGTTTGATTACTAAGTTCTATCAATTTAGCTTATATTCTTTAATCCTCTTCTGAATTAGATTAATATGATCTTAAATACTTTTTTAATCTTAATGGTCTTAATTTATAATCAACTGGTTCTAAACTGAATAGATCAGCAAATCCTAATTCAAGTTGTTTTACAACTTTAACTTTTTATGCTTGTCTCATAATTACTTATTTTGTGCTTTTAATAACTAGAAATATTTAGGCACCATTAGAAGAAATAAATTATCTACAATGTAAAAAAGCATTACGCATTAACTTTTCTATTATAGTAAATCTAATTAAAGTCATAAAATCTTTAGGTTGCTAATTATTACATATCCAAATTTCTTCATTTGTATTTTCATCTTTTACTTTCTCTAAATATTTACCTAAATTAACTTATTTTTTAACTTTAGTAAATTGTTTAGCATCATTCAAATTAATTTTAAATAGTTCTTTAATAGGATCCATATATTATGTATCATCACTAGTAACATGTTGAGATTTTTAATGAATCAATTAATTAACACTAATATCATTTTCAGATACAGATTTATCTTAAATAGTTTTCTTTGAAATTTAACCTTTCAATTTTCTATTTTATGCTTCCTTTTCTTCTTTTTCAAATCTTTCTAATTTCTCTTATTCTATTTTCTTATACTTTTCCATAAATTATAAATATTTCTCATAGCTATTTAATTCCTTTTTTTTCTTCTTCTCTTCATTTTCTTAATCCATTTCATTTTCTTAAACTTCTTCTTTTTATTAACCATCACCATTATCCTCATGCAACTCAGAATCCTCCATATCAATATCCATATCAAAATCACTAATATCTAAATCTATTTCTCTTTATTTTGTTTATGATTTCTCTTAATTAGTACCCTTGTTCTCTTTCTAAGAATGCTATGAAGGATGATTTTGTCTCTCATTTTTTTCTTTTTGAGAATGTTAAGATATAGCTGCTGCTCTTTCTCTTTTTGTCTATGTTGGAGTAGCATTAGGCTTAAGTTATGATGTTTTTTTCATTTTTATTTCTGAAACAGATTTTTCAATATAAGGAGATTTTGAATCTTATTCTTAGGAATCCTAATATTCTTTTTTTGCTGCTTCTTCCTTTTCTTTCTTCTTTTTTTCTTCTTCTTCTTTAAGTTTTTTTCTGGTTTTATCATCTAAATAATCATCTAACATTAAAAATGCTAATAAGAATGCTTCTTTTTCTTTTTTTAATTATGATTCTGAGACATCATCATTTTTTTATGCTAGAGTTTCATCATAGAATTTCTCTGCCTCTTTATATGTTATAGATGGATTTTTAACTCCATCAGCATCAGGATTAGGAAATACAATTACTAAATCTCCCATATTATAATCCTCATAGATATCTTGCATTTCATTATATTCATTTGGATTAAGGAAATCATCCTAATATTTCTTTTCTTATTAATTAGAATCAACAACAGCTTTCATTTTTTATAAAAACTTTCGAGCATCAACTTGATTTGTGTAAAAATTTAAAATTTCTCTCAAATTCTCCTCCTTTTTATTTTGCATCTTTTGTTTCTTTACCATTTTATTATTAAGTAATGGTTTCTTTTATTTAACTTTCTTTTGATCCTATGGTATTGGTTAATTCTAATCATCCATTATATTATTATTGTTATTATATATATATAAATAAATACTCAAGGAAAAAGACTTTTTGCAATTATACGCGATATTTTACTTAATTTTTCGATATTTCCATCTCCAAAAATTAAAAAGTCACTTGCAAATATAACATTATTTTCTAAATATTTCACAGCATCATCAATATCAAATGGTTTGGTAGACTCTTGAGAATATTTTTATAATAATTTCTTAAATTAAGGTATATTTAAATTTCCTTCTGTATTAAAGAATCCCTTTAAATAGAAAAGACTTCTTTCAGTAAAATGAGTTACAACCAAATTTTTTGCTTTCATTTCATATGCATTAAAAAAAGCTTATACAAATGTAGAATGTTTAACTGCTATTGCCCTATTATAATATATCTAAATTAATTACTTTTCCATCATTTCATCTGGATATGTACATTCATGAATTAATAGATCACAATTTTGTGCAAATTCAAAGAATTTATTTCTAAATTTTTTCAATTTACCTAATCTATCACTTGAATAAACTAATGTTTTTCCATTTGAAGTCAATTTAATTCCAGTACTAAATTAACAATGTTAAGTCATTGCTATATCTAATTTAAAATCATTATAATTAAGGAACTCCTAAAATTCCATTTTATTTAAATTAGTATCAAAATTTAATTATAAATTAATTTCAGGAAATTCCTCTGGTTCTAAATTATTTATTTTAAATGTTTGATGTGATTAAGATTAAATTTATTCTATAAGATTTGAATTAATTAAAGCATCTGTAAATACAATTTTGATTTAATGTACATAACTTTTCAATCCAAATTCTTCTTTGAATAAATTTGTAAATAATTATGAATACCATAAATAAATAGGTTTTGGAAGTAATAAGAAAAATGGTTCTTTTGACAATTAACATTTATGCTTTATAAAATCATATAGACCTTAATGGTGATCATTATGAGAATGAGATATATATATTATTTATACATTGCTTATTTTCTATTTAAATTCTTCATCATTCTAACAACTAAAATAAAATTAATTTAATGTATTCTATCCACAATCCATCAATATACCAACATTCTTTATTTTTACATGAATTCCACTTGCATTTCTAGATTAATTTTCAATTGAAGATGATGTTCCTAACATTAAAACTTCATAACTCTTATTTTAAGTATTGCCAATTTCATTATTTAATCGAACTAATATCTACTTCTCTTCTCTTTGTAATGAATAAGAAATTTATCTCTTTACTTTTAAATCTTCAAATTATAAAATTCCATTTTATATTTAAATTGTTTTCATTCTCATTGGAAGATATTTTATTTCATTTGTCCAAAGTGAATTAAGATTTGTCATATTGTTATTTATTTAAAATTGACTTATTTAATCTTATCCTCTAAACAAATTAGGTAAGTATTTTCTCATAATTTTTAAATAATCAAGATAATAATATCCAAACTTTTCTCTACCCATGTCTTTTTAACTAATTTTGTCAAGTTCTTAATAATATTCTTAAGATGTTATAATATGGACTATTTTATAATTTAGATGTTTTATCTTATTAATTAACTTATTATATATTTTGGATTCTAACAATTGTTTATTAGCATAATGAACAATTATAAGAGTTTGATTCAAATCTTTATTTTGCTAATAGCTTTTGAATTCCTTTTGATATAATTATAATTCATTTTTTAATTAATCAAATATGTTTGAAACAAAGTCTTCAACTTCATCTTCATGCTTAAAATCTAATATAAGTATTCCTTATTATAATAATTAGGGATTAAATTTTTATATTTCTTCAAAAGTAAGAATTTTGTTATTCACAAAAACCTTTCCTTCTTTAACTTCTGGTAACTTAGATAATGGAATATTTAGCTATCTACATTTCTCAAAATCTAATTGTTTCTCTACTTTAAATGTCACTAGATATTAAGTAAGATTAGGACTAGAGAGATTAAGATATCAGTATTACTTATTTCCAAAGAAAGCTTTTACTTTAGAATATTCCAATGATATCTGTTTATTTTAATCAACAAAATCTTTTGGAATCACATATTATGAAGCTTTTTCTTTAATAATTTGATTTACTCCATCCAAATTTTGGATTTCATGTTTATCAATTGTGTTTTTGATCATTTCTAAGAATTATATTTTATTTCCTATTCCCAATTTCTATTGTTTAATTATCATTTCCTTATTTAAATCTAATGCACCAAATGCTAGATTACGTATACCAAGCATATATCTAGTTAGCATAATAAATTAAGAAATTCCAGTAGGTCCCAAAAAAATCATATTTGTAAATTGATTTCTATAAAATGCATAATACATGATAGGGAGAAGACCTTAATAGACCTCTTAACTATTTCTATGAACAAAATAAAAGGCTTTATTAACAAATAAGTTCAAATCATGAAATGCCACCAACCTATTGGATGGCTCTTCACAAGTTCCAAAATATAAACGTTCATTACCTTATTAATGATCTAGACATATTGAAATTATTGGAAAGCGTTGTAATGAGTAGGTCTTAATGATTTGCAAATTAATACGCTAAAATTGCTTATGACCAGACATTATATAAATTAAGGTGAATTTAGTACTGAAAAAAGAGTAATAATCTCAAATCTTATAAATCGAATGAATCCTTCAATTTTCATTAATATTTGCGCGAATGTAAATCGAATTAGATGAAAACTCTCTCTACAATAATTTTTTGTAAAACTTTACTCAATAAACCAAATTGGGGGAAGGAACATATGGGATCGTTACAAAAGCATTTGATAGAAGAAGAGCAAAATTTGTGGCTTTAAAGAAAATAAAGCTTGATAATTGTGATGATGAAGGCGTACCAAGTACTACAATTAGAGAAATAGCAATACTATCCAAGTTGTAACATCCAAATATTATAAGGTATAAATATAATATTATATAAGTTTGCTCGAAGTTAAATACTTTTTGGATGAAAAGAAGATATATCTTGTTTTTGATTCTATGAAATATGATCTAAGGAAATATTTAGATAAAAATACATCAATAACATTAAATAATTTAAAACCAATTATTTACTAAATACTTTTAGGTTTATCCTATTGTCACAGTAGAAGAGTTTTACATAGAGATCTTAAACCATAAAACATTTTATTAAATGAGACCATGACTGTTAAATTAGCAGATTTTGGACTTTCCAGAGTATTTCCATTCCCAATGCCTAAATTCACAAGGGAAATTGCTACTCCTTGGTATAGAGCTCCTGAACTTATGCTTGGAGATGATAATTATGGAACTGGTGTTGATATATGGGCTGTCGGTTGTATTATGGCTGAATGTTTAAATGGATTTCCATTATTTCAAGGTGATAGTTAGGTTGATATGTTATTTAAAATAATGAAGGTAATCATATATTTTAATATTTTTTAAAGTTACTCGGTACTCCAACTGATGCTAATTATTTTGGATTATCTAAACTTCCAAATTTTATGATTACTTTTCCAAAATTTAGAGGGGAAGACCTCACTTAAAGAATACCAAAATTAGAAAATAATCAATTAGCCCTTGAACTTTTATAATCTATGTTATAACTCAATCCAGGCAAGAGACCATAAGCAAAAGAATTATTAAGGAATTAATGGTTTGATGATATTAGAAATAATTATTGAATTTTAGACATTTTTTATAAAAATTAAATATTTATGGAATTTATATTAATTGCTTTTATTACTTAATAATTCTAATTTTATTTTTCCATCTTATTTTAAAAGATTTCTAATTGTAAATTTCAGAGAATTCATAATTTTTAAATAACATTGCTGAAAGTTCATTCTACCTATAAATGAAAGAATTTAAATATCCTCTTTGCATATGAAAATAATTGTTCAATCAAACTCATACATATATGTCCAACTTATATTTATACAAATACGCTAATCATTTATATAAAATTAGAAAAGAAATCTTATTAAAATAATATTAATACCCTACTCTTAATTTACAGCTTTACAGAAAAAGAGAATTGAAATATTATTTTACCTTTTATGGTATAATGTTCATTTTGATATGATGATGCTTTATCCAGTTTATAATTATAAACTATAATTTAGTATATTATTTTATAATATTTATTAAATTATAAAATCTTTAAACGTTTTACTTACTTTATAATTATGAGTTGAAAAATAAATTAGATTATTTCTTACTTTGAAAATAGTTATTTTAATTATGAAAAACATTGAAAATTAATGAAAAAATTTGTGCAAAATCAAATAATATTAAATATATTAACTCTTTTAAAAGAAAACAAATTTATGTTTATTTCAGAAAATTTATGAAAATATATGATTCTTACTCTCAAAATATTCTTCTTATACTTAATTGAATATTTAAAACGAAATCAATAAAATATATTGTAAATATCTTTATAATAATCTTAGTTTTAAAAAAATAAAAGAGATTAGGCATAAAAAATAAATAGCATCAATATATCTAATGTAATGAAAGAGTTATGAAAATATATTAAATTATATTATAAGAAAAATATAATTTATATTATTAAAATAATAATGGCCTTAATCCATAATCAAAATGATATACAAAACATGTTTAGTAAAGCAGGAAAGATAACTTCAGAGAAATATATAGTTTTTTAACGAAAAGAAGAGATAATTAACAATAGACCCAGATATTTCAAAGGGAAATCTTAATCAGCTGCATCTTCAGAAGAGGTAAATCAATAAGTAGATAAAAAAATGCCAGAAATATCAAGCAAGAAATAATAAGAATAAATAACAGAAGCAGAATAGATTTAACGCAAAAATTAAGTTAAACTTTCCCAACCATTTTCAAGGCAACTGTCTAGATAAGTAGGTCATTATACAAAACTGAGTAAAGATAGTAAACCATCTTGTGGATAATATCATGTTAAATACAGTGAACTTGATAAGTATTTATTGAAATAATGATTAATAAGAGCAGTTCACTCAATTCATGATTATGATAAATCACTTAAGCAAACAGTACCTCTGGAAGTACCAGGAAAGCATGGAGAGCCTGAAAATATTGAGTAAACAATCAATAAATATATTGTAGTAAACCAATAGTAGATAGGCCAAGGTTTTCTAGAACCTGTTTTCTCGATTTAGTACGATAAACCTAAAGGTATAAATTTATATAAAATTATAAGACCTGATATATTTTTTGGAAGACCAACTCCACATCCTGATAGATTTACATATTTAAATGTAACAGATTCATGGAGCAAGATTCCTAGAACTCCATCAGTCTAATTGGAAAAATAATTGTCTAGAGATCAAATGATAATTTATAAAAAAAAATAATTTGCACCTGATTATCATCCAAATTTTGAATTTGGTAAAAAGTATATGAATTCATTAATAAATAGATAATTAGGAAGTTGTGGTGCTCCATTTGATAAATTAGAATAGAGAAAAGATATTATGACTAAAATTCCACCCTATAATCATGAAACTTATTTTGAATTTGATGTTTATTCAAAGGATCCAAATAGTAAACTTTTTAGAACTCCAACAGCTCCAAATTTTAAATAAATGTTGGATAGGGAACAAGATGGAAAATCCCTTTTACCAAGCTTTATGTAGGTAATTATAATTTTAGACTTTTAAGAAATATTCTAATACTCGTATGGGCATTACTCATTTACATTAAAAAATGTTAGAAGTTAATAACTTTAGAGATGGAAGATTTTAAACTGTTACTTCAAGTTTCTTACCTAGTAAAGGTTTCAAAAAAAGACCATAATTGGATGAATCAAGTGAAGAAATTGAACAAATGGAAGAATAATGATGATTAGTAATATTATTTAATGATTAAGAATCAAACCTCCTTTATAATATGTTTTTCTTTAAAATTTATTTAATATCATTTATAAAAATTAATTAATAAAATTACTACCTTAATCCATTTCAATATGTTAATATTTTTTTTATATTATAAAGTTTTTATCATAAAATGATATATTTTCTGAACTGAATTTAGTGGCATAATATCAAATATATATGCTAATTAAATTCTTTATTAATGCACTATTCAATACAGTATCTTTTTTGAATAGGAATATAATACAAGTTTGTATTATATCTCTGATTATCTTTTAATTACTAGAAATTAAATGAATATGCTTAATTCAAACAGTTTGATGAATATCACCATCCATCTTAATGAAATATCTACTCATATAGCAGAATAAATAAAAAACCAAAGTGAGTAGGTTCAACTAATATATACAGAAAAGTAAAAAACCTTAGAAAAATTACAAAAATCACTAGAGAAGATGAATCAACTGATATCTAAAATGTGTGATAAATAACTTCCATAAAGAATCAATTAGTTTCAAATTCTCTAGAATCAGTAATATAAATATGAACTTTAAATCGAAGAAGATTTAGAGCTTCCATGTTATAGAAACAGAATATTTCAAATCAAACTTAGGCTTGTTTAGAATTAAAAAACAATAATCAATTCAAATAATCTCCTTGTTGAATTGCAAATGTAAGAATAGCAAGTAATATTAGTTGGACTTATGACAAGATTCCTAAAAAACTAACCCATAATAACAAAAACCAATCAATATTCAAAGGATGTTAATAGACTATAATTAAAAAAGGCTATGGAAGCTTAAGTAGGATTTAGATTAAGGAAGTTTCCTCCCATTTTCCAAAAGGAGCATTTCTAATGGTTATATTACCAATAGATGATGGAGCTGTTATTGGGGATGAGAGGTAAAAGTATAATTTTAGTATATAGTAAATTTTTAATCAAAAAAGAGTGGATAAAGCCATTAATTATAAATGATGTTGCTGTAAAGGCAAAAAAGTTTTCTGATAGACATAACCCTTATTATGTCAAGTCAGATGGAACAATAAACATTTAGGAATAGGAATGATATATTTTTCATTTAGATATAACATTATAAATATTTAAACATAAAAAATATGTTGAAAACATTAAGAAATATTAACATTCCTAAAGACGATTAGAATATCTGGCAATTTTTGATCAATCTTTATCTTAAAATAGTTTTCAAGTTCTTATTGCTTACTTAAAAAGTTGTAAATTAGTTAATTACTTTATGCTGAACATCTTTTTTATGCTCAATAAATGTTATCAATGAACTTAATTAAAGTTTAAAATTATATATTAAGAAAATATATTCACAAATCTGCCTCATACTTAAATTATTAAATGTATTCATCATTTATACTACACATTAATAATTAAACAAATTAAGGTTTTAAATCTTAAAATAACATAATAACCTATTATCCCTTCTAATTTTTAATTACCTTCAATATTTAACATTTTACTTTTGATTGGGTTTAAATGAGATTTGAGTGGATTTCATTTCCAAAATGAAATATTTTTGGTGATATTAATACTTTTAATTGAATTCAAATTTTATTTTATTTTTTTTTAATATATTAATTATTTTAATTTTCTTAATGTACAGAACTTTAAAAGGCACCTAAATTTTTTCATTTATTTTATTAAAAAATAAATGGAAGATAAAATAAATAAACTTTTTGCATTATTTAGTGATTTCAAGAATCAATAACTCTTTAGCTTAGCTTTGGCTCAAATAGTGAATGTATATAATGATTACCCTGCATGTTTGTATTAAATTTTAAGAAAAACAAACAAATTAATATATTCAAGAGTCCAAGATCCTCGTCTTCGTTTAGAGCATTCTTAGATTGCAGCTGCAATAATTGAAAGAACATATAAAATTTATAAGTAATTTATTTTTGTAATATATAGTGAACGACTTGAAGAATATTTGTTATCATCATCTAATGATTCAATCCCTGAAAATTTGTTTCATTTTGAACCAATATTAGATTAATAAATAGATGATACAATGCAATAAGAGTAAATAAGAGATTATGAAGAGATAAAATCAAATATTAAGCTAAAAAGTTAATAAATTGATTTCATTCATCTAATCAATGATGGAAGTGCAATTCTTGGAAAAGATATGAAATATTTAAAAAGATCATAAGAGAATAAAAATTAAAAATTAGATGATGAAACACTTGATATAAAATAAGAAGAAATAATGAGATTAATGGGTTTATCTGGGAATTTTAATCTTTCAAATATTACAAGATTATTAGAATTTATGTAAGGAGATGCAGAGATACCAATAGATATGCATACTTCATCTGAAGAATTTGTAGAGAGTTCTAGTGATGATGATGCAGTAGGTTAATATAAAAGAAAAAATAAAACTAAAGGTAAATAACCAGAAACTAATCTAAAAAAGAAACCATCTGTTTAAAAGAAGAATTAAAGTACAAAATATTGTGTAATAAATCCTTTTAATGTCATTTACAATAGAGCAGTCTATGAATTGATGAATCATAAATGGTAAGAAAGACATGCTAGTGCTCTAGTTTTAAAATCTATTGTTAGGCAAAAAGGATTTTTAAATTTAGGATTCAGTTATTTAATAAAAGGTGATGAAAAGGAAATTAATGGTGTTTTGAGAGCTAGTTTAATAGAATACATCAGCGATAAGAATGGATAACTAAATAAATTAGAATATTTATTAACAAGATGTTGTGTATTAATTGTAATGGATCGATTTGCAGATTATTTTGGAAGTCAAACTATTATGATAGTAAGAGAAGCAGCATGTTAAACTGCTATTACACTTTTAACAGATAGAAGTTATAATACTAATATATGGATGCATTATCCTGATAGTTTTATGAAATTTGTTCTTTTATTGAAAGATTTCATTGAAGAAGGTTAAAGAGTTTAAATATATGAAGTCTCTTAAAGTGCTTTATTTTTAGTTAAAGGTTTATTGAAAGATCATTTGTAAGTGATTTTTGATAATTTTTCAGAAATGCTTTTGTAGGTAGGATAGAGAGACAATGAAGATGAAATTCTAGAATTATTAGCAGATATATGGAAAGAATTCTTATAATTAGGTTTAAATTAGAAATATTTTAATACTGTTTATTCTATTACTATGGAATAATTAAAAAAATAAGATGATATAAGTTTTGCTGGCAAATCAATATTCTAATTTCTAAGTGCCCTCTTCTAAACAGGTTTTAGAATATAGAAACAATTTTAAGGAGAAATAGAAATTTTAAAAAAGTTCTTCTTTCATAGAATCATAGAAGTCAAAGAATCATTTTATAAATATTTATTAGCTTTTTCAAAGTAGCAAACATAAAAATAAAGTGATTCTAGAACTATAAATTATATGAAAATCATATTTTAGACTGGAGTATTTGAAGAGAAATTTGAAACTTTCTAAACTTTAATGAATATCCTTGAGCAATTATCTAAACATTTAGAAGAAGAATAACTATATGAATTTATGTAATTTGTCCACAATTTCTCTACTGATCATCAATTTAAGAAATATTTTTATTTATTTGATGGTATGAAACGAGAATCTATAGAAATACATTATCCATATTTAGCTCAATAAACCTAAAATCCTATTGATAATTAGACATATAGAATGATTAAGACTGCTTATTTAATAAAAGATATCAACTATTACCATTAAATAACAGCTGATTTAGATCCAATTAATTTTATTTACACTTTCAAAAATTACATAAATAATGAAAAGGAACTCAATATTGAAGTAGATAGTACTCGTTAAAATGGATGTTGTTTTGATGAATTGGATTTAAAAATTCAAGTATCAATGTAATAATTGAATATGTTATTGAAATCCTACATGTAAATTGAAAAAGAACAAGAGTATTTAGCAATCATTTAAGGATTTGTTAAAATTTATGGAGATTTTGCAATTGCTCCTGCTCATTCACCAAAACTTAGATAATTATATCCTGTTATTCTAAATTAACTTAAGTAGTTAAGTTAAATTGATTATGAGATGGATTAAGAATCAATTTAGAAATTATAGGATACTACATCAGATTTGGTTTAAAGTTTATAATCATTTACAAAATTGAGCAATGAGTTAAGTTTAAACTTTAAGGTATTAACTTCAGATCACACTGAATCATTAATCCAAAGAATAAGGTAAAGTTGTTATTTATTTAAGAATAGACAAATTTCATTTAATATAGGATATTGCATCAGAAAGATTGGCTAAATAAATGTAGTTAAACCCAAACTGTTGTGATTTAACATCCCTTTATGTTAAATAAAGTACATAATAATCAGTCTAGTATATATTATCTTAGAAGAATGAATTGAAAAGTATGATATTTAATAATGTTTATAGGGAAGGACTATGGGAGAAAAAGATTAATTTGGCATTTGCTCAAAAATTAAATTGATTTTTAATCTTGGCATCTCTTTTTTGAGAGACTCTTTCTATAACAATTGAATTATATTCCAAATGATCTAAGATTTAATTAAACTCTGATAACTTAAAAATCTAAATTAACTATAAAAGTAGAAGATTTGAAATATAATTTATGGGGGATAGGTCTGATTTAAAATGCCTATTCATTATTTTTGTAAAATCCTGAGCATCCTGATTTTGACAAATGGGCCTAATATCTATTATCAAAACTATTAAATTATTTGCCAGTATTAAGTAATATAAGTGATGATGATAATAATAAAATTATTTTGGATGATCTTAAGGGTGGAATATTATTAGAATTTGATTAAACTTTTAAGAAAGTAGTTGTATTAAAAAATACTTTGCTTAAACTTTGTGCTAAATTTATTCATTTTCTATTAGTTTCAAAGAATATAAGTGTATTTGATTTAGTGATAATACAAATAAATTAACTGTTAAAAAGAAATGAAAATGGAATGTATGAGATTTTGAATATAATTTTGAAAGAATATCCCATCTCATTAGCACCAATAAGTGGTTTTTTAACTTTGAAAGCTATAAAAAAGTTAACTGCAAAAGATGCAAATACAGCATAAGCAGCAAGCAAATTGTTTGGGTTTTTAGTACCAATATTAACTATTATGGATGTACCATATTCTCCAATTTCCCCATCATTAATTCATAAATTTTAAAAGGCGAAAGAATTTTAATTAGGGTTTGGTAAGATGACTAAAGTTGATTATAAAGTTGAAGGTGGAATTAAAGATAGAAGCATTTTAAGAGATTATTAATGGGATGGTATTAGATGGTTAGGATTTTTAATAAAATATAATTTACATGCTGCTTTATGTGATGATATGGGATTAGGAAAAACAATTTAAACATTAGTAGTATTAGCAAATGAAGTATTTAAAAGAAAAAATGAAAATTTGATTTCCCTTGTTGTTGCTCCAAGTACAGTAGTAGATCATTGGTATGCAGAAACAAAAAAGTATATAAGTAATGCTGTTTTGAAACCACATATATATGATGGAGTCTTCTCAGGGAATCTAATTATGGTATCTTACAATTAATTACTAAAATTAAATCAAAATTTTCTAAATCAAGAATTTTATTTTTTAATCTTAGATGAAGCTCACATTTTAAAGAATAGTAAAAATAAGACTAGTAAAGTAATAAGAAGCTTAAAAGCAAAACATAAGATTGTTTTATCTGGAACTCCTGTTCAAAATCACCTTTTGGAATTATGGTCTCTTTTTGATATTCTATTACCAAATTATTTAGGTGATGAAGAGTATTTTAAAAGGAATTTTGCTAAAGCTTTTCACACAAATATCTTTTCATTAACAGAAGATGAAATTCTATTTGATGAGTAATAAATTAAGACATTAAGATTGCTTCACAAAAAAGTGTTACCTTTTATAATGAGAAGAACTAAATAAGATGTATTACCATAATTACCAGCTAAAATTATAGGAGATTATTATTGTACATTATCAGAACCATTACAATCTTAAATTTATCAAATTTTAGAATCAAATTCATTTTCAACAGACATTGAGTAATAGATTACTAAGACTTAAGGAGAATAAAAAAATAAAGTATGTGAATCTGTTCTCAAATTATTACATAAATTAAGATAAGCTTTAGATCATCCTATTTTAGTAAGAAGTGTAATTCTACCAAACAAAAGACCAAAGAAAAAAGTGAAAACAGAAAATATCGAGATGTTGGCTGAATAAGAAATAAATTAATTATTAGATAAATAAGAAAAGCCTGATAGCTATTCTCATTCAGGAAAGATGATTGCTCTTAAAGATATTTTATAATAATTGGGATTTTAATCAACAGATGATGTACCTTAACAATAGGCTCAAGGAGATTAAATTACAATTTATACAAATTTTAATAAAGTCTTAGTATTCTCCAGATTTAGAGCTGCACTTTAATTAATAGCTGAATAGTTATTAAAAGCATAGTTTCCAGGATTATAATATTTAATTTTAGATGGAAGTGTCCCATAAGCTTAAAGATATCCTTTGGTAACTAAATTTAATGAAGATCCAGATATTAGAGTGTTACTTCTTACAACTTAAGTAGGTGGTTTAGGATTGAATTTAAGTTCAGCAAATATTGTAATAATGTTTGATCATGATTATAATCCTGTAAATGATCAATAAGCAATGGATAGAGCCCATAGAATAGGATAGAAAAATGTTGTTTAAGTTTTTAGATTAATTGTAAAGGATACTCTAGAAGAGAAAATTATGGGAATTTAAAGATTTAAATCTGCAATATCTAAAGCTATTGTAAATTCAGATAATGCTTCATTAAAATAAATGGAAAAAACAGATTTATTATCTATGTTGGAATCGACTGCTTAAGGAAACAATAAAGGTATTACAATTTTTAGATATTCATAGATAAAAACACTGAAGAAGAACAAATTGAAAAATTAAGTGGTCCATATTCAAAGATTTTAGGATAACTTAAATTGGATTTATTAGAACAACTTAATTTTGACAAAGAGTATTGATATTCTACATTAATTGTATGTTTCATATTCTTATTCATCATTTTTACATTATTTTTATTATATAAGATTGAATCAAAGAACATTTTTTAAAATAATTGTGGAATGTATTGTAATTGGTTTATTATTAATTTAAATATCATAGTAAAGAATTTTCTTTAATGTAAATAATTATATATTTTATTTTTCTATATTCAAAGTAAATTTTGTAATTTTTTTGATGATATATCCGAAATTGATTCTATTATTTGATATTGAATATAAATTAAATTTGTTAGATATTTCAATATCATAAACAATTAGGAATTTTGTGTTTAGATTATATATTTAATATTTAATTGATCTTGAAAATAGAGGATGCTAGAATAATCTGAACATACTAAAGCTCATTCAGAAGGTTTTTAGACTGTTTTTGAATTCGATATCGAAAGTTCACAAAGGTTTAACTTTAATTTATACATATAGAAGATCAAAATCAAGTTCTTAAGAGAATTACAGAAAACTATTTGAGATAGCAAAAGATTACTCTAATTCAAAAGTACCATAAGCACACTCAGATGAAATTCCAGAATTTGATTCTTTAGAGGATTCCTGTTAGATTAGACCTTCCATGTGTACAAACAAATCAAGCAAATAAAGTTAAGAACTAGAAGAAAAATTATTCGAAAAAGAATTATTATCACTATTGAATGAGGATGAATATTAATTAATAGCTAAGAGTGAAAAAGAATAGTGCAAATTACCTTCAATTATGATGAGAAATGGTGGATGTTACACTGGACACTGGTACAAAAAAAAACCTTAGGGTTTAGGAGAGTACAAATTTGCAGATTCTAGTAGATATAATGGATAGGTAACAAATTAATAAATTAATTTAGTGGAATAATGGCTATGCAAGTGGAAAAGGTAAATTTTTTGATGCGGAAGGAGGATATTATTGTGGGGATTTCCATTTGAATTATATGCATGGTAAAGGAGTGTATAATTATGCTGATGGTTCAATTTATGATGGTATGATAATTAAAATATACTTAAAGGTTCATGGTTAAATGATAAATATAATGGATATGGTATTGAAGTTAAAAGTGATTCTCATTATAAAGGTATTTTACTATATATTAAAATTAGGTTAATTTCGTAATGGTTTAAAACATGGCCAAGGGATTTTAATATTTAAGAATAAAGAAAAATATGATGGTTCATTTATAAATGGATAATTTGGAGGGAAAGGAATATTTGTATTTTTATAATAATAATAAAAGATATGGCCAGATGGAAGAAGATTTCAAGGGGATTGGAAAAATGGAATGATGCATGGTTAAGGAATCTTATCCTGGACAGATGGTACAATTTGATTATTTAAATTTAAGGTCGACTTTATGTAGGTTAATATGTAAGCGATAAGAGATAAGGTTTCGGAACATTTCAATTTGCTGATGGTCGAAAATACACTGGTTAATGGATGAATGGTTTACAACATGGAGCTGGTGAGTTTACAGAGTCCTCTGAACATATTACCAAGGGAGTATGGAGAGAAGGTAAATTATTCTCTCTTACTTGATTTAATAATACTAATATAATTCTCATAAATTTGCTAAACAATATATTCCCATGTTTTCTAAAGTTGTATCAGAATAAAATTTGTAATAAAGAGAATATTGAAAAGATATTAAAATATTTTTTATCACTTTTATCATATCGCCTTTTATATAAATTAATCCTTTTAAGAGTATTATTGTTACTAATAAGTTACTCATTATTCATTATATTAAATGCACTATCAATCTATTTCTTCTCTTCTATTATTGATCTTATACCATACATCAACTAATTATTTGAGATTTAATTACTGGACCTCCTTTTTAGATAATTTACGGAAAATTAAAAACCGACTTAATCTTTAAGAATAAAGTCTTTCCTTCTCTTTTCTATGGATATATGATTTAACTTTATTGTTAAATTAAATATACATTTTTATACGAATATTTCAAATATTTAAGGAATAAATGGAATATTAAAAAATATGATTTAGTTTTTTTACTATCCAAAATTAGAAATATAACCAGATCCTCCTCTTTTTGCAATTAAAAAACAATTTTATTTACTTTTTTTTACATAATTATACATTCCCAAAATTAATAAACTAGTTATACTCCATTAAAATAATAGATATTGAACAATATATAAATAGAAATAGTATGTCATTTCTTTAGTTATGATTCAAATTTTATCATAGATAATGAAAAAATAATTATAATAAATTTAATGTATTACGTTTATTGGCTCTTTAAAATAAAAATATGATATAAAGCTAACCTTAACAATCTTAATTCTAGAAGAGAATGTAAAAAATTAAAGGGTTTCTAAATTCCGAATGTAATTTTTCTCCTGTCGAGGAAACCAATGAAAGGAAAACTAAAACTCCACTTTTAACTCAATAACAATAATAAAGTTCTGACTTAAGCGATCATGACACACATTATAACAATGTTGAAAATAATCAAATTGGATTGAAGAATAATTGCTTTTTAGATGAATACACCTTAGGAGAGAAATTAGGAGAAGGAACAAATGGTATTGTGTGGTTGTGTTGGTCTAAATTAGATGATTAAGTAAAATATGCAGTAAAAGTTATACCAACGGATGATGAGGAGATAATTAGTATGGTGAAATAGGCCTTTATCAATTCACAATTACTAAAAAGCCCGTTTATAGCAAAATGTTATAAATTGTTCATTGAATAAACTAAGTTATATTTGTTAATGGAATGGGTGCCATGTTCTAATTTGGAGACTCTTTTAAAAGAGAATCAAAGATTAAAAGAAAAATAAGTGTAACAGATAGCATTGACTTTATTGAAGGCAGTGAAATGTTTGCATAAAGCAGGAGTCTGTCATCGAGATATAAAACCAGATAATATTTAAGTTTTTATGTAAGTGATAATCTTTTTCTACTTAGGGACTACAAGATCAAGTTGATTGATTTTGGGGTTTCAAGAAGATTTGTTACCATAAATTAAAATACATTAAGGTACAATCGAAATAAAATGATGACAATTACTGGGAACATCCATTATCGAGCACCAGAAATCTATAGAGATTATGGATATGATTCTCAAGTTGACTTATGGGCAATAGGAGTAGTGATATATTAATGTCTTACTGGAATATTACCATATTCTTCTGAATGTACTGGAGATTTAATTGAAACTCTATCCTAAAGGTATTTTCTTTTAGTCTGATATAGAGAACCATAATTAGATCCATTTCATAAATAAGCTTTTTTAGAATTGCCAACTAGTTGTAGAGATTTCATAAAGAGACTTATGATGTGGAATCCATTAAAAAGATTAAATGCTTCAGGTATCTACATATTTTAACTTAGAGGCATTGAGGCACATTTGGATACCATCCTTTACATTTCCAAACTAGATTAAAATTGTTAAAGATGATATTGATGTAAGTAAAAGTAGCCAAAATAGTGATCTATACAACAAAACATTGATAAATTCTGCAATGATGCTTAATTAAGAATTAGCAAACACTCTTTTAAAGAGTAGAAGATTTGATGCAATTTAAGAAGAGGATACTCCAAAGGATTTAAATAAAAGTTTAGAAGTTTCAATAAATGGTTGTAGCAATAATTAAGATAGTTTAAAATAGAGATTAGAATAATTTAAATTATAAGCTTCAACTTAGATTCATTAAAGAATTGGTGGTAAGAAAGAAACCATCAAGTATATCAATACTATAACTATATTTGAAAGTGAAAAGAGTATCAATGAATTTAATCCAAGAATGGAGACTTCTATAGATGTTAGAAGTTTACATATATAAACATGTAAGAATGTTAAAGATTTATTTGGATTAAATTTATGTGAAAGTTAAGTTTCCTTAACATAGATTGAAGATATACCTGAAAATGATAATTAATAGCTTTATAGTAAATAGATTGATGCTGATCTTTTGCAATAGCTTACCTAATTTGAATAATGAAAATGATTATAATTTTATAAGTCACTATATTAATAATATATATTGTTAAGATTAAAAATGAAAAGTTCAAGAAAATAACCTTAAAAAATGAAAGCCTTTAATATACTTCATCTTGAACATGTAGCAAATCGAATTGATCAATTACTCAATCCTACTTATAGAGAGTAATTTACTTAAGTGAGATAAATTAAACCAGGAATCAAATTTGTTATTAACAATAAATTGACTCCTTATAAGCATAGATAATCAGTTTTTGAATAAATTTAATCATCTCGATCCAGTATCATTCAAAGTTAAGATAGATAAAGAAGGTAAAATAACAGCTCTTCAAAAAGTTCATCATTTTTGGAAAAAAAAATAAATTAATTAAAAAAAGAACTGAGTGATTTATAAAAAGCTCGACTATTTGAAAAAAATAAACCAATACATTCTGTTCACAAAATGGCACTTTATAATAATCTATAAGAAATGTAATAGGACCACAAATTGTTGATAATAGACAAAAAACCATAATCAGCTAGGAAAATTGTTGATAAATCTATAGAGGAATTTAATGGTCCTATTAAAAAGAAACCATAATAACATATGTTTTTATAGAATTTAGTTATTGAAAACTCATCAAATCAATTAGAACCATCTGTTATTAGTATTCCTACTCCAGAAATAAAAGCAAAAATTAAAGTTATTCCTTAATAATAAAGAAGTGTTAGTTAAGGTTTGATTACCTAATAAAAAAGACCAATAAAGATATGGAACAATGATCTTATTGAATTCAAAGGTTGGGATGTTGAAGAAGAAGATGATTACTTAAGATTAGGATGAATTTTAATATTATTTTTTTTAAATAATGTCATACGACACAGCACTCACAGTATTTTCTCCAGATGGTTAATTATTTTAAGTTGAATATGCTATGGAAGCAGTTAAGAGAGGTCTTTGCTGTGTAGGTGTAAGAGGAAAAGATGCTATAATATTGGGAGTAGAAAAGAAATCAGCATCAAAATTACAAGATGTAAAAACAATTAAGAAAGTATATTAATTGGGTATTTTAATTATACAATATATATCTAGATCATAATCTTTGTATGACATTTTCTGGATTGAATGCTGATGCAAGAATCTTAGCTAATCAAACTAGATTATAATGTTAGCAATACAAGATTTATTACGAAGATGATCCTTCTGTTGATTATATTGCCAAATTTACTAGTCAATAATAATAAAAATTTACTTAAAGAGGAGGTGCAAGACCTTATGGAATTTCAACTCTTATTGCAGGATTTAGTAATAATAAACCAAAGCTATTTTAAACTGATCCATCAGGAGCTTGTTCTGAATGGAAGGCTACATCATTGGGAAAGAGTGCAAAATAAGTCAAAGATTTCTTAGAGAAGCATTGGAGAGAAGGATTGCATGAAAAAGATGCTCTTTTACTTACTACTAAAGTATATTTATATAATTAAATAATAAAATAGGCTTTGATGGATGTAGTTGAGAGTGGTAACAAAAATATTGAATTATGTGTTATTAGAAAGAATGAATGCTGGTTTTTGAATGAAAATGAAGTTGAAGAATTAACAAAGATAACAGCCTAATTATAATGAATTGAGATTATCATGTTATTGAGAACAAAAATTCATCTTTATATACTTATGAATGTTTCTTCAAATTAAATTAGAATTATAAATTAAATTTTCACTTAATTAATAATTCTAATTTGAGTTGCACATTTTTTAATGTAGGTTTTCTAAATCAAAAACTTCATTATTAGTATGAAAATAAATTCTTAATAGTCAATTATAATTAATGAATCAATTAAGTATCATATAAATTGTATATTAAACTAATTTAACAAAAATGTTCAATTGGTTTCTCAAATTAAATAATATTATATACTGAATCTTAAAAACATAACTTTGTTCTAAGAAATAGTTTGGATAATCAATAGATAAGGACAGTTTTCTATAATTTTGAAATTAGAAATAATATAATTAATGAAATAAGAGTCTTGGGATGATTTGCATTTAGCTAATGAAAAATCTATTACAAAAATATTAGAGCCAGGTGAGTATGTTTTATTTTCAAGTTTACTTTACAAATTTAATGAAGTCAATAAAAGATAAGAAAGAACAATTCTTATTACAACACATAATCTATATAATCTATCAAAATTGACTGTAAAGCGAAAAATCCCTATTAAAAGGGTATATGCCATAACTATTGGTTTGATTGGAACAGAATTTGTAGTACATGTCCCTGAAGAATATGATTATCGATACTCTAGTTCAGAAAGAAGAGATTATGCAGTACTATGCATAATCAAAGCTTATTGCTAATAAAATAAAGGAGCTGCACTTCCAATATTCTATAAAGATGAACTTACTCTCACTGCCTATACAACTACAAAAGTTGATAAAAAAAAGGGAATCAATAGGTTACCAACAACTGGATCAGAATTGATGAATGAGGAATAATTTAGAAAGAGATTAGATTCCTAAACTGAAGAACGATTATAAACAAGAGCAAAGACATCAACATTATATGCAAAACAGAAAGGTGAAGCTGTCACTATAGATGATTTTGACTTAATAAAAGTATTAGGAAGAGGAGCATATGGTAAAGTGATGCTAGTAGAGAAAAAGAGTGATAAATAATATTATGCTATGAAATCTATTAGAAAAGAAGATATTGCTGATCCTGAATAATTAGAACATACAAAAACTGAAAGAATGGTTTTATAACATGTAAATCATCCATTTTTAGTCTCATTGCATTGGGCATTTTAAACACCTGAAAAACTGTTTTTTGTTACATAATTTATGAAAGGAGGTGAATTATTTTAACATTTAAAACATGTTAAAAGGTTTGAAGAAAATAGAACTAAATATTATGTCTCTGAAATAGTAAATTCTTTTCTTTATTTTTCAATAGATTTTGGCATTAGAACATTTGCATTCAAAAAATATTATATATAGAGATTTAAAACCAGAAAATGTATTATTAGATGATCAAGGCCATATTTGTTTAACAGATTTTGGTATGTCTAAGATATTAAAAAAAAATGAATTGGCTAAATCATTTTGTGGTACACCTGAGTATTTGGCTCCTGAAATACTTCTTGAAACAGGACATTCAATGGCTGCAGATTGGTGGGCATTAGGTATACTCACTTATGAGATGCTATATGCACTTCCACCATTTTATAATAAAAATCAAGATTTGATGTTTAAATAGATTTAGACAAAAGATATTAGTTTCCCCACTACTCCTTAGATTTCTAATGAAGCAAAAGATTTTATTTAAAAAGTATTACTATAATTTTAATTAACATAGTTAACAATTAAAGATCCAAAATTAAGATTAGGATACAATAACACTGAAGATATAAAAAATCATTCATGGTTTAAGGGAGTAAATTGGGAGAAATTATTAAAAAAAGAGATTGAAACACCATTTAAACCATAAATATAAGGAGATGCATGGCTTGAAAATTTTGATAAATAATTTACTGCTGAAGAAGCAATCAACTCTTATGCACCTGAAAATAATTTAGTCAATTAAGATGAATTCAGAGAATTTGACTATTATTAAAAATGAAATATAAATCAAGTAGAATTTAAATCATTAATTAATTATGAATTATTGTTATAGCAAATGTATGGCAGTCGGTCTTTATTTATGATCTCTTTATAAACAAAGTTTAATAAATAATTATAGATCTTCATCCAAGTTATCTGGTATTAGAGGAATTGAATTATCCGTGATAATATATAAAAGAGCACTTAAAGGATTATCAAAATTGTGTTCATGCCATGGTTTTTTTCCTGTTGCCATTTCTAAAACAGTACATCCAAATGACCAAATATCACTAGCCCTACAATTCTCATCTTAACTAGCAACCTGAAAATGAAATAAAGTATTACTTCTGGAGCCATGTATGGAATACTTCCTTTTAAAGAATGTAAGATATCTCCACTTTATTTAGATCTTTAAATAGTTTTCTCTTTAATTTTACTACATCCAAAATCTCCTAGTTTAATTTCACCATCAACTCCTAATAGCAAATTGGCTCCTTTGATATCTCTATGGATGATATTATTCTCATGCAAATATGCTATAGCTTACAATATTTGTTTAGAATATTATCGAATTGTATTAAGTTAAAGTGGCCCAAACTTTTCGATTAATTAGGTTAAAGTACCTATAAATAATAGTATTGAAATACCTTAAGATAAATATTCCAAATATAATAACCAATAATCTTCATTTTCACAATTCCAAACATAACGGATGATGTTTTAATGTTTAATTCTTTTAAGGAGATCTATCTCACTTTTCAAACCTTTTAAATCTTCTTAATCAAAGTCTCCCTTTAGATTTATCTTTTTTACTGCATAAATCTTGCCTGTTCTATTTTCTTGTGCTATGTATACTTATCCAAATGAACCAGCACCAATCATTTCACCTTCAGTAAAAGTAGGTATCTAAGAATGGTAATCAAACTATGAATTAGAAGATGAATCTTAGACATATTTATTAGAATTTGAAGATTCTAAGACAAACATTTAAGAACTTGAAAAAGATTAATTTTTCATAGTTATGAATCTATTCTCTGTCACTTATTCATTTTGTTAGGACATTTCTTCCTTTATTATTGTATCATCATGAAAGTCTATGTAATAGATAATCAATACCATTAATAGGGAACTCAAGCATTCTAACTGCAGGACTTTAAAATTTATTCATTATTTATTCTTATGATTCTTAATTTGTAGTTTTTAATTTAGATTGACGATTCTAGAGTTTACGAATTATGAGACCCTATGCTCTCTATTTTTTAGTTGATGGATAACATTTCTAGTTTTATGTATTGTCTGTAACTGGTCTAGTATCTTCCTTCTTTTCTATTGATTTCTTTTTCACTGTTGAAATTGATCTAAAACCCGGGGGAATTTGAGCTGTTTTTATTGGATCAATTTTAATTCTTGGTGAAAGAAGTGGTGGTAAGCCAGTACTGCTTGAAATCTTAGGTTTACTTTTGACTAAAACTCATAGTTTGTAAATTACTTTACATATCCCCTTTGTTAGGGATGGAATTCATTATGTAATATTTAATATATTTTTATATTTTTCAAATGAATGCTTCAATAATTTAAAGTGGTTTCTGGGCCTATGAATGTATATTAATAAAATCCTCCTGCTTCATTGAAATATTTCTTAAAGATGTCATCCTTCAACAAAAGTGCTTCTTGCTAAGGTTGATAAACAATCTCTCATTACCTCACTCTATTCAATAACAAACCATAATAATAAGGGGTAGAATAACATCAAAGAATTCCAGAATACAGATCCAATATGCCACCATTAACCATAATATCTAGATCAAATTAATAATCTACTTGTATTCCCAATTATCATAAGTAGTGATTCCTTCCATTTAATAGGCACTATAATGAGGATGTCCCATGCCTTATCCAGTCTTGGCTACATTGTCTGGGAGATAATATAATTTAAAGTGTATAGGAGGAGCAATCTCTTAAGGTGATCCTGAATTATATAAAATTGAATCATTACCTACTAAAGCTCTACTGGCTGGATCATGATGATAATATCGTGATTATTTTTATAATATTTGAGCATTCCTCAATAATCTCTTCATATGTTTTATTAAAAGAAAATATTAATAATTTTATATCATTTCATTTATAAGTAACTCTAAGTCCCAAATCTTCTAAGTTCTAATCTCTGAATATTTAATGGACTATTATTATTATGGATAGTTTTGGATTTTGGCAACACTTCATTAAGTTTCAATTTTGATAATATTAATAATGTTCTTTATTTTGTTGAAAATTGAGGACTCTTCTCATTCTCTTCCTTTGGTTATGTCGTTAATCGATATTGTGTCCTTGCAGTACTTGGTTGAGGCTAATTTAAACTTTGAGATATTTCGCTATTCTTCAATTATGATGGAAATCTAAAAAACAATTTAAAATATGAATCTCGATCAATATAATTTTGAGAACCAATAGTTTTTTAATCAAAAAATGTCTTAACTTAAGCATAAGAACAATTTCTATCCTTAAATAACTTTTTAAACTATTCAAAGGCTTTTTTCTCCTATTTCTTATAAAATTAAAACTCCTTTCTTATAAATATTATTTAAATACCTAATCAGACTTTTCCTATTTAGTTTCTTTCCTTATTAATGCACAGTTATTTCTAACTTTAACTTTGAGCATAGGTTTAACAAATTAATCAATTCCCTCTTAACCATTAAGTTATTTTAGTTTATCATCTGCAATTTAATCATAATAACTCATTTTATTCAATCTAAATTAGTGAATAGACTATAGTAATGATAAAAAGACAGTTTGTGTTTTTTCATCCCAAAATCTCCTGAAATAATTATATGATTTAAATACTTTATTATGTCTTCTCTACTTATTCTAAATATTTAACCACATTGACTTCTACAAATAATAGAGCATTTCACTCTTGCCCATCTTACCTAAAAGATATTAAAGAGTTTTAATATAAATGTCTTTCCATCATCCATTAAGAATGCTTCTTCTCCAAAAAACTCTCCTGGTCCTAATACACATCTAATTTTTATTTATAAAATTCACATGCTATGTGTTGAGAAGATTCCCTTTTATTTTTATTAATCATTTAATGTGTAAGTTACTTCGAAATTACTTTCTAAATAACATAATAGATATGGTACCCTTCTCTCACAATATAAAAATTAGTGCAGTAATCATTTTATTTGATGACTGCTTAATTTAATGTTACTTAAATTGGTTCAAAATGATAACTTATAGTTTTTATTTCTCTGAATGACCATGATTATAAAAATGGAAACTATTTTTAAGATAAAATGTCTTATATTTACAGAACATAAGAATGATATGCGATCTTAGACTTTTTATTATTCTTATGCACCTAATATAGTTTTAAAATGATGTTTCTCCATTACTGCAAACATACAATCCTCTTTTGCTATTATTGTTGCTGTTCGTTTTGCATTATCATTCAACAAAGCTAATTCACCAAAACTATTTCCAGCCTTTAATATATTCACTTCTTTCAATTCAAATTTCTTGAAATCTTCAGGACTTGGTAATAATATATATACTCCCACAGATCCTTTAAGAATTATGTAAAATAAGGACCCTGAATCTCCTACATGAAACAATATCTTAAAATTATAAATTATTTGTTTACTTCCTCTTTTTTTACAGTCTTATAACTTAAGACTGTCATACATTTGAGTACAATGTCAGGATTTTGAGATTGAAGATTTTTAAAAAATGTAATAGCTTCAACTAATTGTAACAGTAGAGCTAAATCACTTTATGTTCTTCTAGATGGAGCTATCTAAAAATGTAAAAAATAATTTTTCTACTTGCAAAGTCTTAACACATAAATTTATTAACGAAGTTTTCTCATCAAAATTGGAGAAAGATGTCATAAGAAAAAAGTAAAATAAAAAATAAATTCTTAAATAACATTTATTTAGAATCATTTTCGGATAAAACTTTTTATTGTTTGAAATGCTCTTGTATTAGTTCTATATTAGGGTAACAATTATTGACAAATAGTACTATTGAGATCTGATGCTAAAGGTGGTTTCTTTGTGGTTCTTTTATCAGGACTCTAAGTATATACATAATTTTAATGAATTTGAATTGGTTTGATTAGAGAATCTAATTTTATTTTAATAAATACCATTTTAATCAATATAAAATGGAGACTTTATTTCTGGTAACATCCAATTTTGATTTTTACAACCTTTCTAAGGACTAAAATTTTCTTATTATATTTTTGATTTTCCTTTCTATTTAGTTGAACCAGCAATATTTTTGTCATTATGCAATGATAAATTCTTTGCTCTAGTGACTTTATAATTAGTATCAAATAAATTGAAATTTTCTGTATCGAACATACTTCTATTATCTTAATCTTAAGGATCTCTACTTTAAGTTCTTTGAGGACTAATCGAAATCGAATGTTTAACACTAACTTGAGTTTTTTTGGTTGGACTCTAATTGCCAAACATAGTGATATTTTTATTTGCATAAGGTGTTTCCATTGTTTATGTAAGTTAAAGAAACTTTAATTTTCTAGCTTTATCTGTTAAAGTTGTTATTTCTATGAATGGTAAGGTTTTTGATTAAAGAAATCTTTAATTTCTTTCTAAACTAGATGCAAATAATCTTTCTACATTCTCATACTTTGATTAATGAAATACTATTAGGTTTGAACAATGTTATCTAGTTTAATTTTAAATAAATACTTATTTAGAAGCATAATATCATAAAGTTTCCAAAAATCATGATCATAAAATTAGAACAACGTTCGATTTTATTAACTATTTAATTGCCATGAAGGTATAGATCTCTTCATCTAAATTTATGGGTTATCATCATTTTATTGAGTTACTTGCATTTCACATCTTTTCTGTACTTTATTTAGTATAACAGCAAAATTCTATGCTTTATAATTAAGTATATCTCTAATGCTCAATACATAATTAATGGAATTTTAATTCTTGCACTTTTCAATTAACTCTGATACTCTAATCTAAAATCGGTGGAATAATCTGCTTGTTAACAAAATAATTAAAACTTTTTATCATGATCTTAAAGTTAATAATATTTGTATTTATCAACCAATTATGGAATCGTTGTTTCTAAATCATTCTCTTTTTGATCAATAAATAATTAGATTCCTCTAAAGATAACATCTAAATCATCTGGATTAACTTCATTCAATTTATTTATTTCCATTTTATATGAAATAAAAACTTTATAAATGGATCACTCTTGACGACATAGAACAAGGAGATATTTCCATTTATCTTTAATTATATCAATAATAACCTAAAAATTATGGAGAATGGCAAACCATTTAAGGTACTGATATCTTGACCAAGAATAAGAAACAAATTGAACTATCATATCATTAGCCTATTGTAAATTATTCAATTTATTCAATTATTGGAGTAGCATATTATGATGATAAAGATAATTGTTTAAAAATTATAATAGAACATTTAAATGAATTATTTGACTTTGACATTGAATTGCATCAATATACATATGAATAAATACAAAAATTAACTAAATAATAATGAATACATGTGATTAAGTAGCAATATCATACTTAAAATGCACTTAAGATCTTCTTTATAATATTGAGATTCTTAATTATTTCTCGTTCTAAGAAACGAGCTAAAACTATTCAATTATATTAAAATATACTAATATATCAATTATATTTTATATAATAAATAAATTGCCATAAATATATTCTATTCTATATCATATAACTTTATTATTTTTTAGATCCAATTCATTCAGTATTTCTATAATTATTTATAATTTATTAAATCTATCATGAATGTTTAGAATTATTGGATTATATTATATAAAATATTAATAAAAATTATTGAAAAATGTAATAGCTTATAGTTAAAATAAATCTTTAAATTTTGATACCAATATAAAATTGAATCAAAAATTTACTTTTATTATGTAATTAAAAAAAGAAATAAAAATTATAAAAATTTACAATTATACATTTTTAATGTAATTTTTATTCATTTCTTGCCTTTTGTAGCACCTTTTTCATCTTCTGGTTTGGGACCAATACCAAGTAAAGCATCTTTGAATTTTTAGTATTCATTTTCAAAGTATGCTATTTCATCTAATACTTTAGTCTATTATGATAATAATTATATATATATATACATCACCAGATTATTTTGTTTCTTTAACTGGTTATTATTATTAGATATCTTTTTCATTTTATTATTTTGCTTATTATTCTCTTATTTTGAATCTATCAGAATAATAATTTACTCTTTTAACTTCTCTTTCCCAAAATAATCTCATAGCTTTGACTTCATTTCCTTAATCTTTACATAAACTTTATGGAAATTCAAGGAGATGCAAAGTACCATCTGAATCACCAACAGCCACAATATGAGCCATATTGTCATTAAATTTTAATGATGTTATAGCACATGCAACAACTTAGAATTAAATAGTTTATTTATGAGATTAATCCAACATATCCCAAACATCCAAATTACCATCAGTCTTTCCTATAATTATGACACCAGCACGATAGGGAGAGAATCCACCACAAGTTATGTGGGCTCCTTTCATGATTAAACTTTCAAATATTGGAAAAGTGACATTTTGTTTCCAAACACAAAAATTGAAATCATGTAAAGTAAGTATAACATCTTCAAAGAATGGACTTACATCCAAAGCAATAGGTGGTCTCATACTTCTTTATTATTACCAAATTGAAGACACTAATTAATTCTTTTATCCTTCTTCTCCTTATTTTTCTCCCCAATCTAAAGTAAAGACTTCACCTTCATCTGATGTTCCTGATAATGTTGGAGTTTTTTAATCTATTTTTATTAAATTTAAAATGTACTTTTTCTGAATTAAATTTAACCTCCTCCCATCATTCCTCCACCTTCTGGTCTATACAATTAAATTCCATATGTAGCCTTCCAAGGTATAGTAGATATCTAATTTATAATCGAATGATTTATACATCTTATTATGTCTTTTTACTGTCTTTATCAATCAATCTACTGTCCCAAAATAGAATTTAACCATCAGAACTAATACTAGCAAATTAATAAGTTTCTTAAGAAGTAGTAAGTATAAGATGATTGAAATGCTTCTTATCAAATTCCATTCCTATTGGAAACCATTTCACAGCTAAAACAGAATTCTTATGAGATGCAACTTATTTTCTTAAAATTTCATTAGATGATCCAGCTTAATATGATGCTGGATCTTGTAGTGCTGATACCATTTTAGGTTAAAGTTCTTAAATTTCATCTTAAAATAGTGAGAAATCTATTAATACTTCGTTCTTATTTAGTTTTTTAAGTTTTTTTAGATGCAAAAACAGAGAGAGCTGTACCACTAAGATCCCATAACATAACTTAACCATTGATAGTGCCACCAACTATTATATTAGGATCCTTGGGATTGAATTCAAAAGAGAGTATTTCAAGTGGAGATTACAAAAGAAGCACTGGTTCTATTGAATGAATATCTTCAAAATCCCAGAATACTATAAGTGATTTATGAGATTTTAATTAATATATTGCTCTTTCTTCAAAAAGAAGATTTTCCACAAAAGATTCTGCAACAATATACTTTGATTTGATTGCTTAACTAGTAGGTTGAAATTGAATGCATTATATTTTTTTACCTTTACAATTTAAATAACTGAAACTTTTGATTTCCTTAATCACATTAGTAAGTTCAGCATTTTAATCTAAAATTTTATTAAATATTTAATGATACCTCCATTTTATTCTGAGAGTGGCAATACATTGAAATCATCCTAATATATATCAATAGTTTCATTTGATTATAATGCTTCCTCCATTAATGGATAAACAGTTTCCAAAAATTTAAGTAATTTAAAATCTTCATCTGTTTATTCTTATCTTTCATCTCCTTCATCAACTTGCAAAGCCTTATTAATTTTTCTATTCCAGACAGTCTAAGAACTAGCATCTTGAAAAGGATTGCATCCTTAAATGCCCATTTCAATAACCTTATTTTTAACAAGTTGAAGTGGATCCTTATCAAGAGCCTTGATCTCACCTGTTCTTTCAGATGTTTCTTAATCGCTAAATTTGAATGTTAAACTAAATGTTTATAATTAAGAGTTACCCAAACTCTTTTCTCTTTTTAATAAACTACATCTTAATGAATGGTCTATCTTTAACAGTAATAGATTGAATTTCCTTTGTTAATCAATAGATTTGTCAATTTACCTAAATTGTTTCATCTTCATGATCTGTCTTATATGGTCTAGGTTCAAGGGGTTTCTCTTCCACAAAATCTTCATCTTCTGAAAAATCTTATTAGAAATATTAAAAGTTAACACATACCTTCCTGTTCATCAGATTCATGTTTGCTCATTAATAATATGAATATTAAACAATTTAGTGGGATTGCATAATCATTAATTTTGATAGCATACTTAAGCATAAACCCTATCCATTATTAACTTATATTGAGCATATTAGGAGTCATAATGTAGATAATTGTTTTGAAATGGAAAAAATACGAATACATCATTACTGAAATATCTTAAGTATTGTTGACAGTACCAATGGGAATTATTTTAAAAGATGTTTGTAGTACTTTAATTGTATCTCTACAACTAATGCAAATGAAACCATCTAAATTTCTCTTATTTAAACTATCTTATATTGTAATTATAGGGATGATCATGTATGGAGAAATCCCAGAAATTATCATGATATGTTTCTCATTCCTTATTTTTGTAATTGATGTCTAATTGAAATAATCTAAATTTGAATATTCACCAACTTAACTCTCATCTAAGAAATTAAGAGAAGAGAATGAACTGGATAAAACTGATAAATCTGATAAAATACATCTATAATCTATAGCCTATAGTGATAATTAAGCTGGTCACAAAACCAGCACTAAATGTAAACATAATACATTATCAATATTAGATTAATTTCTATAAATTCTCGATGAATTTCCTGATGGAGTTGCATTGATAATATTCAATGAAAATAGAGAACCTTAAGTTGATTTTTGTAATCAAACTATGATGAATTTATTACATACAACTTAATCAGAGTTATTAAGTTCTTTAATGTCACTCAAGAATTTACATATTATGAAAAAGAAATAATAATCTTAAGATATGTCAGCATCAATTTCTACATACAAAAGTATGTATTCTCCTGAAAAGCATAAAATTGGAATTGTTAGATCTATGTATCGAGCATCAACTACAGTTTAGAATCCTAATAATGAGTAGTTCATCAATACAAGATTGAAATTTTCGAAAAATGTAAAGTTTTCTATAAAAATAGCCTTTCAAAATGGCTCTAGAATAGGCTATTCTGTAAATTCATTCTTAAGAAGTACAATCCTTATTAACTAAAACTCAAATAGGATTTGATTTACATACAATTTTGAATGGATATACTACATCATAATCAAAAAAAGATGTTTGTATTGAAATCAAACTATTTATATCATATCTTAATGATTAACCTTAATTATTGATCTTGACTAGAGATGTATCTTATAAAGATTATATCAAATCAATTAATCAACATAGTAAAGCAAAATCAAATTCATTGAATTTTGTATCACATGAAATTAGAACTCCAATTAAGTGCATAATTTAATTATTAGAAGAAATTGAGTAAAAAAATGATACTATCAAAAATGTTTTGTGGAATTGTTATTATTTATTGAATTTCAGTCATGATTTACTTGATCTTGCATAAATAAAAGTTGGAAAATTTAAATTACACAAAATCAAATTCAATTTTGAATAATTAATTTTATAATTATTTGATTTATTTAGAGTAGAAGCTAAGAGAAATTCTATTGCTTTGAAATTGGAATATGATCAATATACACCAAAAGAAATATATAATGATGATGTAAGAATAAAATAGGTGTTGATTAATTTGATTGGAAATGCATTCAAATTCACAATTGAAGGTAGTATAACAGTAATTGTAAAGGATTAAAAAGATGGGACTTTAGAAATTAAAATAATTGATACTGGTTTTGGTATAAGAGAGGAAGATAGGAAGAAATTAATCAAAGCATTTGGTAGATTGGATGATGATGAAACAAAATAATTCAATCGATCTGGTGTTGGATTAGGATTATTAATTAGTAATATGATATGTAAGTCACTTTCAACTAAAGAGGCTGGTATTAAAATTGAATCTGAACTTTATAAAGGAAGTTCTTTCTCATTTGAAATAGATTATGAGACTGAATTTGATACTGTTATTATTTGTGGTAATGAGAGCAATAATGAAGAAGAAGATTTAGTAGATATTGAAACCTAACCTCGAATCCAACGTATTTATTCAAATCAAGCTTTTCGATAGAGAGAATTACTAATTGTTGATGATAATCAATTTAATATTGATATTTTGATTAAGTTATTTAATAGAAAGGGAATAACTAGAATTGATTATGCAATTAATTGTTAACATGCTTTAAAAATTCTAGATGAACGGATTCGAAATCATATATTTTATAGAGTTGTTCTCTTAGATATTGAAATGCCAATTATTGATGGTTTTGGAACTGCTAAGATGATTAAAGAATATGTTAATGAAACAATGGCTATAATGCCTGTTCTTATTGCTGTTAGTGGACATGGATTACATATGAAATAATAAACATTAAATAATGGATTTGTAGATTATTATGAAAAACCATTAAAAATTGGAGACATAGAAGAGATCATCACTCGTTATCTACAATGATTTAATTTTTTATTAAAATACTAATTTAAATTAAAATTATCGTTAGATGTTTGCTTGTTGTGGAAAAAAGAAAAAGGAACGGAAACATGCTTCATTAGGAAATCTTCATTAGTTAAATTTAATTTGTTAGGATGGATTATACTTTGATAAGAATCTTAAAATAATTACAGAATTCAATAAAACTAATGTATTCAAAATATATTTAATAGTATTTTAGTTTTGTGATACCTTATAAGGAAACTGCAAATATTATTGTCCAATCTGTTTTAAATATTATGACTGTATAATCTATATACATTTTTAATAGGTATGCTTCATACAACTTGTTGTACAAATTATGTTTGTCATGTTTGTGCAGTATAATCTCTCGCCAATAAAATGTATAATTGTCATTATTGTCGAAATGATCACTGCAAATATGTCGATGTTGATCCTGCACATTAGTTAAAAATATACATAGATTCACATACTAAATTATGAAATTTATATTAATTAATATATACAAATGTAAAAAGTAGATTACATCTTTAAAATTGTACTAATAGGATCCTAGAATGTAGGCAAATCTTCCATTATGGCCAGATTTATAGATCAAGTGTTTAATGATAGTTACCTTTCAACAGTTGGAGTTGATTTCAGAATAAAAACCCTATCAATACATGATAAGACGTAACTAAGTACCCATACTTATTAGTATTAAAATGCAGATTTGGGACACAGCTGGATAAGAGCGCTTTTAGGCTTTAACTTAATCTCACTATAAGGGGGCTCATGGTTGTATTGCTGTATATGATGTTACATGCGAAAGGTACTTATGTAATTCTTATTATTTATTAGATCATTTGAGGATGCTAAGAAATTCTTAAAATTGGTGATTGAAGAACATGGCTTAATACCCGAGGCTTGCTATTTAATTGCAAATAAAGTTGATTTAATCAGTAAAAGAGTTGTAAGTAAATCAATTATATTCTAGATCCTCTCCAAAAATGGCAGTGAACTTGCTTAAGATTTAGGTGTAAACTATTTGGAAACATCTGCTAAAACAGGAGATAATGTCAATTAATTATTTTTGGATTTAGGCAAAATTATTTTGAATTTAGTGGATTAGAAACGTACAAACGCCCAACCTCCTGAAAATGATACTAGATTAAGAACTTTAGATACATAAAAGATTGAATAGGAATAAGGTTGTAAATGCTGAAATAAATATAATTTATTATTATATTTAAAATATAATTAACTTATCTAGCATCATTATGAAATCAGTTATTTTATTCTAAATTTCTTTTTATTATATCATTATAAATGCTGCCAATTTTTATTTCATGATCATCATTAAGATTAAATAAATTTAATATACCATAATTAAGTTTTAATTATGATATCGAAAAGCAGAGTATTTCTAACTTTAAGCAGACCTTAAATAACTTATTCCTTCTCTCTAAGTACTAAATTCATTATATTTAGTTAATAAGCTAAGAAGTGAAGTTTTTAAAGGATCTATTTATAGAGCTATCGGCATTTTAGCAGGAATTTAGATTAGTGCAACATTTATTTCACATTATTTTGTAGATAAATAAGTGATTTTCCCTGTTGAAGATTATTTAAAGAATGATAAAATTAAGGAAAATCAACATTACTCAATTGCTGGCATCATAAAACCTGGAACAATAGAAATCAAAAGAGGCACCCTTGATGTAAAATTTATCCTCACAAATTTTGATGATGATATCACAGTTATCTACAGAGGTGAAACTAAATACGAATTCAAAGAGGGAGAGACTATTGTTTTAACAGCATATACTCCTGATTTAAAGAATAAAAAAAGAATTATTGGTCTTGATTATTAGACTAAACATTCAATGGATGGATATATGTGGGAAGATAAAGTAGGTGTTAATCGCAATAATTATGGACTTAATTCTAAATTATAATCTTAATTATGAAATAATATTCATTTATTTAAGTATTTGTTGCTATTATCTTCTAATCCTCTTTTTTTTTATTTACTTTTATTATTATTATTATTATTATTATTATTATTATTATTATTGTTATTGTTATTTGATTTAAAATCTTCAATTTCTTATTTTAATGTTTATATTAATTATTTTTACTATTATCTAATAAATTCACTCTTTTCAAAATTCTCTTATAATCTTTATTATTCTTATTCAATTTGACTATATTTTTCATTTTATTATAATGCTTTCTTCAATTTTTTGTTTAATTAATCTAATTACTATTGCATTTATTAATTCTTTTATTTTTCCTTTATTAATTAAGCCCTATCATCTTCCCATTATTTTCTTAATTATGATAACTTAATTTATAATGATTAGACATCTTATTATTAAGTGCTTGTGCCTCTCTATAATGAAGTCTAAGATTTTTCTTTACTTTTTGATTTTGCTTGACTCATAGATTTTCTTTATGCTTTTGATTAAGATAATTTGTTTTCTGCACTTTCAATATTCTTTTCCAATTATTAGAATTTATTCTTCCTCTCCTCATGAAAAGAGGATTTATTCAGTGTTTTAGTTGATTGTTCTTACTCTGTAAATTTTATCTGTTTTTTATGTGATGATTAAATATGATTGTATTTATTCTTTAGAGGTGTTTCTTCATCTGAATCTTTAAACTCTTATTGTTGTACTAATTGATTTGGTTGAATTTATTTTTCAATATTTTTTTGAATTCTTGCTTCAATAGTAACAATTTTATCTTGGATTTCATTCAAATCTCCATTAGTTGTGCGTTTGGTTTATGATGTAGGATTATTACTTAAGGCTCTGATACTAGAATTTTGAATTGATTCCTATTCAAAATAAGATGAAGGTTAGGTTTTTTGAAGATAACTAGGGACATTATTACATTTGAGCATATCAAGCTCTTTGTCTAAGAGAGTGTTGAGAAAACTAAGTTTTTCTTATGGTATAGGACTTTAATTTAATTACATTTGAAAATTTAAATATATTACAGTTGCCATTTCATTATAGATTCAATTAGAATTCTTAATAATCACTTTTTGGAACCATGTCAATGACTGCCTCCAATAATCCATTTGGTAATACTCCACCAGGTCTCCAATACTAATTAGCTCCAACCTCATTTCCAGTTGGCATTCTAACATTAAACTTCTCAGGAAAAGGAACATCAATTCGACTCAATCTCCTAAATTACCAACTTCCTGGATTAAGTCCTAAATTTTTCTCAACGATTGATAAATTGCCATTTGCTGTATTTAGAAGTTAATCCATTTAGGATTTAGGTATCACAAATATCCCATTTTTATTTCCTACAAATTCTCTACCATTATTATCCAACCATGCTGTTGTGATAATAAATGATGCCCCATATCTAAAATACTTCAAATGTTAATCAATATATTCTTAATTCATGTACTCTTATGGTTAAGGCCTGTTACCCTTAGATTTTGCAACAACTAATTCTTGAGTCCATCCAGAATGATAAATTAAAGGGATTTTTTCTTTTCTTCTAGGAGGATCCTTTGGATCAACTTCATAACAAGAGTCCTTTTTAGATTTATCCCAAAAATACTTATTGTGCATTTGCCACTATAAAGATGGCAATCAATAGCCATATTATTTTCATATAAAACGAATAATTATATAATTTTTGTTTTTCAATTTAATTTCACAATAGTTTCTTTAGAAAAAAAACTTTTGTTATTTTCTTAATATTTTGACCACCAATTCAAAAGGTAAGAATCGTTAATCAAATTGAACCAAGGGGTAAATGAATTCTTAATTAATCAATTCTTACTTTATTTAATTATTTAAATTGTAGAAATTCATTCAAGGATAACCATTTGCAATCATTAACTTCTTCAGGATTTCCATTAATTTTAGGTTGATCTTATTGCAACTTTGCAAAATAAATGTAATCCACTAAATATTATAAATTATTAATGATACATTCATATTCTCCATATTAATCATTATCCTTAGCTGAGTAAATTATTTTTTAGACTAATTCAATTTGGGTATCCTTAATATCAAAATTTAATTCTTCCAAAGTTCTTTTTTTCACATAATACTCACTCCTACTGTATTTCATAACTTAATCATCTTCATTTTCATGATATAATTAGTGACTACAACAAGTGTTAGCCCATAATAAAGGGAATGTCTTTTTAGCATTGCTACGTTATTGAAGTAATAATCTATAATTTTTATCAAACAAAAATAAGCTAAATGCTCGATGAGGAAATGATTTTTCATTAAAGATGTATTTAGTTGAATGAGCTTCCCATTTATCTATTGATTCTAAATATTATTAAATTTGAATAACTACATATTAGTTTATCATTAAAATCAACCAAGATCAAATTTTGAGTTTTCTGCTATGAATACCTAAAATGTTAAAGAATTCTTTTCATTAATTTAAAAATGAGCGAACTTTAATTAATTCGTCCGCTCTATTAATAGGGTTCAGTGATGAAAGAGTTAACCATAGCCTCCCTACAAACTGCAATGAGCTTTTTATTAGAATATCTACCTAATACAATATCGATATATTTGCTAGAATTCAAAGAAGACTCTTTATTGGTAGGAGCTTTGGGACTAGGAATTCTTACAACACAAGCATTCGGAATGGGAATATTAAATGGTTTAGCTACAGGATTGGAAACCTTAGTCTCATAGGCTTATGGGGGAAATCATTATGAATTATGTGCAAAGTTGTATTATAGATCGTTGTTTTTGTGCACCTTGTTTATGATTCCTATTTCACTATTCTTGATATTCTCAACATAAATAATCTCCTTTATCAACAAGTACAAGTGCTGGTTTACTTTAGCAATACAGAATTAGCAGAAGAAACAGGACATTTCAATAGATTTATGATATTAGCAGTATACTTGAATGCAATCTTTGTGAACACCAAAGTATTTCTGAATGGTTAAAACATTTACAAATATCAATTCTATACATAGCTTGTGACATGCATCCTTTTTCTTGGTATAAGTTACTTTTTGGTTGTGAAATAGGAATTAGGTATAGTAGGTTGTGCATTAAGTTTAACAATTTTGGATCTTTTGAATAATATAATCTTATTTTCTTTAATTTTCATAACTAAATGCAGTTAAGCTACTTTATTTAAATTTAAACTAAGTTATTTAAAAAATACATTCAAATTTTTGAAATAAGCAATACCTATAGGTTCAATATAATGGTTAGAGTGGGTAAGTTTTGATTTTTATGTAATTTTAATTAGTTATCTAAAAACTTCAACTATAAGTGCTCATGTATTAATGTCTAATTTTGCAGGATTTTTATATCAATTCAGTTATGGTATTTCAATAGCATCTACTACATTTGTTGGAAATGAAATGGGAAGAAAGAAAGTGGATATGGCTATAAAATACACTAAAGCTACATTTTTAATAGATGGAATCTTCTTAATAATAACATTAGGATTATTTTCAATTTTTGGAAAGACTATAATTTAATATTTGAGTGAAGATAAAAATGTTATTGAAGAAATCAATAATTCGATCTATCTTTTAGTTGCATTCATTTTTTTGGATGGTAATATAATATATATAATAATAATAGGTTTATAAGCCATTATTTCAGGATTAGTAAGAGCTATAGGAAGATAAGCAAGTGCTTCTATTACATTTATATTATGTTATTTGGTTTTAGGAGAAATAATTGGATATTTTCTTTGTTATTCTGCTGATATGGGACTTAAGGGAGTGTGGATAGGAATTGTGATAGGTGCATTAATTTATGATATTATACAATTTGTGAATTTAATATGGAAAGATTGGGAGGTATTGTCTGAGATTATAATTGATAAATTAATGATTTTACATTAATAATAGAATATTGTACTTTAAGATGATGAAATGTGATAAATAAATTAAATTTTTATATTTAAATCAATTTTCATAAAAATGAATATAGTTTATAAATTTAATCTTTTTTATAGGAAAATAAAGAATAAAATAAAGATAAGTCATCATATTATAAACGGTTTCAATTATAACTTCAATTATTATTTTATTTAATAATGAAAATAATTCATTCAATTTTAAGTAATAGGGAATATCATAAAATAGATTAGATGTATTAATACTTTATATTAATGTAAATAAAATAGAATTTCTATTAAAACTAAAGAGTTATCATTCATTTTTTGATAAAAATCTTAATAAATATAATATTAAATAAAATAAGTTTTTATTCAATGTTCTTTATTTTTCTTTAACTTTTCATTTTAACAAATTCTGAATTGATACAAATTTTAACTAGATAAGAAGCAGTTTTAGATGTTTTCAGTTAATCAGGCATAATTCTTGAATAATAACTTACAGAATAACAATTATGCAAAATTATACCATAACAATTAGTAGCAAATAATATTGATGATAATTCCATAACCCTAATAGATAGTTATAGTGATGATAATTTTAGTTTAGATTTTGAATATGGGTCTTATAAGGGGAAAATAGGAAAAATTCTTAAATTTGTCTAAATAAAACGTGGGATACTTGTATTGAGGGATGATGGAGAATTATATTTTTTGAGAATTTAAGACACAAAATTTAAATAACAAGCTACTTTCAAATTAAATATTGATGAAACAGCACTTTAAACAACTGTGTTTATTGAATATTTTTATGAATAAAATTCAGTTTTGATTATAGGTGATGGTGAAACTATTGCTTTGGATTTAGAGTTCGATGATGATGATCTATATATTAAATAATACAAAGTATATGAATAATGGCAAATCTAACATATTAATAGCATAGCAACAGCTAACAATCTCATCATAGTAGCAATGAATACTGGTATAAAGATGTTTGAATTTGCAAATCATTAATTAAGTGAAATATTTTTAGATTCCTAAATGATTGGGAGAATCTAAGATATTAAAGTTTTCAATTAAAATAAAGATGATAATTATTTTATCTATTTATTAGATGAACAATATGGAGTTAGCTAATATATTTATAATATAGGAAGAAGTACAATTTTATAATTTAATTCTCATATGGGATAAATACCATATCCAGGAGAAATTCTAGATGTTTATGGTGATATTTTAATGATTGTAAAAAATTAGACTTTATTTGAATTTCGAATAGATTATTATAAAAATAATTATGAGCTAATCAAATAACATAACTTAGAAACAGATATAATTGATATCTAATTAACAGATACTTTTGCTATTATTATAGGTAGAAATGGACATCAGATTTTGTTTCACTCAATTCCTTCCACTTTTTCTTAATTTGAGTGGATGAATCAATTAGTGATACCAAATCTGAAGCAATTAGATATCTTATCATTAATTTTAGATATTAAATCACATAAAAATAATAATAAAACCACTCATAATATTATTGTTGGCATTACTTAACATAAGTTTTTCTTTTCTAAAATTGAATTGGTATTAAATTATTATAAATCATATAGTAACAATCATACATTGAATGTTATTCTGATTCTACAACACCTGAATTAGAATTAATCTATCAGCAAAAGTCTACATATTGTAAATCAAATATGAAAAATAAAGTCTGTCAATTAAATAAGACATATAAAATATAATTTGTAGATCCAAAAGCATTTGGAGGTGGCAAAGATACTTATTTACTCATAGTCCTACTATATGTTATATCTATTGCTTCTTTTTTAGTTTTAATGGGAACTCTTATCATTTTATATAAAAAATATCATCAAATTCATCTACCTTAATAATAACAATTAGATGATAAGGAAGAATAACCCTATACAAGCACAACCAGACATATAAAGATGGCTTCATCAAAAAAGATTATTTATTTACCAAAAGCTGATTAAACTCCAATCTCTGGTGTTTAAGAATAAATAAATTTATAACTCAATAATAATAACAGGCCAATCACATAAGATAACTAGGACTTATCTCCTATGGCTTCTGAAATGAGATGATTATAAAATAAAATTCTTAAATTATTAGATTGATTTTAGAATACCTCTTAACACAAATTCTTCAATTTAATGATGTATATTAATACCATATTATATTATTTAATTACCTTTACAATATATTGGTAATGATGGAATGGATTAATAAGTTTGCATTTTTTATTGTACTTATATTATATATATCAATCTGTATGTTAAGATCCCTTTGTAGCACCAACACCTGGTTTTCCGTGTCTTGTTGGTTTATAAGTTAAAGAGAATTCACCCAAATATCTATAATTATAGTTTTGCATTTATTTATACCTGCCAATCATATCAAATTTAATTTCAACATTACTAAATTATCTGCCATTATAAACTCCAACGATTGATCCAACCATCTCTGGAACTACAATAGTATTTCTTTAATGAGTCTTGACAGGTTTAGGTTTTTCTCCTGGTAAAGTTTCTTTCTTTGATTTACGAATCTATAATTATGTCAAACAAAGCTTTTTTACTTTCTTCATTAAATTTTAGAAGGCATGCACTTTTTCACCTTAATTAGAAATTCTTCTTCTTTATCTTGCTCTGAATTATTCAACCAACTTATCCATTGGCAATTTGACAAGCTCTTCGAGTTATAATCCTCTGTAGGTGAACTTCTTAACACCTTTGAATTGTTTGTCTTATGTTTATTCAGCCATTATTTGAAAAATGAAAATAAAGATTTTAATATAATCGAAAAATAAATAAATATATATAAAATGCTAACCTTAATCATTATATATATAATTGTGTTATAATATGTATTAATATATATTGTTGTCTTTACAACTTGAAATAGATTGATATTAAGACAATTATCATTTAAAAATAATTCAGTTATTCCTTAATTTGATTGATATCATTATGTAATAAATTATAATTTGATAACCCTTTTAGTGAATTCAAAACATCGATAAGGTAAGTCTGATAATACCATAATATACAAAATAAAATACTGAACTTTATTTTTCATTATTTAATGATTTAGTTTATGACAAATCATTATTATAATAATAATATCTATGTTAGTATCTCCATCCAGACGATTAGTCAAGAGAGACACCAAATCAATGAGACCTTCAAAGTTTTTGAATGAATTTGACATATCTTCATTGTCTTAATTAATGACAGTGAAAAAGGATGTCAATGAGGGTTCAACCAGAAGCATTGAGACCTTTGGATCATTGACTTTAGTAAATGAAATATCAGAGAATGGAAGCACTATGTTTTTACCTGTTATAGAAGAGAAATCTAAAATTCGATTCATTAAACCAAAACAATCTATTACCTAAAGAGATGTATTGATACCTAAATCTGATTCTATATCACCTCTAACTAAATCAGATATCCATCTACCTTAAATCAACTCAATACCAACTTCTCCAACTAAGTTTTAAAATCCAAACCATAAAAGACATTTGACTAATGTAGATGAACAACATAAAAAAGTGGAGTTTAGAAAGTCAATTTAAGTAATTGATTTTGTCAATAATATTATCACTAAAGATGTGATAGATGGAAGTGTTAAACCATTAAAAAAAAAATTTTAGAGATAACAAACAAAAATGATTAAGAAAGAATGAAATCTATTATTCACCACAATGATTTTTTGAATCTAATCTATATTATACAAATCTAATAATATATATTATTTATTTTTATATCAGTGAATCAATTTAATTAACACTCTCTCAACATATATTTAAAATAATATATATTATTTAATTGAAAAATATATTTAATACTATTGTCTTTATGATTCAAGATTGACGATTGAATAACAAAAATTTATCATTTTATTTTTAATTTATTTATATCCAATTAAAATCAATGCTTTAATGATTAATATATGTAAACTAATTTCAATTTAAATATTATTATCAGATTGTCTGTTATATTACATTAATTATTCCTATTATTAATTACATTAATTAAGATGTCTGCTTAAATCTAAGTATGTTTAGACACATTGGCTTTTGATTAAATTGAAGAAATAGTTTTGATTAATGGATAACCTTCAGTTTAGCTAATTGTATATACACCCTTTAGTTAATATTGTTTTGAAAGTAATGAAAAAGTATATTACAGGTCATAAGCCAATTAAGGAATTCTATGACTATGTATAACACATTCAAAAACATGGATTTATGTTATTAAGTTTAGATAAGTCTTAGATTGATTTGCTCTAAACTGTAAAGGATAAATAAAAAACAATTATTGCAATCAATAAATTAATAAGTGAAATATTGTATAGAAGAGATTTGAATACAAAACAGAAAGTAAATGATTATAGTATTTAGAGACCATTAATTTATTGGGATTGAATTAATAGATTGAAGTTTATTCATAAATTAAGGCTTTAGTATAATATTAATTTATACAAGATTAGATTCCTAATATTGTAATGGGTTTCAAAATTTCAGATTCAAATCTAACTGTATCCTAAATGATTATTGTTAATTAATATTTGATTGTCACTTTAGAGAATTAGAGTTAATTATAAAAGTTTGGCAAAATCTGGAATTTAATTGAACCAGAAATTATGGGATAGATGATAATATTTTTAATTGGAGATGTCACTCCTTTTCATAAAATCTTTGATAAATATTATAGTTTCAAATTATTTTGTGTAGAAAATAGTAATTACTTAATATATAAATTTAGTAAATGATAAGCTGATTGTAGGTACTTGTCAAGGAACATTAATTTTATACTCAATAACAGAACATTCTATATAAGAGAAAACTATAATTTAGGTTCTAACATCTCCAATATACAGAATCAATCATTTTAATTAAGAAATTTATCTTGTAACGGATAATTAAGTCAAGATTTTAGATAAATAGAATTTTGAATTGATTGGAGGTGGAAGTCTTAAAAATAGATTGTAAACAGCTTGGATTACTTGCTTAAATTTTGATGAAAAAGAGAAACTATTATTTTTAGGTAAAATAAAATTAATTGTAGGTACTTCATAAGGTTTTATTTTGGTTTTTAGAAGAACTGAAAAGTTAGAATTCTTAAATCAAATAAATTTTAATTTCAATACTGGAATAAAATCTATTCAAATAATTGATAACTATCTTTATCCATGTACTGAAAATGGAGTTGCTATTATACAAATGAAATATAAAGATAATTAATTCTAATATCAAGAGAAAACAGCATTTGCAAGTTAATTAAAGTTGGTTGGATTCAAAAAAACATAAACTTCTGTTTTTGGATTTACTCAATGTGGTTTAATAGTTTAATGGAATCCTGAAAATGGTTAAATGAATTAAGCTTATAAAATAGATAAAAATTGCTTATTTGGGATTTAGTAAAATAACTAAATATTTATTGTTACATATGAATAAATGATTCATATAGTTAATTTTTAATGAATTCAAAATTTAATGAAACCTTTATCAAATATTTTATGAAAATAATAATTATTATTTGTTTGTTAATTTAACGATGTCCAAATGGCTAGATTTGAGTTTTACTTGTACTTAGATTAATTTTAAATGTTAACAACCACTATCATGTATAGTTTATTCAAATACAATATTAAAGATAGTCCCATGAATAGTGTTTTTGAGATTGAAGGGAAGAAATTATATTTAGGAAATATTAATGCAGCAAATGATTCTTAATATCTAAAAAATCATAATGTTGGAGCAGTATTATCAATTATTGATACAAGTGATATTAAGTTAGACAGGTCAATCATTCATCTAGTACAAAATATAATATTTCATTAGTGGATTGCAGCTGAAGATAGAGAAGATGTTCAAATAACAAGGTATTTTGAATAAGCTGCTAACTTTATTAAAGATCACTTATAACATACAAATGTTTTAGTTCATTGTTATGCTGGAATATCTAGGTCAAGTTCTTTGATAATAGCTTATTTGATAAAATATGCAGGATTATCATTAAAAGAGGCTATAATCAAACTTAAAAGTTAAAGACCTTAAGTAGATCCAAATGATGGATTTATGGATTAGCTTAAATAGTTTGAAGAAAAAGTAAAAAACCAAAAATTATGTAAAAGTGAAAATGGAACTAAAAGTGTGAGTAAATTCTTAAATATAAGCACAAGTATTGATAAAAATAATAATAATTGTTAATAGAGTAATAAAGGCATCTAGAATTTTAATATCTACAGCAGATTGAATTCTACAACTAATATAAAAGCAAAAAAATAAAACATTCAAAATATAACAATCTAGAAAACAAAGACTTCATTTTTAGATAAAACTTGTAGTCCAACTAATATAAGCACAACAAATAAAGTTGGGAAAACATTCATTTCAAATAACCTTTATGAGGATCCATTAAAATAATATTAAAAAATTAAAAATTCTTAAAATCTGTTTAATTAATAGATATTGGGAATGAAAAATATTTATAGCCAGCATGGAAGATTTCACTCTATGAACTATTGAAATTTATATTCATTTTTATTTATTGTTATATAAAAAAATAATAAAAATATAATCATATATGTATCTTTCTCAACTCCACAAATACAGATTAATCCTATACAGTTAAGTATTGATGCTTTTCATTTTTCTTTTATAACAAAAATAATTAGTTGTTACTAATTTACATTGCTTCCACAGGACCATACTTTCCATAATCCAAAAATTCATTCACTACAAATTCAACATAAGTATAATCTTTTCTGGAATCTATTAGATGAGCTTATGTATCTATATTCATTACAATAACTTTTGTATTATGTTCTTTATCAAAATATCCACCAACAATAAAAATCTATGTTGGATTTACTTATTAGGCAAAACTAAAATTTGGTAAAATAAAGTGAGGCTTTTTAAAATTAATAAGTTGCCATTCATTATTTTTAAATTCTTCTACACAATTAAGAGGTTTGTTATTAATTTCAGTTCCTCCATATTTGAAAATACTCATATTATTATAACAAACTAATGTACAACCTATGCCTGGTTTCTAGCAATCACTCAATTTAGTCCATTTCTAAGTTTGAATATTATAACAAAATGTGTTTGCTGTCAATAATTAATCGCTATAACCAGAACAAATATACAACAGCTAATTATTTTCTCTAATATATAATAATTTATTTACATATAACATATCCAAAACCCCATCTATTAGCATTACTTTAAGGAACTGATGTTACTTCCTTTAGAGCTGGTATATCATCATTTAATTCATACACTAAATGAGTATTCATTCCTCCAATTACAAATACTCTAAACTATTAAAATATTATAGTCACAGCCTATTCTGAAATTTATTATGATTAAGAAAGATCTAGTAATTCTAGAAAGTAATTTTTCATATTAAATAAATTTGATTATATAATATTTCTGCTCCAAGGAATACCATATGCAATAGATCGAGGTTCAGGTACATTTAATATAGAATATTATTTCCGATAATATTCAAATGTCTCTGAAAATGTAATTTTTATATTGTCCTTGATCTATTTTTAAGGTTCCTAAATTGATAATGTTTAGCATAATTCTTATAATTTAATTCTTTTATGTGGATCCTATTCTACCATACTTTCTAAATAAGATTTATAAGCATCTCCATATTTAATTTAAATTTCTTTTATGCTTTATTTGATGTCTTCATATTTCCTCAATTAATCAATATGTTTTAATAAAAAGAGTTATATAAATATTAATCCTAAAGAATAGACTGCTTGTGAATAGATATGATTAATGTTTTTAATATCTTTTACTTATTCAGGTGCTTAATAAAGTAAACTTTCCTTTTTGGCTTTTTCTAGTGCATGTTAAGTTAATAATATTGGTATGCAATTAAATTTCATACATGAATCTGAGCAAATCAAAATGCATGACATTGTCACAGGATTAAATGCTATAATTTATTGTTATTGTAAATAATTAATCGACAAAATAATTGCTCTAAAGAAAACAACGATGTCTTCTTTTAATAATTAAATTTTTTTTGACTTAATAATTTATAATACATTACTTAAATATTCTCAAGGTATTGATTTAAATTCTATGAATAAGTGTCAAACACTAAAATGAATTTGTATAGTTTGTTTAAATTTTAATCAATCAACATATCATATGTCTGTTAATAAATAATAAATACCCATTTATCTATGCATAATAATCCATCAGCATTAATTATTTCATATTTGTGAATTTCATCTATGTATTTTAAATGTTCTTTTTCATTTGAAATTAACCTCTCTAAAAGAAACATTTTATTGTTTTTCTTTCGATTGTAAACTTTTATGATTTTCATATTAACATCTTCATCAATAAGTTCCTCTTATTCCAATCCATCCAATACCCTATCAAAAGGAGTAAATTTGGAAATTTTCCTCTTTATCATTACTGAAAATTAAAAATGAGAATATTTATTATTGCATCATATTATGTCATACAAATTGTTGTCCCTTCTTTTGATTTCGACAATCGTATTGTACATGAACCAATCCTCATAGCCAACATTTTAGAGAGGTTTCTCAAAGGATTTTAAAGCCTTTCTTGATTAAAATTACAAGCTATGGGGTTTCCATAGACCTGATATTATTTCTGGATGCTATGGGTATTTCAAACATCTATTAATTTAGTGGAGCAGAAACTAGGCCAACTTAAAAGCCCTCCAGAATACCTATAATATTTATTCATGGAAATAGTGATGTGGCTGTAGGAGATGGAAGCTATGGAGTTTTTATGACAGGATTTAGCTCTTAGATTGAATATTTTTTAAGTCAAGGATACGAGAAATAAGATTTATATGCTACTACTTGGGGAGATGCTGATTCTGCCACAGCAAGTCTTAACTATCATTCTGAAAACTACCTTAAATACAACAGAGCCTTTGTTGAGGCTGTTTTAGAATATACAAAATCTCCTTACGTCAACATAATTTCTCATTCAATGGGTGTAACTTTGGCTAGAAAAATCATCAAAGGAGGAACTGGCCATGATGAATTGGGTAGTGGAAGATATGATCTAGGTGATCCTCTTACTTCAAATGTTAAAGTATTTGTAGGTTTAGCAGGAGGAAATTAAGGATTAACTTCATGTTATACTTCTGGTTCATCTTTGCCTACTTGTGGCATGACTAATGGATTCTATCCAGGATAACCACCTTATGTAGGAAGATCTGAGTTTTTAGAACAATTGGATTCGAATTCAGCAAAGGAAGGAAAATACATAGTAACTGGAAGAGCAAACTATGATGAAATTATTGGAGGAAATAATCTTGTTTGGGGAAAATATACAACTAGAATTAAAAATGAGAATGAGGAGATTTTATTTAATAGTCCATCTGTAGGTCATTTTGGATTAAGAGATGAGGCTGGACCTTAGATTTACTCAATTCTAAAAAAACAAGGAGCTATCAATTAATGAATCGGGCAAAAATATTTTCATTTTATTTTTAATTAAAAATTCTTTGTTCTTAATATGTTTATACATTATCCTAAATTGAATTCTCTCCTTAAAATTAAATTTGCTGAAGCATCAAATAAATGCCTCTAGAGTCTCAAACAAGTAGGTATAAGAGAAAAATTAAGATATTATTATGATTATTCACTATTATCTAAACCTTTACCTAAAAAACCATTACTACTTATAATTTCGTGTATGACTAAAAAATTAAAGAATATAATAAGTAAATATTATAGTATATAAATAAATTTCAAATTAGATAATCAGGAATGAGAAATAGAATCGATCTTCTCGAATTTAGAGATCAAATATCTGTTCCATAAGTGCAATTTATCTGTTAGTAAAATAAAATCGCATTATAATAATGCTTTCTTCCTCTAATCACTTAAATTTGAATTTTTTTTAAGTGTGCTTTGTTTGTTTTACCAAATTTTTTTTTATTATGATAAAATATTATCATCGTTTGATTTTGGTGACATATCTCCTTTATTTTTTAGCAAATGAATTGGTGACAAAGTTATTTTTTCCATCAACAAATAGTGGAATAATTTAATTATTGTATTCTCTAAAATCTAAAACTGATTTAATATTAGAAGATATAATTTATAGATTATTATTTAATCAAAGCTTCTTATATAAATTTATTAAAAAAATTAACATTCGCTTTAAATATCAGATTCTCAAACTTTTCAGATCTTATCTTGTGGGGTATAATAAAGAAAATCATTTTTCAACTAATTAGTTTTTATTTTATAACAACATATTTTTCATAAAAAGATTATATACATAGACAATTTTGTAAATTCATTTTGAAAATTGATAAATCCTATAAATTTTATATGATAATCAGTTCAATATCCTTGCTCTCCTTTTTTGTTTAAAGCATCATTTATTATTTGTTTAAATAATCTATAATAGTATTAAGTAATCAATATCTTTGTTCATTGTATTTATTATAGGTTATCTTTTTTTTAGAATTAAAATTGCATACAAAATAGGTAGTAACTCTTTATCTATTTGTATCTCAATATGAAATTAATATAATTACTGATTTACTGATCTTAAAAATAATTTATTATTTATCATTCATTAAGAAAAATTGTTGTTATTATTAAATTCTATTCTGTAATCAATAATAAATCTATATATCTAAGATATTAGAAACGTTTCAAATGGTTTATCAAACTCAAGCCATTCTAATGAACACAAAACACATAGTTTTTTATTAAAATAATAAAAAAACCTTGTAAATTGATCAAGATTTATAGTGAAAAGGCAATGCAAGTATAAAAAATAATTAATATTTCTTGAATTTAATTTTTAATTAATCACTTTATTTATTAGTATAATTCATATAAGTATATTTTAACAAATTATTGCAATTTAGGATTATCTAACTAATGACCTAGAAATCTTAACAGATATATATTAACTTTATGGTATCTTGGTATTATGCAATTAGGAATCCTTTCTTAAATTGTATTATTATTATATGAATTGTTTTTAACTATTTGAAATATTTATTACATTATTATATTAAATTTATTACTTATATTTGAATTTAGATTGGATAAACAAAAAATTTATATGATATTATGTAAGTAAATAGTGACTGCTTTATTTGAAAGTGATCTAATTGTATTATCTATATTAATTATTATCCCAAAATTTCTAATAATTATTATGTCACCATTAATTTTTCCACATGGATTATATTTTAATAAATTTAATATTTGTATATGCACATCAGCATCTATAGATTCTGAATCTAAACTAGCATGTGCATTTAGATAGTATTACATATTGTAAAATTCTGAATTAACCTTGGGTATAACTCTCTAAAAATTATTACAAGATCAATATTATATAAGGTATAAACAAAGAAGCAAATATTATGTTGCTTAAACCATAAAATGTTGTTATTAAATATACTATACTCTTTGAATAGAAAAATTTTGTAATCTAACAATTTAAAGCTCATAAGAAGGTTTGTAGTTATTTCAAAGATTCATTAGAATATTTATAATTATTAATATAATAATAATTAGTATTTAAAATCTAATTACCTCAATATGGAGAAAAAGATACTTTAAGTTTTTAAGAATAACACTTAAATTCCAACCTCTTACAAACTTACAAAACAGAGGCTATTCCAATTAATTATTAAATATTATATATATCAGTTAATTAATAATACTTAGAAAATCGATGAAACAATGAAAATAGAAGTTAAAGAGGTTTTATTGAATAATATAAAAATTCACAATAATGATTATAATCATCTTCATTATAAGAGATTATAGAGTTAACTTAATGATTTCAATATTAAGTGTAATTTCTTTAGACTTTGTAGATTAACAGGTAGTTATTTGACAGAATAAATTCTAATATTTATTGTCAAGAATTGTAGCTGTAAATTCTCTGAATATTATTGGCCAATACTTTTTGTATCAACTATATATATTTAAACATAAACAGTTTATATAATCAATAGTCATAGTGTCTTAATGATTGATTTCATATTATCATACCATTTCCATGAGATACTTGATTTGGATGTTAAAATTTATGGTGTAGATAATTATTCCATGTAATAAGCTCATCTGTGAAAATCTATATGCTTTTCTTTCTTCTTTATGTTTTATTTTTAGAGATTTCAAGAGCAATTTGAGGATTGGAAAATCGTTTTAGAGGAAGATCATATTTTTATTCATCTTCATTTACAGGGCTTGTGTCCCCATTTAAAATAAGTTTTGTAATTGGATGATATTCAATAGTCTACATATTCGTGCAATTTAAGCAAAAATGTATTTCAATATTAATTTAAATTACTGTTGCATGAATAAGACATGTTTGATTAAAAATGTTAAAGATTTAAACCAAATTTATGAAAATGATATTTTAATTTAAAATTAATACGCACCATTAATAATTTTCAGAATTAAGTGAAGTTAATTAAACAAATTAAATAAATCAAAATATCAAAATAGTTTTTAAAAGAATTTATGTTCTAGAATTTATTTGCAATTTATTCTATGATGATGATCTATTGAAAACATCAAATAAAGTAAATCAAGTAGATCTTGATCTTCGATAATTTGATATAATTATTTTTAAGGCTAGACTTTAGGTAGGGAATTAAATCTGGTTTTAAATTTGGAACGTTGTTTCATGTACGAGGGTATTGGTCCAAAGATAGATTATATAATAGCCAAATGCATTAAATCGTTATTGCCTACTTTAATAAAAACTCTTCCTATATTGAGGTTTGTTTTGTGTATATACCAGTGTATAATTCTACAATAAGGCATGCTAGACTCCAAATGTCACTTGATGTATCCCAGGTGTCGCATCTCATGATGACTTCAGGTGCTCTATATTATCTAGTATTGATGACTGTGCTATGATGTTCATTGGCTTAAGTGGCACCTCCCATGTCTATTAATTTAACTAAATGTCTTAGTCATTTAATTGATCTGGGTACTTTTGTTGATTGGCAAAAACAATGTTTTCAGGCTTTAGATCGGTGTGTGTGATTCCGAGGGAATGCATTAACATTAGTGAGGTAGTAACTTATTTAAAGATTGATTGGATTTCCTTAATGTTGAATGAATGTGATTGGATATAGTCATGGAGATTGATGTCAAGCTGTTTAAATTGTTGAATATGCTACCCTTTCAAGTAAAATACAATGATAGTCCTACCAAGTAAAGTAATCATAGAATTTGACGATACCCGCCTCACCGAAGGGGTCAAGTAACTAGATTTTTCTTAAGACATCCACTTCTGTATGATCAGTTTCGCTCAAGATCTGAATATTAATCTAATAACTTTCACAGCATATGGTATTCCCTGTTCGTCAATCACTTCCAACACCATTCCGAATGTGCCCGAACATAAATATTTCGTTATCACATATTTGTCAATTTTGTCTCCGATTACATAATGGAAATGGCATCCACTACTTGAAGAACTTCCAGATGAGCTACTGCTACTTGATGAACTAGAAGAAGAAGAGCTGCTGCTACTTCCACTGCTACTACTATCTGTAGTTGATCTAGCCATCAATCTACTTTAAATTGCTTAAATCACTTTAGTTTGGAAGTATCACGACTTCTACTTCTGATTTTGTAATGCATTGTCTATGGCTCTGGTGTTTACATTCTTATTTATTTTATATTTTTATTAATGATTTTAATGAAATCAAACAATAGGCTTAATACCAGATACCGACTATCTGACAGTTGAACCTGAACTTTTCACAACTGATTTAGTTACTGTACTACTTGTAGTTACAATCTTTAATAAATCTAATTTGCATACCTTTTACTTTTTCAAAGCTTCTAGTTCAATTTCTGCATTCATTAATTTTTCTTGAGTCTCACTATAATCATGATTGATTTCTTAAAATTTTCTTTTCCACACTTCAGCCTCATTATTTACTTCTGTAATTCTTTATGTTATAACTTCACTTCTAGTCTACTCAATTAAGATTCTTAATTTCTCATTCTCATCTTCTAGTTCATGAACCTAAAATTTAAATTTAACATTTACTCTTGTATTATCCATTTCTTTTACTATTTACACTTCTTTCTTCTTTTCTAATTCTGCAATAAGTGATTATAAATATAGCACTTCATCTCTCCAAGGTGCTTCAATTTCTTCTCTTGATACTACTCCTAATCTTACTACTGCTTATTATTATGGACCACAAGATGATTGACCACAAGGTGTACAACATTATTAAGTCTAACCACAACCTCCAAGTAATATAGATTATCCTGGGATCTATTAAGTTTACAATTAGTAATTTGTGCTTAACACCCTGCTTGAGTAAGAATTTTATTTTCCTTTTTTATGCCAAAATTAATATGTTTATGGTCTCTCTGATCTAGTATATTTTGTCGTCTTCAATTAAACAACAGTTATAGTACATATTGAGTTTATGGAAGAGTAACTTATTTCTGTTCTTCTACAAATGATTCGTGTCTAATTGTTGTGTAATTACTCATATCTTTAATATTTATTTCTTTAATTAATTATGGATAAAGTGGAGCCTGAATGTATACTCTGTGTTTAAGATGCTGAAATCATAGCATTAGGTCACTGTAATCATAAGACATTCTGTTACTAATGTATGATTAAAATGAGAGTCATTCGCAAAATTAAGACATGCCCTATTTGTAAACAAATCTTGGATAAATTAATTCTCACTGATAACCTCTAAGCTTAATATAGTGATTATTCTATCAATAATCTAATCCCAATCAATTATTCTGTAACTATCTTCATTTTAAACATTTCTAGAAAGATTCGAAAGATGTATTCTTTACAGATTCAGAATAAATCAAGTAAAAAATTGAGGGTTTAAACAACTTTAAATGTCCATTTGTAGATTGCCAAACTGATTAAAAAATAAATAACTTCAATCAATTGAAATTACACTTAAAAGTCGAACATATGCGTTTCTATTGGTAAGAATATTAATTATATTTTACAAGTGATGTATGTATTGAATAGAAAACATGTTTTTTGGGAGAATAATAATTATACTCAGAATATTAAGTTAGACATCATATTAATTATGGTGATGTTGATGAAGATTCAAATATCATTTTTAAACATCCATTTTGTAAATTTTGTAGGAAACATTTTTATGATGAAGAAAAATTTAAAGAACATTTAAATCTTGCCCATATAAATTGTAGTTTATGTGAAGACTAGAAATTCACTTTTTATAAAGATCATGGAAGTTATGAAAGGCATTTAAAGTTTTCACATTATTTATGTGAGGAACCAGAATGTAAATAAATGTTGGTGGTGTTTAAAACATCATGTGAATTAGATATGCATAAATAATAGAGTCATTGCAATGACCCAAGAATTAAAAAAATGTCTAATTTAAATTTATAATAAATAGCAGGATTTTATGAAGATCCAAAATAAAAAAAATAACTTAATGATAAAGAAGGAGAAGATTTTACAGATCAGTTTATTTCTCTTGAATAAACTAAATTAAGAGCTGTAGTGTAAATTGATCAACACAAAGATGAAAATATTGATTTTAGAGAATACATGTATGCAGACTATAATGATGAATAAGATAAATTAAGTGATTAAAGTGAAAAATTGCATTCATAATAAAATTTATGTCTAGAGGATTTACAATTAATTAAACCACATACACTTCCTCATATGAAATTTCAATCTTTTTTAACTAAATGCTCTTAGTTCTTTAAAGGATAGAAAAATAAAGATGAAATATTAAGAAAATAAATACAGCTGGTTGAATCAGAAAAAATAAGTGCTGAAAATTTTGTAAATAGCTTTATTAATATGTTTGAACCTAAAACAGGATTAAGATTAATTACATTTTATATGGCCATGAAAGATGTTAGAGATAACAAACCATTTTGGAAAATTTTAGATGATGCATATCTAAAAGAATTGAAAGCCCTACCAAGAAGAAATAATCCAATAATAATGATCTGTAAGACTTATTCAGAATTATTTATTAAATTATTGGATGAATTAAACAGAAATTTATTTAAAAGAATTGAAGATGGTGATTTGGTTAATTATTAAGATACTATAATGCCAAAAGAAAGAATATTTTAATTAATTGAGGTTCTTAGACATGTCAAAACTTCTGAAATGGGAAAATTTAAATTTGCTTTGAATTTTGGTCTCAGCACATAAGTACTTGAACATATTAAACATAAAATTCTTTTAGATGATTTTTCTAAAATTTAATGTAAGATGTTTATATTTTATCAATTAGAACATATATCATCCATATCAAATCATGATTTAGTTCCATTTTATCTTTATGTAAATTTGAGTATGAAGATTTTGAGAGGTGAACAAATTCACAAAGAAAAGAAAGATTTGAATGAGTGTGTTTATTAAGAATTTTTTTAGAATAACAAGAAGCTCTATAGTTTAATAAAAAAACCAGATAATATTGAAGCTAATAGACAATAATTTTTATCAAAATAACATAATTAGCTTAATAGAAATGGAATAGAAATGAATCCAGCTGATTTTCCTTCACTTTGTAATTCTATTTTTTATATTAATAGCTAAAGCTGAAAAGTAAGAATAAAATGTTGAGAAACAATCAAATTCAAAATAAATTGAACTTCCTCAATAATAGTATAAACAAGAAAAGAAATCTAAATAAAAATAATAATAAAATCAAGCAATTGGTAAATGGTAAACTAGTGGAGCAGCAATTTTTTAAAATCCATCCATAATTGAAGATTAATTTCCAAGCCTTGCTTCTAATAATAGTATAACTTTAAATATTTATACTTAGCTGAATCTCTTCAAAAAAATGTAAAATCTAATTATGGATAATTTTAAGAGGATGATAGTTTTGTTCCCTTAACTGATAATAAATCTGTTCTTAAAAATGAAGAAACAGAGTGGGATAGTAATCCTATAATACCAGTAATTAATAAAATTATTTACTAGAAAAAAAATACATAAATGAAAGAAGTGGGTTAAATAAAGAAAAAGAATAAAACCATACTTTAGATTTCAGGAGGTTTTAGATGATTTGTCTTATTATATTGAATGATGATTTGATTTGCTTTGGGAATACTCATTTGTTAATATTTTATTATTAATTCATAATAATATATCTTCACTTGCATTTTCGATATATAAAATTAAATAAAGCATTTTAGTTCTTTATTTAATTTTTTTGGAAGAAGTCTTAATAATTATTTTCAACATAGAATATATATTTATACTATGTTTAATTTATTCGCATTTAAAAAGAGTCACTAAAATGAGAATTAATCATTTTAAGCAAATCTCTCATGGTTTAATAAAAAACTATGTGATTGAAAAATATATGGATTATTTATTTATGAATTTAACTAAATCCATATATAAGAGAAAACATATAATTATTTATAAATGGATTTCTTATCACCTGACAATGCTTGTGGACAAAGTCTTTTGATTTTGGTTGCAAGAGGAAGTGCCATCTTAGCTGAAGTTTAGAGACTCTCTGAAAACATACCAAAGATTATTACTAGCAAAGCATAAGAATATAAAAAATATGAAAAAATCTTATTTGACTTTGAATACTTAAAAAACATTGATGTTCTTGAAGATGAGATCTAAAGAAACTAAGTATTATATAATCTTAAGTAGGATATTAATGAATTGGATGAAAATTTTAAGAAATCTTATTTACCATTAGTAGAAAGATTTTATAGATTATTTGAAAGCATCTATTTGTATTATTCAGACTTGATGGCATTTATACAAGAATTAGAGGAAGCAGTTTTTATGCAATATTCTGTTGAGACTGTATTGTAAGATCCAGAAGGAAAAAGGTTATTTGCGGAATCATTTTATTTATACGGATGCATGCTATTATTAATGGATATCTTAATTCCAGGTAAGGCAAGAGAAAAGCTTATCATTTCCTATTATAGATATAAGGGAGGCTAAACAGCAATCGAGTTCATTAATGAAGTGACTAAACTATGTGCTGAAACTGGATATACAAAAAATGGAACTCGCCCTGCCTTTTATCCTGAAGAGTATATGGCTAGATTTTAATTACCAGAAAAACTGATAACAGAAGTCATTAATTCTATCAAAGATGAAGACATCTATAAATTTACTAGCATATATCCATCAGCTGATCATAGATCTATCGCTTTATCAGTATAGGGATCAATGTTATATGTATTGTTGTTTTTCACTCCAACTATTTTAAATAATAAAAAGGTATCTAAAAATTATTAGAATTTAGTCTAAAATGAGAGAAATTGTTGACAAACATTTTTATGATTAATGGGTAATATCATTTTATTTGGGTTATTTTGTCGATTTATCTGAATAATGGAATCCATACCCAGCAGCTCGAGAAGCAATAAAAAACACCATTAATTTCGATTATATTTAAGAATTAGGAGCTTTCTATTAAACTAAACTAACAGAATAGATAAATAAAGTCTAAGAGTACCTTTATGAAGGATAAATGACTTAAGAATTTGTTCTTGACAAGATATCATCTTTAATGAATTGTGTTAGGGAAAGTAATATAGCCATTCGATGGATTTTACTGCATTCTAATACTAGTATTTCAAAAGCAAGAGACTTATTAAATAAGATTGATAAATAGGAGGTTTTATAGTTACTTTTATAAAGCTCAAAATTTGAAAATCGTTTATTGAAAGCTATTAAAGCCATCATTGATAATAAATAATAGTACTGGGATGAAGATAAAGTTAAATGTGTTGAGAGAATGCAAGAATTAGCTGATTATTTTAGTGGAAAGGCTTTGGGAAAAGTAAAAGCAGATGAATCATATATGTAATGGTTTACTGAAATGGGCAATTAAATATAATCTTTAAATTATAGTGATAGTACTCATGCTGGAAGAAAAATTTAAAGATTAATATAAGCATTAGAAGATATAGAATAATATCCTCAAATTTCTACATCTATATAAGTTAAGCATTATTTGAATGAAACAAGGAAAGATTTAACACATATGGTCAAAATTGTTCATATCAAGAGTACTTTACCTTCACATATTTCATATATTGCAGATTTCAGTTACTCATGGTAATGCTTAAAAGGATACAAGGATTTGATGTAAGCTAAAGTTTAGAGTAATCCTCATTCTGCTCTCAGTCTAAAAACTACTTTCTAGAAGTTATCTTCAATTTTAAATACCCCTACTATTCGTATTATCTAAGCTGGAAGTCCAGATTTAAATAGTGTCACAAAATACTATTCTGGGGAACTTGTAAAATTTGTCAAAGAAGTGCTTTAAATTATTCCGATTTAAGTTTTCGAAGTACTTTAAGATATTATTACTTTAATTACATCAGTGTTAAAACCACTTCCTTCTAGGATTAATAAAATAGAATTGAAAGATTATGCATAATATGAAGATAGAACACAAATTGCAAAATTAACAAATTCAATATCTGTCTTTACTGAATCGATTTTAACAGTTGATCCATATTTATTAGGATCAATAGAAGTGAATCCCAGAGAAATGCTTGATCAGGGGATTAGAAAAGAATTAATGGCATTAATTCATAAAATCCTTGATTCTTAATTGATTTTTCCCAAAAAAGATATTTCAGATTTCTAATCTAAATTATCAAAATTAGGAGAGGAGATAAATGGCTTCAAACTAGCTATGGAATAAATTTAAGATTTTGTTAATGCAAAAGGGCTAAAGATGTTTACTGAAGAATTTAATAGATTAATTGAATGCTACACTTCAATGGAACTTAAAGGTTTGATTACTGGAAATAAAGAGTATGAAGAATTAAGTTACGATGAAGATATTCCAATGCCAGATGAAAAAAGTAAGTAATATGGTGCTATAAATTTTATTGGAAGACTATTGAACTAAATAATATTGATCACTAATCCTAGAGAAATAGTATTTGTAGAATCAACATTAGGATTTTATGATAGCAACGGAAGAGATGTATTAAATCTTAAGACTATTGGATTAATATTAAAGTGTATAGGTGTTAGTGGATTGAATGGAATCGATTTACTACTTAGTTAACATTTATCAAAAACAGTTAAAGATATTGTGAAAATATTAAAGGCTGATTTAAACCAAGAAAATAGGAATACTATTGATACTCTAATTAAATAAGTTAGGTTATTTACAAATTATGATGAAAACTATGATAAGGTTTATAAATAATTGACAAAACAATTTAGACCTCTTATCTCTAAAATCCTTTATCCTCTCTAATAGATAGGATAATTCATTAATTTAAGAAAACTAATTTGCCTAGTTTTATAAATGAAGGCAAAAGTAGGATCGACCAAATTATTCTTATGTTTAGAAACTCTAAACAATACCATAATTAATGATTTTATAAATCGTTAGTATGATTCTTCTATGGAATCTGATATTAAAACTTAAATGGAAAATAACTTGCTTTTTGATCTAACAAAGTTATTTAATTATGTAGGATTATCTGATCCTATAAGAAAAATATATGCATTATGCGAAATGCCTGAGTATAAATATACTAAATATTATTAGACATACTCCATTGATTTTAGCTTTAGTGGTTTTACATTAATTACCTTTAATGGATTTCGATCAAAAATTGAATTGCTTAGTAAAGAAAGCAAAGGATAATCAATTATAATATGAGCCAAATTGTTTATTGATGGGAATCATCGGATTTTTGAACCAATTTAATTAATTGCATTCCTCTCTATTTGTTTCATATCTAGGGTAGATTATTATAAACTATATAGATTTTACATTAAATCAACAATCTTCTTTATGTTATAATCGAAAGAACTACAAAAGCAGCCAGAGATTCTTGGAGACTTCTTTATGTTACTAACAGTAATTGAAGAGATATTCAGAATTAGAGAAGATAATTATGAAGTAAAGATTTTAATATAGATTAGAATTTTAAATAATTAATTCCTTTTGGATTATTTAACTATTTGAAAAGAGAGATGATAAAATGGTGAAAGAACAGTATTAAAACAAACATAAATATAAAATAAGGAATATTATTAATTATAATTGTATTATTTTTAAAATTAAATTTTCTGAATAAACCTAAAGAAATGTAAAATAAAGAAAGCACTGAATAGTAGAATTATTTAACAAATTTAGCGATCACTTATTTAAATTATTACTTATTGGTACTAGTGGAGTAGGAAAATCTTGCATGTTAATGAGATATGTCGATAATAATTTTACAAACAATTTTTATAACACAATAGGAGTGGATTTTGTAATTTATTATTTTAACAATTAGAAAATCAAATCGATATTCTTAGAGAATAAAAATATCAAGTTGTAAATTGTAAAATTATATTTCATTTTCTTAGTGGGATACAGCAGGTTAAGACAGATTTAGAACGATCACATGTAGTTATTATCGGTAATAATTATTTTAAAAATAGTGGAGCACATGGGATAATTATTGTTTATGATATAACAGACAGAGAATCATTTGACTCTGTGAAAATGTGGATGTCTGAAATTGATAAGTATACTAATTAAATTTACATAGATATGCTCAAGAAGATGTGATAAGAATGTTAGTTGGAAACAAATGTGATATGGAGGATAAAAGAGCTGTATCATATGAAGAGGGTGAAGCATTAGGTAACCAATTTTATCAATTTAAGCAAAACAACTGAAATTATAATTTATAGAAACATCAGCTAAATTATCAACCAATATTGAATAATCTTTTTTGACAATTGCAAAAAATGTTTTAGAAAAAAGTTAAAATTCTATAAAAGCAGAATCAGGCTAAAATATGAAAATAGGATAGATTACATCAACTTAAGTAATTGGCAATACAAATAAAAAAAGTTCACAATGTTGTTGAATTATAATTATTAAAATTAAACACGATTATGTTGGAAATTCGTTTCTTACCTTTTCTACTTCTCTTCACTTGTGCAATAATTATAGAAAGGCCTATTTCATAAATAGCTTGGTGTGGAGCTTCCATAATATACACTAGAGAAGATGAAACCATACCTCAATTTCAAGGTTTGGAAGAAGAAAAGACAATTTTTTTTATTACAGAAGCTCATCATATATATTAAAGTAATGGAACTGTTTGGAATTAAATTGAGGGTTTATTTGAAGATATACAAATTTCTCCTGCAGATTCACGTGTCATATTTTTATTTGGTCAAAATGGTTAGAAAAGCTATAGAACAAATGATTGTGGGGAAAATTTTGAGGAAATTGACACTGATGGCTTTTATGGGTTTAGATTAAATAAAATGAGTTGGAAATGGATGCTAGCATTTAAAAAATAATAATGTGATCATTTTGACATGGATTGTAGAGAACCATATAATAATTAATTGTTTTATTCTGAAGACGGTGCAAAAACTTGGTTACCATCATTTAAAAATTGTAGAGATGCATCATGGGATAAAATCATAGAAGACATTACAGTTCCAGATGAAAGGTCTATTGTATTATTTTCTTATGAAAATCAAACATAATTGATCTACTCTGATGATTTTACTAATTATCATACTTTAATGATTGGTGCTTAAGGTTACTATTAAACCACTAAATACCTTTTTATTTTAACATCTTCCAGTAATGGAGGATATGAATTACATTATGGTCATTCTAAATTGGAAGAATTTTAAGAGAAATTAGTGGAGTTACCATTATAAATTTTAAAAGAATATTCGTACACTGTCTTAGATACCGAAAATGGTAGGATATACTTATCTGTTTCCCATTATTAATAAGAATAATCAATAACTAATGTTTATATTAGTAATTAAATAGGATAAGATTTTTAAATTGTTTTAACAAATAATGTTAGATCTACCTAAGATGGAAATTGTGATTTTGAAAAACTTTTAGGCTTAACTTCAACTTATGTTGCGAATACTTATGACTAAAGAGATTAGAAAGATAAATCAACAATAATAAGTTTTAATGGAGGAAAGAAATGGGAATAAATAAAGGCTCCAAAATATGATTCAGAAGGGAACATCATTGAGTGTGGAGGGGAATGCTCTTTACATTTTGTTGGAAGAACTGAATCTTATCGATAAACTATTTATACAGTAGATCAAGCACCAGGTATTGTTTTAGGTGTCGGAAATGTTGGATTATTTATAACATAAGAATAAAATACATATATGTCAGCAGATGGAGGATAGAATTGGGTTGAAGTGAGAAAAGGATCTCATGTCTTTGAAATCGCCGATTTTGGAGGAGTTATTGTTATGGCCAAAGATTTTGAACCCACTAATGAAATTATTTATTCAATTGACTATGGGAAAACTTGGAAAACAAAAATTATTTATGATGATCTATTCATGGCCTAAAATTTAGTGACTGAAGCATCTGGAACCGTTAGATATTTTCTCATCTATGGTAAAACCGATAAAGGGGAAGGCATAATTTTAAAATTAGATTTTAGTGATATTTTTTCAAGAGAGTGTAAATCTAATTTGGATTATGATATCTGGAACTCAAAATGTATCGATGGTTCTTAAACAAAATACTATAGAAAAAAAGAAAATTCATAGTGTTTTAACCCTAAATAGATGATAACCAAAAAAATAATCGAACCTTGCCCTTGTAAAAGGGAAGATTGGATATGCGCTTCAGGCTATGCTAGTCTATTAGAGGGAGGAGATTGTTTACCTATTGTGAATATTTCTGATTATTGTGAACCAGGAAAAACATTTTTCAAAACTCAAGGATACATCAAATTAACTTAATGTTTAGGAGGGTATATTTTTGTATAATTAAATCAGTTTAGATTTAGGACCAATTGAAACTTAATGTCCAAAATTATTCAATTTGAACGAAATCCTTTTATATATAATAGTAATTGGATTTTTGATAGTTGTGATTTTAATAGGTTATGTAGCCATTAGAAGAGTGCTAACTTCTGAAGAAAAAAATCCCAATATCAATAAATATAATTAAATGGAGTTTTAGGAAGATGATGATGAAGAAGATTAACAATTATGAGTTTATATGTTTTATCTTAAATATAATTAATTTTCAATTTAAAATGCGAGCTTTATCTTAATTAATTTTTAAACAAGAACAGTATAGAGGTCAGTTTGATCTTTATCAAAGTATTTGGAAGAAATATTATACTTAAGATATTACTTGGTATTGGATTTTCTTCTGTTTACAATTATTATTCTAAGGTATTTCTAACTTCTGGCTAATAAAGAAACGAATTTTTTTTTGCATTTGATTCTTTACTTTCTTTTATTTGTACTATGTCATTTGCAAAAGTCAACAAGATTTATGATTAGGTTTTGAATGATCCTTCTGATTCATTTTATTTTGTCTTGTTGTAATTCTAAAATCCACATTTAAATCTGAGATATGAAAATTCAATTTCAATAGATTTATTTTTAGAATATTTAAAAGCAATCAGTCTATCCAACTTTAGGTACCATTTAAATCTAATTTTGAAATTTTACGATTATTAATAATACAAATTCTTTATGTGTAAAGTATTTGGAAAATTTAATTCAAAACTAATAATTAATTTTATAGTTTTTAAGCAGTTTGCTATGCTATGCTATAATCCTTTCTCTATATTAATCATTGAAAATTTTAGCATACAATTTCAATAAATTCAAAAGATTGCATGTCTTACATCATTTAAATTTTACCACTAGATGATAACTTAAGGAAATTCATTTTTATAGTGCTATTCTTTTTCTTTCAACTTTATATTCAATAAAAATAACTAGCATTTATACATTAAAAAACAATTATTTCCAGAAGATTATTTATGTGATTTGCATAATTAGAATTTAAAACTTCAAATGAGCATTTGCCAGGCTGAACTTTTTCTTTTAAACATTCATTTAATACATATTGTTCTAATTTTTTCCATAATATCTCTTTTGAACACATTTACATAATCAAAGTTTAAAAGGTAAATATTATGATGATGATTTTTTCTTTTTTAAGAGAATATCTATATCACATCCCTCATACTAACATTTAACAATTATATTAACATGATTTAACACGGAAAAATAATTAGGACAACTTTCACATCCAATTGGATAAAAATGAATATTTCTAAACAAATCAGAGATCTGCAAAGCTCTTATATTTATGAACTTTTTTTAACTAACTTATCGAATCTTAAAACTTACATATATTAATTATAATTAATTACAATTTATGAGCATATAAGAATTTATTGCCAATAAAAAAATGTTGGATGTAGAATGGAGATTTTCAAGTTTATAATTAATATTATTTCAGTTGCTACTGCTAATAGTTCTAAAGAAAACTATAGTGATTGCTTTTTATAACTTAAGATCAAAACAATTGATAAAAATATGATTGAAGAAACTACTCATTTTGAATTAACATTAGCATAATTTAATGAATTGTTTACTGAAATTGAGAAGGTGAAGAATCTAATGAATTTAATTAAATGAAAAATATATTATTTATAGAATCCAATAATATTGAATACATATGGTAAGTATAATTAATAACAAAAATTACATTTAATTCTAATTCAAATTAATCCCATTAATTCAAGAAGATCAAGAATATCTTAACTCATTATTGAAACATCATTTAAAGCACTTTCCAAGGCAATTATTTCTTTTTGGTTTTTGAATTCTGTCACAATTACTTGCATGTATAATATATAACTGCTATCTTCTTTATTTTGGACATCACTTAGTATTTGTTTAATTGTTGAAAATAGGAGCAACTCTTTTATATATTATGTCCAATATTAGAGGATTTAGCCTAGTGCTTACTACATGTACTTCTAATTATATCTAAGGGCACCTTCTATAATTTAATAGTTAATTCTGAAATTTCTTTTTTATCATTTTATCTTTTTATATTCAGCTATTCTACAATCTTTTCCAATTCTGATATGTTAATAATGGATTATGATTCCACTTAATCAATTTTTCTATTTTTTTTAATAATATGTGCTTTTCCAATATATTTATTGTGTTTTGTTGATCATGTTTAATTAATTCTAATTACTAAATTTTGAGCTACTTTTGTTACACATTGAATTAATTTAAAAGTTTTTCTCTCTAATCTTGCGAATATTCTAATTTTTCTAGTTTTTGTTTCAACTCATGTAGCTCAGAATTAGCTTTGCTAATTTCATTATTAATACAATTTTTTATTCCGACAAATGTTATTTGCTTGATCACAAATCAAATTCTAATTTCTTTATTGTATTTTTATATCTTGTTCTTTTAACTCAAATAATTACAATTTGCCTTCTCTTTATTCATATTTTTTGGTTTGTTGCTATAGATGGAATTTTAATTCTCTTTTAGCAATCTTTTTATTTTTAATCTTAATCTTATTTAATCTTTTCATACAACACCCTACTTTCTAATTCTTTAGTTTTAGAATTGATATCAACAGAAAAATTATAAATTAAATTAATTTAAATGGTTTCAAGTTCTTAGTTATGCTCAAGTGATAATTGTATATGCGTATTTCCATCTTTTATATATTTGGATTATTTTAGTTTTTAAAGAGAACTCTTATGTTTCTCTTCGGCTTCTAATGCCACTTATAGATTATCATTCTCCTCCTGCAATCTTTAAATTTCTTCACAAATTTTTTTACATTAATTTATACGTTTGATTAAATCTTCATCGTGCTAATTGGTTCTTACTGTTTAAATCAAGATATCCTTATTCTCTTTAGGTTAACACTTCAAATAAATTACCTGATATTGCTACTGAATGAATTCTTTCTCTTAAACATTGCGTTCTAACTAAATAATCTTATACTATTTTCAATTTCAAGTTCCTCTAAATGATTTTATAATTTCCTAATATTATCTAGTATTTTGTTTTGTCACTTTCTATAAACTCTTATTACTAAGATACCTCAAAAGATAGACTAATGAATAGAATATTTATAGACTTGTGTATAGTTTCCTTTTATTGTGTGAAATTCATTTTCTGAAAATCATTTGAAATTTCATATTCCCCTATTTAAAAAAATTCCTCAACTGACATTATTTTTTGTTTAATCAATGATTTCTTCCTTTCTTTTTCTATTAGCAATACTTAAACATTAAATTTTAATTGAATAAATTTAACAATTATTTTAGATGGAAACTAATTACTAAAAAGAAACTAAAAGACCTTAATAGGGTAAATTTTTATTTACTATATAGTTATCAAAATGGCGAAATTAAACAACAATTATAAAGAACCTGAGGACACATATGAGCCAAAAAGAAGAGTAAAAAATTAGAGTACATTTTGTTCATTAAACTTAGTATAATAATTAAATGAGGATTCTTCAACTTTTAATGGAATCGAGTATTTTGAAAGCCTATAATCAAAATAACTAAGTGAAAAGAAAGAAAAGACTCCTTTAAAATTAGAGAGTGTGTCTTCAATTTTGGCTAAAGGATCCTTAAGGGAAAGATTCTCTAATCTTCATTTGATTTCTTCTATTGATAAAATGCTTATGCATAGTAAATATTCCAGCTTGTGTCACTTTTTCAAAGAAATTGATGAAATGCTTTTATTTCTCCAAAGCCAACAAAAACCGCCATTCTTAAATACAATTTAAGAATTATTGAGCCAAAATTCTAAAATTAAAGTCACTTAATAAATTATTCAATAAATATTGGAAATATTTCCAAATGCTTATGATGTTAATTGGTCTTTGAATGAAAAATTAATCAGATTAGATAGGAGTGATTTAATCATAAAGGCAAATATAAAATCCCATGTTTAGTTGGGAGAACGATTAAATTATTTTAAATAATTGATGTTTGACTACATATAAAAAAATGGAGAACAAATTGGTTTAGCAGTTTTGCCTCAAAATCCATTTTTTTTAAATTTACAAACTAAACCTGAAACAACAGATGCTTTAACTAAATAAATCTAACTATAAACTTAAAAACATGAAATTCAAAGTCAAGTATCTAAAGAGCCAACATATTCTAAAGTCAGTTAAAATTTAATCGAAAAATTGAAATAAAAAAAGAAACTAGAGATTGTTCAAACTGATCATTCAGCACCAAAAAAGTAATTAATAGCTATATCCTCTTTGATTCATTAATATTTTCTTATTAGAGATGTATCAAACATGTTTTTAACAAACATAGTCAAATACAGTCTAAATAGTTTAAAACAATTTATTCTAGATGAAAATTAATTAAAAACTTATATTGATTAATTAATAAAATTATGTCCACATTGGATTCAACTTATTGACAATCAGAATGGCTAAATTTTAAGGTTAAATAAGGAAATAGATTTACCTTCAATTATAAGGTCTATTGAATAAATGTGAATAAAGACTCTTTAATTAAAAGTTTGAATTATAAAATTACAGTATTACTATATATCATCAAGAACTATCTTCTAGCACTATTAAAGATTCTTTGACTTGTCCTTTTAAAGACATTATAACAAGTTCATATTTTTTCATCTCCTTACTTAATTTCTTAGTCTAAATCTTTCCTATAAGAACTGAAATTGCAGGATTACGTAAACTTTAGTTAAATTATGATTTGTAGATTTCATTTAGTTATTATGCAATTTATTCTAATTTCCATTCAAAAGGAATTGAGCTAATATCTACATATATTTCTCTTTCATCAAATTGCCCATTAATTATCACTCTTATATTTTAAACTTGTTTCTAAATTTAAATTTAACTTTACTAATTCTTTTTCTGAATATTTAGACATCATTTCTATTATTTCCTAATTATCTTGTTATTAATTAGTATTAGCTGTTAACTCAAAAAAAGTGATACTTTTCCTTCTTTTTTAACTTTATATTTCACTGCCTTAGCCTTATATTTAATCATCTTCAAGTTTCTCCTCAATTACATTTGTAGATGATGGAGAACAAATAGGCATTTTTATTGATCTTTTTTCATAGATAACACTTCTATTTTCTACTCTTTTTTCAGGAGCGACAGATGATCTCTTTACATAGTTACTTGTTCTAACAGATGAGTAAGTTCTCTCAACAATTTTTCCATCGACAGGGGCTTATTTTTAGGGACTAGCTAACTTTCGCAAAGGTAAAGCTGTGGCAAAATGCTAATTATAAGATTGTTTGCTAATTTGTATTTATTCGATTATACACTTAAATTAAAGGTTTAAGATTAGCCGATGAAGTGCTATCATTAGCTGATAAATCACACTCTTTAGATTTATATTTAAAACTTTATGTAGTTGACTTTGCTCCAGATGCTTCCTTAACATATCTAATTCTTTAACCTGAAGATGTGTTCAACATAGAAAAAATTATTTCTGATTAATATAAAATAAATTTCAATTTCCTAATGGAGAGTGAATTAACTGGAACCAATCATAAAGCTGTTTAAGGTTGCGATTTGATAATCATGGGCAGGAACCCCTTTAACAGTAATTAATTGAACCATAAGAACCCAAAATACAAATGGAAGGGTTTTTCGAAAAAATTAAGAATTAATTTAATGATCTGCTTTAACCATCTGATAAAGAAGTTGAATAAAGGATCATTTATTTAAATAGGTCTATCCTCAAAATAATTTGCCAAATATAGTAAAAAACCAAAAGTACTATATTTTGCCATTTATGGTGCTCTATCAATAGTTTAAATTTTGTTAATCACGCTATCATAATTTATTCCTAGCTTAAAGTAGGATTTTTATTTAGTTATGTTGCTCCATTTACATTCGTATTGATATTAACATTACTTAAAGAAGCATATGATGATTTTTACAGATATAAAAGAGATAAATATGCAAATTCACAAGTATACACCTAGATCGAAAAAGATAAAACAATAAAACTATAAAGCTGGCAATTAAAAGTTGGAGACATTATTGAGGTTCATGCAAATTAAAGAATACCTGCCGATTTAATGTTGCTCCATACAAATGATATAACAGGAACAGTTTTCATTAGAGCAGATTAATTAAATGGAGAAACAGACTGGAAATTATGTAAAGCCATAAGACATACTTAAAATTTTGGTTAAAATAAAATTTAACAACTCTTAATGCATCAATTACTGCGAACCAATAATTAAAAAATATTTGACAGAGGATAATCTTAAAATTTTTACTACTTAATATGAGAAGGCAAAGAATTAAACGGGAGAAAGAGAGGCTAGCTGTTCAAAATTTTTGGACTCTTATGAGAATGATTTGGAATTATTGGAATTAATAGGAGTTGAAGATATGCTTTAGAAAGTCATTGATGCAACATTAGAATCTTTGAAAAATGCAGGAATATAAATCTGGATGTTAACTGGAGATAAAGTGGAAACAGCTTAATGTATAGCAATTTCAACTGGATTGAAAAGTCCTACTTAAGAAATGTTTGTAATTAAGGATATAGAAGACTCTTTAATCCTAAAAAATGAGCTTAATTAATTTGCTCTAAAAAATAATAGCGTTCTAGTTTTAGATGGATAATCCTTAAAAGTTTCTCTTGAGTTTCAGTATACTGCATTTTTTCATGTAGCTTTAAATTCTCATGCTGTAGTCTGTTGCAGATTCTCACCACTGAATTGATTAAAGAGCAGACTTAAAAAATAGTTTTATGTATTGGAGATGGTGGGAATGATGTAGCTATGATTTAAGCTGCTGATGTTGGAGTCGAATTAGTGGGCAAAGAAGGAAAATAAGTAGCTCTAGCAAGCGAATTTTCCGTTTTAAGTTTAAGTATTTAGCTGTTTTATTATTATGGCATGGTAGATTGGCTTATAAAAGAATATCTGAAATGGCTTAATTCGTCATGCATAGAGGATTAGTTATTGCCTCTAGATAAACCATATTCTCGATTGTTTTATATTTTGTATTTATTCCTATCTATAATGGTTGGTTGATGTTAGAATATGGCACAGTTTAACACTATTTACTGTTTTTTGTTATATTTTTGATTAAGATGTAACTAAAGAAAAAGCTATCGAATACACAGAACTATATATAGCTTTACTAAAAGGCAGAGAGTTAAAAGTAAAGAAATTTTTGCTCTGGTTATTTAAATCTGTTTATTAAGGTAATCATTTAAACAATTATTTTAGCTGCTGTTATTATGGTTTATAGTTTTGATGTCTTCCAAAATACATTTCTTTATTTAGTTTCAGTAACATTTAGTAGTTTAATAGTAGCTGAATTATTAAATGTCTTTACAGAAGTGAATAATTTTAGATTTATAATGTTTATTGGAAAGATGTTCACTTTAGTAGTATACAGGATCAATTATTTTTTTATAGAATTAGATAAATTTAGTAGGTATTGATTAAAAATTCATCATAAATGTCCTAATTTTAATAACCATTAGTTGGTTTCCATTTCATATAATTAATTAAAACTAAGAAAATGGGATACCTCAGAATTAGACAAGATAATGTAAAAAATAGAATTAGAAAGTGATATAATTTATAATCATGTTTTTTTATAAGTATTTAATATACGATCATATGGCCGAGTGGACTAAGGCGCTGCATGGCTGCAGTCCGATAGGGCGAGGGTTCGAATCCCTCTGTGGTCAAATTTTTTTATTTATATCTTCATTAAAAATCTAAGATCAAAATTCCATTATTCTTTCTAAATTTAGATAAGTTTATTTAGAAATTGAATAAATCACTTAGCGTAAAAACAAGTATGAAAAAATAGTAAATGAAAATATAAAAAAATAGATGGAATGAAAATAATTAAAATTAAATTTGTGAATGTTTATATTGAAGGGTAAAGGACTTATTTTAGTTTACCAATTCAAAATTTTACAAAATATTATAATAATTTTTAAAAATGTATTTAAAAATGGAATGAATAAAGTATAGTGACTCAATTTCAGCTCCAAAGTTATTCCATTGTATTAATTAATGCATTCTAAATATAATCATTAATAAGGTCCATGATTTGAATAAATATTTCCTCTTTGGTTTATAAAGCATTAATAATTATAAATTATTCTTCTTGAGCCATTTTATCAAAAACTTCTTAAACCTATTACTAAAATTCTTATTTTTCATATCGTTCTGCTCCAAAATCACCTCTATCCTTCAATTATTTGATTGGGGCTCTTAAGTATATTACTAGATCTGGTTTTGGTAAACCTGAATCACATTGCTTACACCATTGAATTGGAAGTCCTTTTGCAGAAGAAAATGCCACTCCAGAATATGCATATCTATCACAAACTATATTGATTCCTTTATTTAATGTTTCGATTATGGTATTTCTAATTATTTTTATATTTAATACTAAGCTTCCCATCTATTTGCTGAAAATAAAAGATGAATCACTTAATCATTAATATCTCTTTTTCCTTTCAAATAATCTGATATGATTGAACCCATCGAAGTACTTCTGTCTGGAAATTGCATTTTTTTTGCTTCAAGAGCTTCACATAATAATTCAGTTTATGTAGATTTGCCACATTTATCTAATCCTTCAAGAACTATGAATAATCCTCTCTTGTTATTTTTCATTATAATATTTAAGTTTTCAAAAAAATAATTGGCGGGTTAAGAAATTAGAGCATAATAAACAAATTATAAAAATGAATTTGAATTATCAAAAAAAGTTGATAACATTGTTAATCAAAAATCTAATTAAACTTTTTTGACTCTTACTTTTTATATTTGGAATCTTTTTGTATTTTTTATAGATTTATTTCACTTTTTTATCGTCCAAATCATCTTCAAATAATTCTTTTAATTCTATTTTCTGATACATTTGAACATCATATTAGGTTACAAGACTAATTTCCTTTCTGTATTTTCCAGCTCTTGCAGTTCTACCCTCTTTATAAATATATTGATTTGTATTTTATTGAATACGATAATACCTACATAAAAAAGGATTTTTGAAATAATTAATTGCAACCTCTCATTTAGTAATTATTTAGTAATTGATACCTTATAGTCGCTATTTTTTCAAATTTAATGCCATCTTTCAATTAAATCTTGAATAATTTTATAAATAGAAACTCAATCAGAAACTTGCTAAAGGAGAATTTTATAATTAGAATATACAGAAAAATATTGGATTAAATGGGTTAGAAATATCTTAACTTTGAAGAAACAAGAAATTATAGGATAAAATTTCTTGGTATTGATAGCCAAAAGTTCAAATAATTGTATACAATTAATTCTGATAACAATTTTGCATTGAAAATGTAAATCTACCTATGAAAATTAATGAAAATTCAGTTAATAATTAAATTCTTAAATTTTTTTTATCCAAATAATGGATAAAGAGCACCAAACTTATAAATCTTAACGCATTTAGTTACCAATAGATTGATTTAGATTTTCACTCAAATTATTGTCCAATAAAGAATCATTATCTGCAACACTGCTCTAAATGTGAATTGTGTGGGATGGAACAATCTAGCTTGTATAATAATAAATACAGCAAAAAGAGTTATAACATAAAATTTAATTTCATTTAATAAATTTCAAGAAAGGAATTTAAAAGAAAATTATAAAAATTTATTGAACGAATCAATTTCTGGCTGCTCTTTAATGTCTTAATTTAATTTCAAAATTCATTATTCAGATCTTTTTCCTATTTGATAATTTTTTTTCGAATATATTCATCCCTTGCAAATTTAATTGTATTTTAAAGTATATTTAAGATTCTAAGTAATTAATATTTGATATATATTTATTTA